CAGACGAGGTGCAGACGGCACCATCATGCGCAGCTGGGAAGCGTGCAGAGCACCTGTGAGGCCTGTGGCAGACACGCCCGGGGTGATGGGGCCACAGACCCGCCCTGGGCCGAGCCGGCGTGGCTCCATGGACAGTTCGTCGGCCCGAGGACTGAGGGGTTGAAGGTTCAGTTCCCATCAAGGGCACCTACCGTGGTTGCAGGCTCGATCCCCAACCCCTGGTCGAGGCGCATGTGGGAGGCAGCCAGTCGAGGTGTCTCTTTCCCATCAACGTTTCTCTCTGTGTGTGTCTTTCCACCTCCCTTCCACTCTCTCTAAAAATCGATGGGAAAATATCCTCGGGTGAGGATTAGCAACAACAGAAAAACCTCCCTGGAAACAACCCACAACCACTCTGAGGTGGTAGCCAAACTGCTCCCGTAACATTTTCTAGATTTAGAACTAAGATTTGACAGTCCGTTCCGTGCTTCTGTCTTTGGATCTATGAGGGTGGGCGGGTGGGAAGAGATCAGCCAATGAACTTGTATACGTATGTGCATAACCCAGGAACACAGACACTAGGGTGGTGAAGGCCTGGGGTGGGGGGCAGGGGTGGGCTGGGAGAGGTCAACGGGGGGGGGGGGGGGGGACATGGGTAATACTTTCAACAATAAAGTGTTTTTAAAACTAAGGCAGGGGAGGGTGGCGGTGTGAAGAGATCAACCAATGACCTTGTATGCATAATGCATAACCCAAGGACACAACAGTGGGTGGTAAAGGCTTGGGGGTGGAGGGTGGGGGGCGGGGGCAATAGGGGGAGAGGGGACATATGTAATACTTTCAACAATAAAGATTTATTTAAATAAATAAATAAATAAGAACTAAGAGAGAAATGTGGACCAAACATGGGCAACATTTTAAACTGTTAAAATTTAAAATGGCCCTGGCAGGTCTAGCTCAGTGGATAGATCGTCGGCCTGTGGACTGAAGGGTCTCGGGTTCGATTCCGGTCAGGGCACATGCCTAGGTTACGGGTTCGATCCCTCGCCCTGTTCCAGATGCATGCAGGAGTCAACCAATCAATGTGTCTCTCACATTGATGTTTCCCTCCTCTCTCTCTCTCTCTCTCTCTCTCTCTCTCTCTCTCTCTCTCTCTCTCCCCCCCCCCCTCTCTCTCTCTTTCCTTTCTCTCTCCTCCTCCTCCTCCTCTCTCCCTTCCATTCTCTCTAAAAATCAATGAAAAATGTCCTTGGGTGAGGATTAGCAGCAACAACAAAAAAGACCTCACAGGTGCACAGGCCGAGCCCAGGCCTGGGTGACGGGAGACAGGCAGGCAGAGTGGGCCCCTCCCGTGCCCTGAGCAGGCCCAGGCAGGGGCACCCGGCCAGAGCAGCCTCTGTTCACCCACTGACCTGCTGGCCCTCCGGCCCCTAGCACACCCAGGCAGGTCTGGCCACAGCACAAGGTCTGCAGGGCCAGGAGGAGAGCCACGTGCATACGGGTGGGGAGGCAGGCGTGCTCTGTGGAGTCGGATCTCAGACTTCCTGCTGAGGACCAGGGCACATAAAGTGGCAAACTCACGCTGTGAGCAGACTCCCACTCACCGCAGAGATTTTAAGAAAACTGTTGCAAACACAGCTCCCTGAAGGGCTGGCCCGCTCTCCTCGGCCAGCCAGGAGTCGCGAGGAGAATTCAGATTGGGGACAGGAGATGTGCACACTGTTTTCCTAAGTTAAACTTTCTTCCCTTTTGCTGGTGTTTTGTTCCTGTCAATCACTGCGCTGAAAAGTAGCAAATTAAGCAAAGACATCAGATCATCTGGAAGGTAAACCAGCTGACATGAGCTTTTGTCTCTGTGGCTGAGTTTAAAATGGCCCACAGGTCCATCGCACTTGCACTCAGTTAATGCGCCAGGACTCACTTTCCTAAGGTCTCTGTCAGGTATTAATTTCTTTCCAGTCTCGGTGAAGAAACAGTGCTTTGGGGCAAGAAACACCTTGCGGGCACAGCCTGGTCCCGTGGGTAGCACAACCCAAAGGTGACCCGACGCTCGGCCCCCACCACGCACAATGTCTGTGCAACACAGACCCACCCAGGGGCCCCGGGACTCGGCCTGGCCCCACCACTGTCCCAGACCCTAGTGCAGCTCCAGTGCAATCTGCTGTGCCGGTCTGTGCACACATTCGGGGGCGTGGGCACCCATGGGCCTGCCCCACCTTCCTATGACCCAGTGTGGGCCAGCCTGCAGCTCACCCACCAGCCGCGCTCAGAGTCATGCTCCCTACATGCACATTCTGGTGTTTGTGCCCGGGGGGCAGTCCACAGCCAGGCCACTCCCCTCAGATTCCCCGGAATCCTGGGTACCCCAGGCAGTGCTGCTGGCCTGGCCTTAGACATGCCTAGGCGGCAGTCCATGTGTGAGTGCACATGAGTGCTGCATGTGTGTGCACTGTTTGGTTTTACAGTTGCATGCACTCCCATGTGCATGTGTGCTCTTGTGTGCATACACACGCACGGGGGCTCATGTGTATGCCCGTGTGTGCTCCTGCGTGCATGCGTGTGCACTTGAGGAGTGTATGTACTGTATCTGTGTGCATGTTGGAGTGTGCTGGGTCATGGCACTAAATAAACATTTAATCACCAGCAGCCCCATCTTCACACAAAACCATCGGACTGATTCCTAACTTAACGGATTGTTTCACTGCATTCCAGGCAAAACGTAGTTGTGTGGTTCAGATCTGGGTGGCAGGGCAGAGCTGCTCCGACGAAGGAACAGGTGGCAGCCCAGGAGCCTGAGGCCGGGCGCGGCTTTCCACCTGTCTTCAGAGAGCCTGGCTTGTGTGGCGACCACATCATGTGTTATCTTCATTAAATTATTCTCCTAAAGGTAAACAACCTTTATGTTTAAAAAAGCAACTTACAGCCCTGGCCGGTGTGGCTCAGTGGGATAGAGCGTCGGCCAGCAGACCAAAGGGTCCCGGTTCGATTCTGGTCAAGGGCACGTACCTCGGTGGCAGGCTCCTCCCTGTGCAGGCCCCGGTCGGGGCGTGTGCAGGAGGCAACCCATCGATGTGTTTCTCTGTCTTTCTCTCTCTCTCTAAAAATCAATGGAAAAGTATCCTCTGATGAATATTCACGAAAACAAAAACTAACAAAAAATAAAACTACTTATACACTCAGCATCAAGCCATGTAAAAACTCTAAGATGTGTTTAATCTTGGTGTTTCGTTGTGACCCTAAATTCCTGGGGCGGCCTCCACGGGCCACGAGAAGGACCCACTCTGAGGAAGGTCCGGGAATCAACTTGTCTTCTGAAGAGTCAATTCCAAACAACTGACACTTTCAGAAAGCAGGTGATGTGGACAGTGTGCAGGGGAGGGGCGTGGCCGTGGGGCGTGGGGGCCTGGAGCCCACGCCAGGAAGCTGGTCCCGAGTCCAGGAGGCTCAAAGCTTCCAGACCCCACTTGTTCCCTGAGGTTGGCCTTGGAACAACTTCAGCTTAGGGATTTTTGGGGTTTCATTTCCTGTATAAACTTTAAAAAATGAAACCTGTTTCCCACATCATGGTCTTGCGTGGGGCTACAAGTATTCGTGAAGTTAGAAACATTTGCATCTTGAAAAGTGTCACCTGGTTTTTTGTTGCCTGAAGTTCACTTCTATGTGACCCAGGCGCTCCCTGCGGCCTGGCCAGACGCCCACGCAGAAGGCGCTGCTGGCCCTGCGCCAGGGCTGCCCGGTCCAGCTCTAGAAAATCTGCAACTGCAGGGAGGCCCCTGGTTTTGACGTAGAAGGCATCCAACATGCAAACTGCACAAACGGTGTAGAACGAAGCACCTCAGAGAACAAGGGTCTGAGGTTGATGTCCTGTCACACCAACCGGGCCACCGCCCCTGCAGCTCTGAGCTGACCCCGCAGGCGTGGGCCCGGCTCCGGAAGTGGGAACTGCTGGCAGGGCCTGATTGGTTGGACTTGGGCAGATAGAGAAGTGTTTTTAGAGTCACTTTTGCTGCCACTATCACATTTGCTGCCTTAGGTTGATGGCCAGGGGGCTGCTGGTGTGGGGACGGAGAGGGGTCAGGCCGTAGGACTGGCGTGGGCACTGCTCGGGCCATGGCCTCAGCCTGGCTGCATCTAGAGGGCTAATCTGGACAAGCCTCTGAAGTGGCCTGTGGGTGAGAACCGAGTAGCCTGGACGTGAAGGACTCTTTCCCTCAGGCGGAATCCATGTTTCGCAAAGGACATTGGCTCGCTGGCTCGCTGCCTATTTGATTGGATGTTTTACAGTCACTGAGGTCAGGCTGCTGGATGGTGACAGGCCGCCACGCCTCCCTAACAGCTTCTGCTGCAGCTGGGCAGCCCGGCCTGGCCAGAGCCTCGGTGGCCAGGGTCCGGGGGATCTCGGGCTTAGGGCAGGGCACCGGGGAGCTGAGGACAGGTCTCAGCCTATAGCCTGCACTTGGGAAGCACCTCCATCCCCAAACCTGGGTGCTTTTTCACAATGAAGAGGACCCCAAACATGAATATGTGACACATTTCTTTCACTTTTCTCTGGCAGAGGTGACCTTCACTCCAGGATGTCCCCACCTCTTTTGCAGGAGGTCAAGTTCAGAGTCAGCGCACACCTGCCTGACACCCCAGCTCTGGCCGGACTCCCTTTTCCCTGAGACCCACCAGGTCGGATGGATACTCACCGCACCACCATGTGGAATGCACTTCACACTGTGTGTGTAAACATACAACCTAATGATTTAAAACTATGGCCTTCACATCAAAGCGAAGGGGTATATGTTAAATAAAATGGCATAATGTTCAAATGACCAAATTAATGAATTCATCAACAGGAAAATAACCTTTGCCAGAAAAACTAGGCCTGTGGTTTTCCAAAATAGAATTGGAAATTCATATGCATCAACCAAAAATAAGCTCAGCTTTGCAGTAGAAACCTCATCACCAGTTTCCAAAAAGAGAACTGTTTGGGGCCTGGTGCACAGGAAACGTTCGCTTCAGAAAGAGGCTGGGTTAGTCCACCCGGAGCGGAGCGGAGCGGAGAGCGCTGCGGGGATTGACGTCTGGTAAACTCAGCCATTGCCCCCCAAACTGACCTGTGCGAAGACATCTTCTAACTCCAATGACATAGCAATTAATTTAATAAAGGAACTCACCAATTTTAAATTGCAATTAATTTACCAAACATCGTCACCATTTATGGAGCTTTACAGTAAGAAAGTTTCGACAAAAGCAGGCACATCCGTGTACAAAGTGTTGCCGGCGGCGGTGCGTCCTGTCTTTCGTTCCGGAAGTTGTCCTTCTGTCCGCTCCGAGGGGGGTCTTCCTCCCCCGCCAGCTCGCACCGGGGACCTGGGAGCCTCGCCCAGGGAAGGGACTTGCCACAGAGAAGTGCGGTGGGGGCGAGCTGACCCCGAACATTTATTGTAAACTTGAAAATGGAATCCGGATACGGACAGACACGGCGAAGAGAAACCTCCCAGACACAGAAACGGTAACACTGGAGGCCGGGCTCGCGGCGGGGGTACTCGGAGGGAGGCGCCGGCCACAGCCCGGGGGAGGCGACACCTGGCTCGGCCCCGCCGGCCCCGCGCCCCTCGCGTTGGTGGTGGCTGGGGAGGCGCCCGCGAGTCTGTCCGGGGTCGGGGTTCAGCAGGCGCGTCGTGGCTCCCAGGGACGCGCCGTCTCGCGGGGAGGCCGGCAGCAGTAGGGGTAGGAGACGTCGAGGTCAGGGTCCGAGGGCGCGTACCCCGGCAGCTCCACGGACGGGTGCCCTCCGCAGCACACCTCCACCCCCGCCTCGTCCGCCGCGCGGACGACGCCCACGTCGATGTAGGAGACGGCGTGGTGCGCCGCGAAGCCCGCGCAGTCCCCGGGGGCGGCCAAGTCCGACTCCTCCGGGGCCAGGATGGAAGCCTGGCTCGGGCGATGCTGCAGCCGCCGACCCCGCCGGCCTCGCCGCACCCAGGAAGCGGGCGGCTGCGCACGGAGCCCCGAGCCGCCGCGGGGCCGCGCCGGGGCCCGGCCTCCCCGCCGTCCGCGACGCCCGCGCCGGGCCCGCGCCGCGCGGTAGGTCTTGGCCAGCAGCAGGCTGAGCAGGCCCAGCAGGCACTCGAGCGCGTTGAAGACGGTGGAGAGCACCAGGCCGCGCTGGTAGTCCTTCAGCTGCCGGCACTTGGCGGGCGTGGCGCGGGCGCGCGGCGCGCCGGGGGCCGGGCCGGGGGCGGGGGCCGCGGGGCCGGGGGCCGGGGCCGAGGCGGGCGCGCGCGGGGGCAGGCAGTAGTGGGAGTACTTGCGCTCCACGAGGGACACGGCGTCGCCGTCGATCACGGCGCCCGCGAAGGCGCTCAGGACCCCGAGCATGAAGACGAGGGCGCCGAGCAGGAGCAGGTTCTGGCTGGTCCCCGGCCCCGCGGGCTCGGCCGCGGCCCCCGGCGCGCCCGGCGCGGTCTCCGGAGCGCCGGCCGGGGCGGCGGGGACCCCGAGTCGCGGGCCCGGCCCCGCGAGAGGCGCGGCCCGCGGCCCGCAGCAGAGCAGGGCGGCGCCGAGCAGCGAGAGGCCGGCGGCCAGCAGCAGCCCCGAGTAGAAGGCGCCGGCGGCCGCCCCGAGGCGGAACGGCTCCCCGCGGAGCTCCGAGCCCAGCGAGAAGCACTTGAGGCCGACGGCGGCGGCGCTGAGCGCGCAGGCGAGCAGGAGGCAGGCGGAGAGCGCGGCGCAGGCCCCGCGGACGCTCCACTTCATCCTCCGCGCCCGAGCCGGCCCGCACCCCGCGCGCCCGCCGCCGCCCGCCGCCGCCCCCGCCGCCTGCGCCTCCTCCCGGCGCCGCGCGGCCGGACCGCCGGCCTCCCCCTCATCCTCCCGCGTCCTCCCGGGCCCGCACCGCCGCCGCCGCCGGAGCCCGCATCTTCTGCCTCCCGCCGCCGCCGCCCCGCGCCGGGAACCCAGGCGGCGCGGAGACCCGCCGCGAGCGCGCCCCCTCCCCAGCCCGCGGCGCCCCGCCCAGGGCGCTGCGCTCCCCGCACCCGGCCCGCGGCCCCGCCCTCCCACGCCCCCGGCCCCCGCCGCCCCTCGGACGCCCCTCGGCCAGCTCCCAGAGGAGAGGGCCCCCGCGCGTCTCCCCACCTTCCTCCGGGTGCGGGCACCCTCGGCCCCTTAGGCAAGGCCACCCTCCAGCCCCGGGCTCCACGGAGGCCCCCAGGCCCCACCCCCCGCACCTCCCACCTCCCTAGCAGCTGCGTCTGCGCTCCCCAGGCGACGAGGCTCGCCGCTCTGCACGGCCACCGGCTTGCAGCGCCACGACCCCGAGGAAGCCGGCAGGGGCGGCGGCACGGGGGAGGGGCCCGGGGCTGGGGGCCTGAGCGCAGGAGGTGGAGGGAGAGGGGTCCCGGGAGAGGGGGCCGGGGGTCAGGGGGATGAGCGGCAGTCTGGATGCGGGGGGGCGGGGGGTGATGGGGTGTGAGTGGAGGTGAGGCCTCAGGCAGAACCTCGATGAGCCCGTCTCCCGGGTGAGGCTGTGAGTTAATTCATTAGAAGGCGGTCCCTGGTCGGAGAGCGACTGGGGTGGGGCTGGAGATGCCCGTGGGTGAGAGGAGGCGGAGGTGTGAGGTGGTCGCCGCGCCCTCAGGGCGCTCCATGCTCCTCCTGAAAGGTCTGGGATGGGGCGCCTCCGGACGGCCTTCGGAGGAACCTCGGGCGGCGGCTGGGCCAGCGCGGTCCCCGCGCTGCAGTCGGAGGCCGGGAGCCATGACTCACCCGCGGGCTAATCGCAGCGTAAATAGCTTTGCGCCGATCGGAGGAGGCGGGCGAGCTGCGGCGAGGGGCGTGTGCGGGGGGCTCTGAGCACACGCCTCCGTCCTGCCTCCCACGTGCGAGGGCTGCGGTGGGGACCCCCTCCGTGCGAGCGGCCTCGGTGCCGGTGAGCGGTGGCCCAGCAGCGCGCGGGCCCGCGCCCGCCTCCCACCGACACCATCCGCCGCGGGAAGGAGCGGGCTCCGCCGTGTTTTCAGCGGGGACTGCGGGGCCTTAGAGCGCCCGCCGCCCGCGGGTGACTTGCCGGGGCCGTGGGATCCTGAGCCCCCTGCGCACAAGATGGACAGTTGGAAAGGCCAGGGCGTCAGCGTGCGCCCCTGCGCGTGAGCGGAGCGACTAGGAGCTGCCTCCCAAAGACTGTTTTGGTTTCCAGGGCGACAAGGTTCGCAGCAGCCGCCTCTCCATCCGGTGCTGCGGTGCTGCGGCGCTGCGGTGCGCTGCGGCCGGACCCATTGGCTTCGGGCGCAGTGAACCCTCGGGCGGAGCCAGGCCACGCTGGACTGGGCAGCAGCATCTCTCCCCGGCACCCACCTTCCCTGACACTTGTGCCCCGACCCCCTCCCTGTCCCTCCCCTCACCAGCCTCGCTCCTGGTGCCCGCGTCCTGGGCTGTTCTGTCGCAGGGGCTCCCTTCGCCACCCTCACCCGCTCCTGCCTTCCCCGTGTGCGATCTCCGCATGGACTCCCGGAAGAGTAACTGGCTACTGACTCCTCGGTGCCTGAGTCCTTCGGACCAATGGGTGCTTTGCGTGGCTTGCTTTTTTTTTAAAGTACACTCTTTTAAAAAATATTTTTTTATTGATTTCAGAGGAAAAGGTAGGAGAGAGAGATAGAAACATCAATGATGAGAGAGAATTATTGATCAGCTGCCTCCTGCATGCCTCCCACTGGGGATCGTGGGTGCAAACCCTGGTGTGCCTGGAGGGAATCCAGCCGTGACCTCTTGCTTCATGGGTCGGAGCTCAACCACTGAGCCACGCCAGCCGGGCAAAATTATTTTATTGTTGTATCTGTTGCGGTTATTGTATGTTTTTCCTTTTCAGCCTGTTACTGTGGTGAGTGGCGTTCATCGAGTGTCCGTGTTAAGCCAACCTTCACTCCTGAGATAAGTCCCACTTGGTCATCGTCAGGCCAACAGCCTCTGATGCCTGTTACCAGGAAGAGGACAAGTACTTCTCCCACAGGAACACAGAGCAGGGTCAAGCGTTACCCACACTGAGTGACAGCCCATCCGCGGGGTCTGCTCCCCCAAAGCCAGGAGGCCCCCAGCAGCTGATTCATGGCCATTAGCAGAGGTGCACCCCTCCTGTGCTGCAGCAGAAGCCCCCTCCCCCCACCCACCGCAGACTCCCGGGGCTGGCCAGGTGCCATGGGGTGCACAGTGAGCTCCAAGAGGGAAGACATTCCCACGCAGTGGTGAGCCCAGCACAGGGCCTCCCGGTGAGGAAGTGCTCAGCCCCAGGCCCGTTCTCGCTCAGATGAGTAGGGGCGGGCAGACGGTGCAGTCCTGATGGCCTACCCTTTCCATAGGGGCGGGGGGGGGGGGGTCCAGTGTGCTGTTACCTCCTTGAGGACTTGTGTCTGTGTTAGCGCGAGGTATTATTTATAGCAGTGGTTCTCAACCTTCCTAATGCGGCGACCCTTTAATACGGCTCCTCATGTTGTGGTGGCCCCCAATTTCATTGTTACACATTGAACATCATTAAAGCACAGTGATTAATCACAAAAACAATATGATATTATATATGTGTTTTCTGATGGTCTTAGACGACCCCTGTGAAAGGGTCGTTCGACCCCCAAAGGGGTCGCGACCCACAGGTTGAGAACCGCCTTCTCTGCTTGTACCGTTGTCATCTCCTCTCAGAGTCTGGGGTGCTAACTTTGCAAAATGAGTGGGGAAGGGCTCCCTCATTTTTTAAAATATACTTTTTTTTTATTGATGTCAGAGAGGAAGGGAGAGGGAGAGATAGAAACATCAGTGATGAGAGAGAATCATGGATCGGCTGCCTCCTGCACAGCCCACACTGGGATCGAGCCCACCACCCAGGCCTGTGCCCTGACGAGCATTCAAACCCTGACCTCCCGGCTCAGAGGTCCACACTCCACCGCTGAACGTGCCACGCTGGCCAGGCCCTCCCTCGCGTTTTACTCTCTCTGAGCACTTGTAGGGCTGGCATTGTTTCTTCCTTAAGGATTTGGCAGAGTTCACCTGTGAAGCCATCTGGGGTTGAAGTTTTCTTTATGGGATGATTTTAACAAACTTAATTTTAAGAACATGTATAGGGATGTATTTTTTTTTCTGGAAGGAGCGTTAGTATCTTTTGAGGAACTTCTCCATCACATATTTAGATTTGTTGGCATGGAGTTGTCTATATTATTTCTCTATAAGCTGTTACTTTTATTGTATGAAAAATATACCTCAGTAAAGCTGAAAGAATAAAATGTTTTAAATTTTTTATTTTTATGTCTCTAGGGTCTGTAGTGAAATTCCCTCTTTCATTTCTGATACTGGTCATTTATGTGGTGTTTTTTTAATTTTTGTTTTAATCCTCACTGGGGGATATTTCTTCCATTGATTTCTAGAGAGAGGGATGGAGGGAGGAGGAGGAGAGAGAAACATCAATGTGAGAGAGAGACATCGATTGGTTGCCTGCACCCGTACTGGCGTTGGGGAACCTGCAACCACAGTACATGCCCTTGATGGAAATCAAACCTATGATCCTTTGGTCCATGGGCCAGTGCTCTAACCACTGAGAAAATGGGCCAGGGCTGTGTGGTGTGCTTTTAAAAATTAATTTGGCCCTCACCGGTGTGGCTCAGTGGACAGAGCGTCGGCCTGCGGACTGAAGGGTCCCAGGTTCGATTCCGGTCAAGGGCATGTACGTTGGTTGCAGGCACATACCCAGTGGGGGGTGTGCAGGAGGCAGCTGATGGATGTTTCTCTTGAATCCATGTTTCTAACTCTCTCTCTCCCTTCCTCTCTGTGAAAAAAAATCAATAAAATATATTTTTTTAAAAATCAATTTGGCTGCAGGTTAATACTTTTGATCATTAAAAATAGTGTTTAGTTTTATCATTTCCTTTATTTTTGTTTTCTGTTTCATTGACTGCCACTCTTCTTTGTTAGTCCCCTTTTCTCTGCTTACTTTGGCTTAGCTTGCTCTTTTTCTAGTTCCGGTTTGAGGCATTTCTTTTTATATAATCACTTAATGCTATAAGCATTGCTTAGGGGCATAAAGTAACAGTGAGCAAATTCAATCCCTTAGTTTGAACTTGAATTCATAAAAGCAAAATTCACTTTTATCATGCCCCCCTGCCGCACCCTGCGTGGCGGCTCCGGATGGCCTGTAGGAGGGCTGCGTGCTGGCAGAGCAGAGAGAACACAGGTCAGTAAAGCTCAGTAAAGTTTAGTGAACAAGATTATGGGGTCAGGAAATCACCTCGAGCCACTGATGGCTGCCTCCTGCACGCCCCACACTGGGGCCGTTGCAGTCACAACAGGAGCCATCTTGTGCTGGCCACAGCCCTGCTGACCGCCCCAGGCCCATGGCCTTCCGCGTTCCTGGTGCACTTTCATGCCCATGCTGTTATGCACGGTCTCCCGCACTCCCCCACAACTTTCTAAGGTGCTCTGGGATGGCAGGTACTGGAAGGCTAGTCCAACTTGAAGACAGGATCTGGGAGGACAGGTGGTGGATGGATGATGGATAGATGGGTAGGTGGGTGGGTGGGGGGATGGGGGATGGGTGGTGGGTAGATAAGCTCAATATGAGGGATGGATAAAATAAGATACCAGAGGGACCATGCATGACCAATGGTGATAACGCCTCACACACTGGAGAGCAGGATTAACTCAGCTCTCTGGCTAATAAGCTAATCCTCACTCCCATTTCCTGGTGGCATAGCAGCTGTGGTCTGTTCCCTCTGTCCAGGACCCCAGCTGGGGGATGGCCCTGGGAGGAGGGACGCTTTCAGGGAAGAGGGGTCAGGGCTAAGGGTGGACCCGCCCCAGGGCTGCTGAGAGTGACCCTCCCTCCTGCATCCCATAAGCCAGAGCCACAGGCGGGTCCCTGAGGTCAACTGTGGGGCGCAGAGGGCGGAGCTTAGTCAGTCAGCCGCTGCCTCTGCCATCCTCCTGGGCAGCGCATTGTCCCGGCCCCAGGCCGTGAAACCACTCCGCCTGCAGCTACGGCTCCTCCCGAGATGGACCCTTCCCACGTGTTCAGTCACGAGGCTTTAAATGTTCCTCCGGGTGCTTGGGTCTGCGGTCATCCCTGCAGAGTTCCCGTCCTCAGGAACCCCGAGTTACCCCTTGTCCCTGTTTTCTAAGGCATTTGTTCCCTTCCTCCCGCTTCCCACAGCAAGTCCCAGGCTGAGGACATGCCCACTCCCTGGCTGGCTGAGAACTGGACCCAAAGCCACAGTGAACCCCAGTCCCTGTGGCCCCCGCAGCCCAGAACAGAGCCTGCGCCCACAGACGCTGCGGGTGCAGACAGGACCGTGTCCTTCAGATCCCACCTCGCCCGGTGGCCCCGCCGTGGGCTCTGATGGGCCTCAGCCCGGGGGGAGCACACAGTTCTGTCAAGGCCCAGAGGGCACACGTTCCAGGCTTTGCAGCCACACGGCGTGTGGCCCGGGCTCAGCTACAAGCAGCCCCGTGCGTGAAGCCCGCTATGGGTTGCTCTCCCTGGAGTCGAGGCCCTGAGGGTCCCTCCCTGCTCTGAGCAGGGCTCCTCTGGACTCTGTGGCTGCCTGGGGGCCCTGCTAAGCCAGTCAACCCCTGGGGTTTGCAACCCTGGCTGCCGCTGCCATCAGCGGAGGGCCCAGAGCCACGGGAACCGCTGTGCCGCTGGCCGCCCCACCTCTGAGCCGGGGGTGTGACACGATGCACTTCCTTACGCTTAAGGCATGTAGAGCTCATTCCTTCTACTGTCCTGGCCGCTCTGAGCAGGACCCGCCCACAGGGGTGGGCGCCGGGTGCCAGGCCCGCTCCCCGCAGCAGCACCAGGGCAGCTGCCTGGACACCCCAGCTGCACCTGCGAGGCTGCCGGCGCCACGCGGCTCTGCGCACACCCGGCTGGTGCTGGCCTCAGGGCTCCACGGCAGGAGGGAGCCGGGGCCTCCCCTCAGCCAGCTCAGCAGAGGGACGAGAATACAGGGCTGAGCCCACAGCCAGCTCAGCCCAGCCCTCACTGGCCATCGTGGGCCGGGCGTGCCCTCTGCGTGGCCGGTGTGGTGGCTGAGACCAGGCAGCCAATGCCCAGAGGCTGACCTGGCCCATCGTTCATGCGAGTGTCCAAGGGCGGCCCAGCCATGGATAGATTGTGGGGGACTTAAGTCCTGGCTGGTGCTCAGTGGTTAGAGTGTCGGCCTGCGGACTGAAGGGTCCCGGGTTCAATTCCGGTGAAGGACACGTACCTCGGTTGCAGCCTCCGCAGCCCAGGCCCTGGTCGGGGTGCGTGCAGGGGGGCAACCAATCGATGTGTCTCTCTCACATGGATGTTTCTCTCTGTCTCTCCCCTCCCTCCCTCTCCCCCTAAAAACCAATGGAAAAATATCCTCGGCTGAGGATTAACAAACAAACAAAAAGAAACCAAACCAAAGAAGAAAGTGGGGAACTTAAAACAGCAGAAATGTGCTGTCTCTCTTGGGGGGCAGCTCAAGGGCTGGTTCCCTCTGGGAACCTGAATCCCGTTTTGTCTGGCAGGAGAAATTTCCAAACCAGGTCACATGACAGGCTCCAAGCTCCATGAGACAAAGGGTTAATGCACCACAGCCCTCTAGCTACCCCTGGGCACTGCCCTGCCCGCAGCCCCCAGCCCCCGGGCACTGCCAGCCCACCCCACAGGCTGCCGTCTGGCTGGCTGGTGGCCACGGCCATTGGTGAAGCGGGAGACCGGGAAGTTCTGTGAGCCTGAGAGGTGCTGCTCCTTCCCTGGACTGGGGGAGCTGACCGCCGGGTGTGTGGGGGGGAGGGGGGGGGCAGGCGGTGTTAGCAAGGCCAGGGGCCAGCACGCGGGCCACGCCTTCCGTGGAGCACTGTCAGCCACAGGGTGACGGACGGCTCGAGCTGCTTGTGCCTGCGCCCAGGGCGTGGGTTCCCACCGCCATGCGCCTGGAAGCTTCATGCCACACCCAGTTTTCCTCAGCCTGGAGGGGAGGAGGGAGCAGAGGAGGACGCTGGCAGGACCGGAGGGTGGGCCTCAGGGCGGGGTGAGTGGCAGATTTGGGAAGTGCCCCCCAAGACCCAGTTCCCCAGGCGCTCGACCAGGTGGTGGTCATCACGTGTCTCTCACACCCAGGCCCAGCACAGGGCCTCCGGAGACGATGCCCGGGGGACACCGAGAAGCTGCTTGGGGCTGACGGCCAGCGAGGCGATGGCAGCCCTGGCCCCAGATCCGAGAGCTGCAGGCCGGCACCCTAGTCAGAACCCACTATTCTTAGGAAACGTGGGAACCTTGGAGCGGCTCCCGGCAAGAAGCCGGCTGCGTGGTTCCGTGGAGGCGGGAGCCTCGAGCCCCGCCCCCCCGCCCCCAGCCCCGGCCAGCTGGGCCCATGGGGTGTCACAGCTGCAGGGCCCAGAGCCCCGAGATCCCTGCTCATGTGGAGAACACTTGTCCCAGCACACGAGGAGCCCCGGCCGGCGTGCACACTGCACACACACACACACACACACACACACACACACACACACAGTTTCACCAGCTGAGTGCAGCAAGAGTCAGACTCACACACAAGCCCTGCGTCCCGGTGGAAAGTGTGCTACCGACACAGACACGGCTCCATGAGGAGGAGACCCAGCCACGCGGAGCCCATGAGCAGAGGGGCCAGAACCCTCCCCCTGAGACGATCTGCTGCCGCCTCTGCAGACAGGCCGGTTCCATCGCTGCTGCCTCAGGTGAATCCGAATGCCAGGTGCCACCAGGCTCACTGAGACGTGCACACTGGTTCCCATGGACAGAGCTTCTACCCCAGGCTCCCACAGTCCATGGTGCGCATGCACACACGCACAGGTACATGCACACACAGTCATGCATGTACACACACTGCGTGCACATGCAATCATGCACGCACCTAGGCACACACGTGTGCACCCCTGCTTGGGCACACACAGACTTGTGCGTGTTCACACAGTCTTTTTTTCTGTGAAGCAAAGGGCACCCCTACAGCAAGAGAGTCAGAGAGACGTGGTAGCTTCACCTTGTTTCACATCATGAATCACAGAGAAGCTAAATCTGATGATGTCGGGGGCGGCCCAGGCATGCCAGTCCCTGTGTGAGGCACGGGTGCTCGGGAACGAACTCGCCTGCAAACACGGCCAGAGGTTGTGGCAAATAAAGGTGCCGGCACGTGGGGAATGGGGGCGGCGGGGTCCATTCAGACACTGAACTAAGGGTGCCAGCTCTTCACAGAGCAGCACCGGGTGCGTCCAGGTGAAACCCTCACCCGCCAGACTGGATGCCCAGGCCGCCTCTTCCCAGCATGGAAAGGGGAGTGTGTGAGCCCCTCGCCCAGGCCAGGGCTGGGCCACCTCCCTCCCTTGTCCCCACCTCCCTCTGTGGGGGTGGACCCGAAGCGGCAGCCTCAGGGGGCCCCGCTCCAGGCCTGGGACCGGGCTGTCTCCCCGTCTCCCCGAGGCAGATGCCCACCCGTGTATACCTGAGCCCAGGTCTGGGCCGCCGGTGGGACCAGGTGGAGAGGGTCATCTCCCTCCACGGAAGGAAGCCCCCCGACCCCCGCCCCAGCCGCTGGGGCGTCCCGAAGGCCCCATCATTCCCAGGCAGCAGGCAGCCCAGGCCTCAGGCCTCAGGCAAGGGGGCAGGCGTGGCTGTCAGCTGGTGGCCCAGGCCTCTAATCGCCACTAAGCAAGGCTTTGCTGACGACAGTGTTTGCGGGAGTCTGCGCACACCTGGGGCGGCCGCCGGACACCATGAGCCTCCGCGAGGAGCAGGTGCGGCGGTACCTGGACCAGAACCCCAGCTTTGCGGACCGGTACTTCGGGAAGACGCTGAGCCCCGAGCACGCGGCCCGGGCCTGCGAGGACGAGGATGAGGACGGGCTCCCCGCGGGCGGCGCCAGCTTCCGGGAGCTGTGCCAGGTGCGGGAGAGCGCAGCGCTGTTCGAGCTGGTGCGGGACATGCAGGAGAGCGTCAACATGGAGCGCGTGCTCTTCAAGATCCTGCGCCGCCTGGGCCCCCTCCTGCGCGCCGACTGCTGCAGCCTCTTCCTGCACCGGCAGCGCAACGGCGTGGCCGAGCTCGCCACCCGCCTCTTCGGCGTGCGGCCGGGCCGCGTCCTGGAGGACTGCCTGGTGCCCCCCGACTCCGAGATCGTCTTCCCACTGGACATCGGGGTTGTGGGCCACGTGGCTCAGACCAAGAAGATGGTGAACGTGCAGGACGTGAGGGAGGTGGGTTCCCGCCGCCCCTCCAGGGCCTTGAGGGTCCCACGGGGTTGGGGGGGGGAGGTCAGCAGGCCGCACGGGGAAGGGGGTGGGAGGGGGCGCCCGGGAGGAGCAGGGAGAGGCTGCAGCCCAGGAGGGGCCCGTGCATCTCCCGGCCCCTGAGGGGCCCAGCCTGGGAGCTAGAAGTAGGAGCCGTGACCTGGACCTGCCTCTTCCACGCCCACAAAGGAGTCAGAGGGGCCAAGCCCCCAAGCAGCCGCGTCCCCTTGTCCGTGGAGACAGATGGACGTGCAGACCCAGGCTGGAAGGGAAGCAGCCAGGCTGCAATCCTCTTAGCGCCTCTGCTCCCACCGCCTGCCTCTGTGGCCTGAGCAGAGTAATCTCCAGGATTAGCCTCTCTCTTCGCTTCCTTTCTAAGAAATGGGTCACCCAAGAATCGGGTGTCAGAAGCGCGACTTCCCAGAAACAGGCGCTCAGTAGTGGGGACCCCCCTCCCCCGGCTTGTCCCCTCAGGGGCCGGTTTTTCAGCCTCCCCACCCCACGCCTGTGCTGCGGGTGCCCCAGCTGCTCTGAGGGTCTGGTTCCACCTTCGGGGCTGCCCCAGGCCGGGTCCCCCCCCTGTAGAGCTGTCGCCCTGGGTCTCCCGGGCAGGGGAGCCGTGTGGCATCGGAGGAGCCGCCGTGGGGCAGGCACAGCCCTGGCCTTGTCCTCAGGCCACGGGGGCTCCTTGATCCCAGATGCAGTGGAACAGAGACCAGATCAAAACTCACCAAAAAGCAAATCTCCACAAAGTGCATCACGAATCCCTGCGTTGTCAGGGTCGGGTTTCCAGGTGGCTCTGGAGAGGGGAGACTGAGGCAGGGTCTGAGCTCCGCCCTGGGCGCCAGCCACTCAGAGGGCGGAGCCCCAGGGGCTGTTCCCGGAGCCAGGTGTGTGGGGGGGTGTAGGGGGAAGGAGGATGCGGGGGGGGGGGGGGGGGATGCAGGTCTGGCCGGTCAGCACCCTCAAAGCTCCCAGACCACGAGGGCTTGTGGCTGAGCCTCTGGGCCAGGACCATGGGCCCAGGTCTGGCTCGGGGGGCAGGCGTTCTGACTCCCCCCTCCCCCCCCCGCCCCCGCCACAAAGAGCTGTGGTCCCCAAAACGCCTGGCCAGAGAGTCCTGCTGTAGCCGCGGTGTCGGACCCAGTTGTGGTGGCTGGAGTTGTGTGGTTGAAGGACGAAGGGCCGGCGCTGGGGGCGGGGTGAGGCCTGGGAGCTGCCGTGGGGGAGCAGGGGCAACAGCGTTGGGGACACTTTAGAGAAACCCCAGGCTTCGGTCCTACAGGGTCTGAGTGGCGGGCAGGCAAGGCCGCACGGGGGGCCCTCCGCAGGCGTGGGTGGGGCCGATCCCGGGAGGGGCACAGGAGGCAGTGTGGCTGGGCAGGAGGGTAAAGGCGTGGGCCCGGGGCTGCCAGTCCGTCCCAGGGTGTCTGGGAGCTTGTGCACCCCCAGCAGCTGCAAAGCGTCCAGCTGAGGCTCTGGGGCCCAGGGTCTGACCCCACAGAGGAGCCCGGACGGGGCAGGGGGCCGGTGGGGGGAGACAGGGGAGCAGAAACAGCACAGGCAGGGAGCCCGTGCAGGCGTGGGCCCAGGCGCTTCCGTGACTCTACTCCGAGAGCGTGGCTCCGGCCCCAACGTGCCCCCCCTCAGAGGCCCGCGCCCGCGTGCACGTGTGGTGGGGCCCGGATGCGGGCATCCGTGCGGGTCCCCTGGGCACGAGGACCGGAAGGCAGCCGGCAGCACAGCCAGGCGTGTGGACGCCGGAGCGGCCGGTGCTGTGAAGGGAGCCGGGAGCTGGCGGGCGGAGGGCTCAGCACGTGGGACCTTCCGGTTCAGACGCGGGACCCGCACTCACCGGCCAAGCGCTGCTCGTCCTGCGGTCAGAGCTGAGCACCGTGAACCCCTCACTCTGGCCTCGTGTGAAAACACGTCCATCGGGAAGGGGCTGAGGCCGGCACATCCCTCTGAGGGACAGAGTCCGAGTCACCTCGGGGAGCCCTGTTCGGGGCCCAGTCAGGGCTTGAGGACCCTGCCCCTGTGGAGACAGACCTCCAGCCCCTCCCTCCCCACCAGGGACCTGCTTGGGACAGGTGTTCGGGTGGTGGGACCCCCTGGGGCAGGTGCTGGGGTGGTGGGAGCCCCATGGGGAGACCCCAACTGGCGCACAGGCCTGGGAGGCCTGTGGGGGGTTTGGACAGAACCTGGGGCCCCAAGGAACCCTCGACGCCCACCCGCGGGCTGTCCCCCGAACACACCCCATCAGACTGTGCTCCCCTGAGTTCAGCCACACGTATGTTTGGGGGAGGAGCCCATGGGTCTGGCCCCAGCGGTGGAAGGCAGGAGGAGCGGCAGCCAGGAGTAGGAGGGCACCCAGGTGTCAGGTGTGGGGGGACCCAGTTCTGCCCACAGCCCAGTGGGGCACGGGGGTGGGGGTGCTGTGAGGACTGCAGAGCCTGGAAGCCAAGGTGGGGTGACAGGGACTGAGCCAGGCCCGTGGCACGTCCTCTGAGCTTCCCGGGCTCCCCAGGCCGGGGCAGGGCCGCTGGGCGTCAGCACTGGCCTGGGGCCCCACAGCCCCCCGAGCCCAGGCCCACAGAGGAACAGCCTCTGTCTTTTCTCCGTCACCGCACAGAACCCCCACTTCAGCACCTTCGCCGACGAGCTGACCGGCTACGAGACGAGGAGCCTCCTGGCCACGCCCATCATGAACGGCAAGGACGTGGTGGCCGTGGTCATGGCCGTGAACAAGCTGGACGGGCCGGGCTTCACCAGCGAGGACGAGGACGTGAGTGCAGGCCCCCCCCCCGCCGGCAGGGGTGCGAGTGGCCGCGGCTCCGTCCCTCTGTGGGCGCCTGAAAGCCGGGCTTTAACGCCTGTGGTCGACCCTCCGTTCCAGGTTTTCCTGAAGTACCTGAACTTTGGGGCCTTGAACCTGAAGATCTACCACTTGAGCTACCTGCACAACTGTGAGACGCGCCGCGGACAGGTACCGCCTGGCCCTGCCTCCTGGCCACAGCCGGGGGTCCAGGCCCCCTGCTCGCTCTGGACAAAGGCGGGCGGGGTGGGCCCCCCACCCCCAGGGCAGGTTGCTAGGGGTCATGGTGTGGTGCTGTGTGTGCTGGCCGACGTCAGAGGCTGGGCCTGGCCCCTGGGCTGCCATCCCTCACCGGGGGCCCAGGCGGGTGTGAGGGCACTGCCCTGCCTGCCAGCTGCCCCAGCCCCTCTGGAAGGAGTCAGGGGATTGTGCACAGATGACAGACACACAGTCCTGCTGCTCTGAGGCCGAGATCCCTGGTGGTTTGGCCCTGGCCACACGGGACACAGGACAGTGTCTGCCTGCCCGAGCGAGGGCGTGGGGGCTAGAGGGAGAGGGGGGGCCTTGTGCTGTGGGAAAGAGTGCCGAGCTGCCAGCACGCAGCCTCGGGCCCCTGCGTGTCCCCCTGCCTCCGAGTGCTTGGCTTGACTCTGGTGGGAGGTTTGCTGTGTCATCAGGTGTTACCACCTACGTGCAGGCTGACCTGGCAGGTGCACACGGAGCCTGGGCTCCATGAGGCCCCTGGGAATTCGGGGACAGTCACTACAATGAGAATAAGAATAAAAGCTGCCGTCCTGCGATGTTTGCTACAAACAGCAACGCCTCCGATTGGGTAACTTAGCGCAGGTCCGGCAGGAATACTGGCTGCCGGTCACACACGACCAGGACGGGATGAGGGAGCTGAGGGCTCGCGTTCCTGCCCGGAGAGGAATGGACATCGGTCCGGAAACGGCCTCGCAGACGTGGGCCAATTAATAGAACGCGTGATGGGGCCGGTTTGACATTTGTGGTTGTGAAGTTATCTGCTTTGATGTTGGTTATTAGACATCGTTGAGCCCGGCCGGTGTGGCTCAGGGGTTGAGCATCGACCTATGAACCAAGAGGTTACGATTCGATTCCGGTCAGAGCACAGGTCCGGGTGTGGGCTCCATCCCCAGTGTGGGGTGTGCAGGAGGCAGCCGATCAGTGATGCTCTCTCATTACTGATGTTTCTTTCCCTCTCCCTTCCTCTCTGAACTCAATAAAAATATTTTTTTTTAAAAGGTGAATGACTGGGAGGGAATACGAATACCTAGATGAGTGGACATGTGGGCATAGTTTTAACGTCATCTCCATTTTTTAAACGTAGGTCGTTTACCTTTAATAAAGCTGGTGTGGAGCCCTGGCCAGTTTTGCTCGGTGTCAGAGCGTCTGCCCAGGGACCACGGGACTCAGGTTCTGTTCCCAATCAAGGGCACGCGCCTCGGCTGCGGGTTCGATCCCAAGCCCCGGTCAGCGGGGGCATGTGCAGGAGGCAACCAATCGCTGTGTCTCAGTCACACTGATGCTCCTCTCCGCCCTCCTCTCTCCCTTCCACTGTCTCTAAAGATCAATGAAAAAAATATCCTCACTCTGGGTTGAAGATTAAGAAAATAAAGGAGTCTCAGGCTCTAGCTTCTCCAGAGAGGTCAGGCCCACACCTGACATGAGTCGTAGCCATCGAGCGGAAACAGCCCAGGGCCCTGCCCCCCCTGCAGGAGGGGCGGCGGGCAGGAGGTTCCGGCAGAGGGACAGAGCACAGGCCCTGCGTGAGGCCTTGGGGTGAAGTCCCAGGACACCCCGAGTCAGAGCAGCTCTGCCCAGGGCCGGGTCAGAGGCCCTTCAGGGCTATTTGCTCTGAACGCTGACCTCCCGGCTACACGAGGCAGCTGCCTAAACATCCCCCTGGCGTGGCTCAGCTCCCACTGAGAAACAGAGGCAGGAGGCGAGGGCGGGTGGTGCCTCGCGGGCCAGGCTGCTGGGGTCAGAACCGCAGACACACCCCAACCCTGCGCCCATTTCCTCCGGCTGTGACAGAACCTGCTCCTGGCAAGGGGGCCGCACGGTGACAGGTCCCTGGTCTAATCAGGGCTCAGGGGTGACAGACGGAGGGCCGGGTGGGAGTGGTGGGTCTCCCTCGATGCTCCTGGGGAATGAGCGGGGGTGGGGGGGTGATTATCTTCACACAAGTGTGTGGGGGCTGTGCCCAGGCCTTTCGCAGCAGGATGGAGGTGCTCGTCCACCAGCTGACTCGAGTGGGTGACACAGGTGGGTGGCAGGTGTGGGTGACTCACGTGTAGGCCCCAGGGGCAGCTGGCACAGGGCCTGCAGCGCAGATGGTCGGCGGCTCTCACGCCCTCTGCACCGTCAGCAAGCACTGGGGCTCTGCATGGCTCCTGACCTCACAGCTGTGATTGAGGGGCCAGACCCCAAGACTGCTTCCTGACGTCCGGAAGGAAGGGGCGCTGTCGGGGTCTGGCTCCGCGAACGCGGCTGTGAAGGCCCAGGGCGCAGCTTGTGCAAAGGCCCTGGGCCGGGTCAGGGGAGGGAGTGGGGACACAGAGGAAGCAAGCCACCACTCAGGAACTCCTGGTCTACGTGGGCAGCGCGCTGCCTCCTGGCAGGAGGACACAGGTGGGGCCATGAGAGCCAGAACCGGCCAGTGACAGTGGGGGCTGTAGGGGCCCCGGGGGGCTGGCAGCAGGGGAGCCATGCAGGGGATGATCTTGCAGGAGGGGCTCGGCCCCAGGCAGTGCTCAGGCCCGAGGACAGGTGCGGAGGGGAGCAGGTGTGACAGGCTGGGGCCAGGAGGTGCCCTGCCTTTGGGCTGTGGCTGAGGAGATGGAGGAACTGGGGAGGGTCCCCCCTCGGAGTTAGTCTGAGCCTGGCCATCAGCTGAGGCCCAGGGGGCGGGTGACCCAGGGCCTCGGGGACCCTCACCTCACCTTGCTGGCCCAGGACACCATGAGCTCGTGTCCTCAGAGCCCTGCCCCCACCGCCTGACCAGGGCGGGCTGGTCTAGGCTGTGCCTTCCAAGCTCATGGCCACTGATGACAATTTCCATCACTCATCACGGACCCGGTGTGAAGCCAACCAGGCCGCACGGGGCAGGGACATGGCCGGAGCTGGAGGCCTCATCCCCCAGGAAGCCCCCAGGCCCTGGGGTCAGGCCGCAGGAGTGGGGGCTGGTGCCCCTCAGAGATGCTGTTGGGGGGCCGCCCGGCTCAGTGTCCCCCGGGTCCTGCGGCAGGTGCTGTGCACGTGCGTCTCAGGGGTGAGGGTTGGTGCCCAGACAGGCAGGTGGGTGTGACCAGGGGCCATGGTGCCGCCCTGCAGGTGCTGCTGTGGTCGGCCAACAAGGTGTTTGAGGAGCTGACGGACATCGAGCGGCAGTTCCACAAGGCCTTCTACACCGTGCGGGCCTACCTCAACTGCGACCGGTACTCCGTGGGCCTCCTGGACATGACCAAGGAGAAGGTGAGGCCCCGCCCACCCCACCCCTCACCCCCCACCCCCCGCCAGGCCTCGCGAGGCTGGCTCACCCCTCTTCCTCTTCCCCGCCAGGAATTCTTCGACGTGTGGCCCATCCTGATGGGAGAAGCCCAGCCGTACTCAGGCCCGCGTACCCCTGACGGCCGAGTGAGTCGTGGGGACGGGCCAGCCGCTCCCCACCCCCCAACTCCAGGGCAGCAAGGGGCCCGTCCCAGCCCTGCCCAGGACGGGGGAGGGCGAGGGGCCTGGGGAGCCAGGGACGGACGTCTCACCTCCCAGAGGTGCCCGGGAGTGCTGGCCCGGAGCCCTCACGCCGCCCGCTGTGGTCTGGCCCTCAGGAAGTCCTCTTCTACAAAGTCATCGACTACCTCCTCCACGGCAAGGAGGACATCAAGGTCGTCCCGTGAGTGCCAAGGTCGTCCTGTGCCGGCGGGTCCTGGGCTGCCGGCGCCCACGTGGTGGGAGGCGCTGGCTCGCTGACCTGGAGACAGTGACTGGGGGGTGAACCTTGCAGCGGCCATCCCGGGGTCCAGGGAGCGTCCAGGGGGCCCTGCCACGCGCCTGAGCTCGCAGGCCCTCTAGTCTCGTTGACACTGCACACCCGGTGGGATGGACCCCAGGGGACGTCTGCTGGGGGCAGCATGGCCGGTGGGGCTCAGGGAGGGCCCGGTCCCAGCCCTACAGCCACGCGGCCATGGCCCTGGGCCCCACAGGCCGGTCAGGGCCCCACCCACAGGCCCCCACAGGGACCGGACCTCCAGATCCCGGCCCGGCCACAGTACAGGGGTCCAACGCTCAGCTCCAGAGGCCACAGGAGGCAAAGGGGTTTCCACAGGGCCAGCGGCCTCGTCGTGGGCAGAGAAGGCAGATGAGGCAGCACAAATGCCCCCAACCCCACCCTCCGCTGCCTGCAGCCTCCCAGCTTCCCTCCCCCGAAACCCCTGCCCCACCCAGAGCTCAGAGAATGGAGCCAACAGGAACACGCGCACACACACACACACACACACACACACACACGCCGCACAACCCTGGGTCTGGCCCATCTGACCCTCTGCTTCTCTTCCCAGCACACCCCCAGCTGACCACTGGGCTCTGGCCAGTGGCCTTCCAACCTACGTGGCAGAAAGTGGCTTTGTGAGTCCCCAAGGCCCTGCCTCCAGCCCCAGCCTCCCTGCCAGCAGCCCACGGGCACCCCCGCCAGCCCCACCTGCTTGGGGGCACCCCTGCCAGCCAGGCACCTCCCACCACCCGCCTGGGGTACCCCGCCAGCCCCTGCCCCGCTCGGCCTCTGTAGACGCTCCGGGCTGACAGTCGCTTTCAGAATCGTGTGTCCACTCGGCTGTGCAGCTGAGACTGCTCTGTGCTCCTTGCAGATCTGTAACATCATGAACGCCCCTGCGGACGAGATGTTCGCCTTTCAGGTAGCTGTTCACCAACAGGACAGGCACTGCCCTTGGGAAGAAGGGACCACGGTTCAGAAAGGACACTCAGGAGTTTCATTTTTTATATTTGTATTTTCTTTCAGAGAGGAGGGAGAGGGAGAGAGAGACATCCACGATGAGAGAGAACCATGGATCGGCTGCCTCCTGCAGGCCCCTCCCTGGGGATGGAGCCCACAACCAGGCACGTGCCCCGACCGGGAACCCAGCCAGGACCTCCTGGTTCCTAGGCCGATGCTCAACCCCTGAGCCACGCCGGCCGGGCCAGAATTGGCTTTTACTGCTTAAGAAACAGCCTCAAAATCGCAGTGTCAAACAGCAGCAAACACATACAGGGTGTCCCCGCCCCGCCAAAATGTACACACACTTTAACAGCTGATAACTCACTTAATTTAATAAACTCTGACTTTATAATTGTTCAAAGTGTGTGTGCCTCCGGGGCACCCGTATCTCACGCTCACCTGCCTGCGGGTTCGCTGGGTTCAGGGGTTCGGGTCTGCCCCCCTCGCCTTCCCTGGGGACACTGACCAGGGCTCCTCGGCGGGAGGCTGAGGTCATGTGCGCCGGCCGTCCCACAGGAAGGCCCCCTGGACGACTCTGGCTGGGCCGTCAGGAACGTCCTGTCCATGCCCATCGTCAACAAGAAGGAGGAGATCGTGGGGGTGGCCACCTTTTACAACAGGAAAGACGGGAAGCCTTTCGACGAGCAGGACGAAGTGCTCATGGAGGTAAGCACCCTCTCAGGTGCTGGACACCCCAGAGTGGACGGGAGGCAGCGTGCAAGGTCCCATCGGGGCCAGGGCTGGGCAGGCACCCTGCCGCCCCATAGGAGCGGGCACGGTCCTGGACCACACACCTGGCACCTGGAGGGCAGTGCCCCTCGGGGGTGACGCTGTGCCCTCCGCAGTCCCTCACACAGTTCCTGGGCTGGTCCGTGCTCAACACCGACACCCACGACAGGATGAACAAGCTGGGGAACCGCAAGGACATCGCCCAGGACATGGTGCTGTACCACGTGCGCTGCGACCAGGACGAGATCCAGCTCATCCTGGTACTGCCCCCCCCCTCCCCCCGCATCCACGTGGACACACACCCAGGAGCAGGCCCATCCCGGAGGCCCACTCGCCCTGCCAGCCCAGGGTGGGTCCCTCCCGGGTGGGTCCCTCCCAGGCCGTCCCCCTGCGGTGAGCCGGGAGGGAGGCGCCTTCGTGCTGCTGTGAGGGCTCCATCCTCCGGGGAGGCAGGGGCCACCATGCACTCTCATCTCTGAGGCAGTACGCACCCCCCGGGCCTCCCGCGGTGACCTTGGTCCTCTGTCCCAGTCACAAGGGTGTGGGGGTGCTGTCGCCTGTCCCACACTCCCGAGGGTGTAGCTGACGCTGTCACTGACTCAGCGCATCGGTTCTCTCCCAGCCAACGCGAGCACGCCTGGGGAAGGAGCCGGCTGACTGTGAGGAGGAGGAGCTGTGGGAACTCTTGGTCAGAATCTGCCCCCACCCTGAGGTGCAGGCTGGGGGCTGAGGCTGGGGGCCGGGGACTAAGGGTGCTCACAGGGTGTCCCTGTGGCAGTGGCCGCTGTCCGCCACCTTCCCACGTAGGTATCTCTGCGTTTGTTTCCCTGGCAACATCACTGTGTCTGCCCAGTTAGGCAAGTTCTTGTTATTGGGCTGAGCATCTGAGGAGAGGGGAGGAAGGGAGCTGAACCATCCAGGACCCGTGTCCAGGCCACAGGCCAGAGAGACTGGCAGGGCAGATGTCACCTGGGGCATCCGGGGCTGGACAGAGGGTCCTGGGAGGAGGGACGAGGAGCAGTGGGTGGTGGGCCTGCCTCCCTCAGCCACGGCCCTCCCACAGAAGGAGGTGCTGCCTGGGCCCACCAAGTTCGACATCTACGAGTTCCACTTCTCCGACCTGGAGTGCACGGAGCTGGAGCTGGTCAAATGCGGCATCCAGATGTACTACGAGCTGGGCGTGGTCCGCAAGTTCCAGGTGCCCCAGGAGGTGAGAACATGGTCAGGGGTCCCAGATCCAGAGGTCCCAGGTCCTGCACTGAATTTGGGGCAGGCCTGTTCATTACAGAATGGGCAGTGCAGGTGGTAAAACACAGGTAGAGCGTGGGGTGGGAGAGATGACCGCTGGACGGATGGAAAGTCTGATTGACAGGAGCTCCAGGCAGTGCGACCTTAGGTGCAGCGGGCGATAGTGGGCTCTGGCATTGGTGGGGTGGGGGGCGGGGGGGAGAGAGCAGCCCACAGCTGTGCAGAAAGCACCCGCCACTCCCGGCTGCAACCAGGCCCTGGCGACCATCCGACCGCCCGGGTGGGGCCGCCTCCACCCTGCTGCCCCGCGGTTCCCTTCACACCCTGAGCCTCTGCTCTCACCGCCACCCATTGAGGGAAACACCTTCCCTCTTGCCGACGCCAGGGCAGCAGGCCGCATTTCCAGGAAATGTTCTACTGAATAAGAAAGGAAACAAAAGATAAAAATTATAGACAATATGGACAGAAAAAATATTTCCTGATAATTTTCTGGACCTAAAAATCACAGAACAGCCCTAGCTGGTGTTGCATAGTGGGTAGCGCGTTGGCCTGGGGACCCAAGGGTTCCGGGTTTGATTTCGGTCAAGGACACGAACCTACCAGCCTGGACCCTGGTCAGAACTCATGCAGGAGGCAACCAATCGATGTGTCTCTCTCACATCGATGTTTCTCTCTGTCTTTCCCTCCCTTCCACTCTCTCTAAAAAGCAATGGAAAAATATCCTCGGGTGAGGATTAAAAAAATTATTTAAATCGAAGAACAATAAGAGGCTCCCCTGGGGAGATCACTGCCCTCCACCCCACCCCCTCCCAGCCTCCACCTCACCCACCGGCCTCAGGACCCTCAGCCACCAGCGCCAGGTGCCCACACAGCTTGCCCCAAACAGGCCTTTTCTTCTGAGACGCCCTGTACCTGCCCTGCCCGTGTGACCAGGGTCACGAGTTCCATTCCCGGTCAAGGCACATACCTGGGTTGCAGGTTCGTTCCGGGCCCAGGTGGAGGCGCATTCTGAGGCAACCACTCCACACGTCTCTCTCACAGGATGGCCCTCCCTCCCTCCCTCCCTCCTTTCCACTCTCTCTAAAAATCAATGGAAAAAATACCCTCTGCCCTGGCTGGTGTGGCTCAGTGGATAGAGCATCGACCTGCGGACTGAAGGGTCTCGGGTTCGATTCCAGTCCAGGGCATGCGCCTTGGTTGCGGGCACATCCCCAGTGGGGGGCGTGCAGGAGGCAGCTGATGGATGTTTCTCTCTCACCGATGTTTCTAACTCTCTATTCCTCTCCCTTCCTCTCTGTAAAAAATCAATAAAATATTTTTTAAAAAATACCCTCTGGGGAGGATTAACAAAATATAAACTCCCCTAGACCCCTTGCTGGGGTGCTCTTCTCACAGTTGGGGCTGGGCGATGGGACGGAGCCCCTGGCAGCCCCGTGAATGAGCCGGCCCGCCCCCCCCCAGCACCCCCCTCCCCCGCACCCCCCAGCACCCCCCCTCCCCCTCCCCCGCACCCCCCCAGCAGACCGTGTCCTGGCTCCACAGGTGCTGGTGCGGTTCCTATTCTCGGTCAGCAAAGGCTACCGGAGGGTCACCTACCACAACTGGCGCCACGGCTTCAACGTAGCGCAGACCATGTTCACGCTGCTCACGGTGCCCGGAGGGGGCAGGGCACCCAGAAGCCGGGGTGCAGGGTGGGAGGCGCCCACACACACCGCCCCACCTGCCCTGGGCTATGAAGACCTCCTGGTCCAAAGGCAGCCCCGCTGGAGGGGGGGGGGGGGGCTCCTCCGCTCGGGAGGCGGGGCTTGGAGGGCTCAGCGGGGGCCGTCCCTCCCCGGGAGGCTGGGGGGGGCGGGGGGGGGGCGTCGGGTCAGACCCAGCCCCCAGGCCGCCCCACAGCCCTCAGCCCAGGAAGCAGGAGCGGGTGCGGGTGCGGGTGCGGGACTGGGGCCCTGTGTCCGCAGACCGGGAAGCTGAAGAGCTACTACACCGACCTGGAGGCCTTCGCCATGGTCACCGCCGGCCTGTGCCACGACATCGACCACCGCGGCACCAACAACCTGTTCCAGATGAAGTAGGCGCGGCGGGGGGGGGGGGGGGGGCGGGGGGTGCAGGGAGGCGGGAGGCCCCCCCGGAGGGCCCCGCGCAGCTGGCGGGGAAGCAGAGACTCGCTGTGGCGCCCACGGCCCCTCGCGGCCACTCGGGCTGCTGGTCTCCCTGCACCTGGCAGGTCCCAGAACCCCCTGGCCAAGCTGCACGGCTCCTCCATTCTGGAGCGACACCACCTGGAGTTCGGGAAGTTCCTGCTGGCGGACGAGGTGCGAGTCCCCGCGTGCGCGTGCGTCTCCTGCCCGCGCCCCAGCGCCCCGGGCCCTGCACCTGGGCCCCGAACCTGGGCCCCTGCGCCCCGGGCCATCGGGGAGGGTACACGCCCCTGGCCTCCTGGGGCCGGAGTTTGAAGGTGCGCCCTAGCGAAAGGGGCGCGGAAGTCTCCCGGCGGTGAGTGGGCTCCCTGGGGGAGGCCGCCTGAGTCTGGTGCCCGCCCCTGGGGTGAGGGACGGACTGAGCCCCCCCCCCCCCCCCGCAGAGCCTGAACATCTACCAGAACCTGAACCGGCGGCAGCACGAGCACGTGGTCCACCTCATGGACATTGCCATCATCGCCACGGACCTGGCGCTCTACTTCAAGTGGGTCCCGCGTGGGGGGCCCAGAGGGGAGAGACCCGGGTAGGGGCACCGGGGAGACCCTGCGGCCCAGGCGCCTGGACTCCTGGCGAGACCTCCCTGGAAGGGCGGTGGGAGGGACCGCAAGAGGGGGCGGGGCCTGCCCGGGGGGGGGGGCGGAGGGGAGAGGGGGGGGGATGGGGAGGGGAGGCCCACAGCCCCGGTGTCCTCGGGGTTCAGGAAGAGGACGATGTTCCAGAAGATCGTGGACGAGTCTAAGAGCTACGCGGACCGGCGGAGCTGGACGGAGTTCCTGTCGCTGGAGACGACGCGGAAGGAGATCGTCATGTGAGCCGGAGCGAGGCTGGGGGGCGGGGTTGGGGGGCGGGTTACTCCGCCAGCCCCAGGCCAGGCCCCCCATGCTCTGCGGCAGGAACAGCTCCTCCCTCTCGGGCTTTGGTGCCTGGAGGCAGAGCCCCGTCCTGCTCCTCGCGTGCGGGGGCTTTGGGGCCCGACAGCACCGCGCACGGGCCGGTGGCGGCGCCCGGTTCAGCACCACGGCCAGCGTCTCGGCGCCGCCTTTGGCGACCACGTGCCCAGCCGGGAGCCCGCCATCCACACCCTGGAGCCCGGTTCTGATCCTCACGCCCGTACACCACGCACTGCAAGGCTCGGGACAAACTTGCTGACTTCCGCGTGCGGGGCAGGGGGCATGGGGAGCACAGGCTGCCGCTTCCGGAAGGACCTGCGCCCCGCGGTCCCCAGGCTGCGCGGGCAGGCGGGTGCAGGGGCGGGTGCAGGGGCGGGGGGTGGGGGGGCGAGGGGGCCAGCCTGGACTCGCCTCCAGCGCCCTCTGCTCACAGGGCCATGATGATGACGGCCTGCGACCTGTCTGCCATCACCAAGCCCTGGGAGGTCCAGAGCAAGGTGAGCCATCACCTGGGGCGCCGCCTCCCTCCTGGGGGGTTGGCCTGCGGGAGCTGTGCTCACGCGTGTGGGGTTCCCGCGGGTCCGGGTGGAGACCGCGGACACAAAGCCTCCGGCAGGTCCTTGGGACGCTCTCTGACCCAGCGCTGAACCCCACTGAACCCCAGCGGGTGAACGACTGCCTTTTCTGTGCCCCCAGGTGGCGCTGCTGGTGGCAGCGGAGTTCTGGGAACAAGGGGACTTGGAAAGGACGGTTCTGGATCAGCAGCCCATTGTGAGTGTTGCTTCCAGAACCTCTGCCCGGGGCGTGGTCCTGGCTCAGTGCAGACAGGGGACCCCGGTTCTGAAGTTCTGGCCTCTCACTCTGGGTCATGTGGCGAGATGGGGTGTGGGTGCCGGTGGCTCGGGATCGGGGGGAAGCTGTGAGGTTGAATCTGGTGGGACCAGGCAGTGGATCGTGGCCAGAGGCTCCACGAGCCCAGGCAGCTCCGCAGTGAACACGGCTGGGCCCTCAGAGGCCAGGGAGTCCCAGGTGGGACAGTCGTGGCCCCAGGGAGGGTGCCGAGCCAGGGAGCCAGGTGCTGGAGCCAGGGCCCACACACGGCACATGGCGGTGCGGGGCCTGTGGGTCACAGTGTGGTCCTGACTATTCTGCAAGGGAACCAGGGGCCAGGACAGCGTGGTAGGTCCAACACGCGAGAGACAGGGAGAGGGTTTGCTCACAAGCCAACCCACTTGGTGAATAGCGGTCTGAACACAGGCCTGAGGAGGAGCCGGGCAATGCAGGTGGCAGGAGAGGCGCCCTGACCACCAGCAACGTCTCTGGGACACTTGGCCGGTTTGTCCGTCCAGGCCAGGCTGCTAGGGCCCTGCCTGGCTCACTCTCCCCACGCCGGCTCCAGACCATGGGTAACTGTGAAGCAGGGACTGACAGGAGGCAGCTTGGCGGGTCCGGAGGGTGTGGACAACGAGGACAGCGGTCTAAGCTTACCAGGGGCTCGCGCCAGGGGGTCTGGGGTCCCGGGTTGGCACCGTAGACAGCTCCTGGGGAGCTGGAGGGGCCGCTCTCAGGGGATGCGGGGCCTGGTTCAGCACCCTGGACAGCGCAGTGGTGGGCCTGGTTCGTCACCATGACAGCTCCCTGGACTGGGGCCGCTCTCAGGGAGCCCGGGGTCCTGGCTCAGCATCGTGGAGAGCTCCGGGGGAAGATGGAGGGGGCCGCTCTGGGGGCGTGGCGTCTAGGGGCCCTCGGAGACCTGGGATAGGCCAGCACTATGACGTTGACAGGGATGCCCTGGAACCAGGGCCCGATGGCTCCAAGGCGCGTGGGGCATCCTGGCCTTGCCCTGCCAAGGCCCAGCGTCTCAGGCAGGCTGGGCTGGGCCAGGGCTCCACCTTCCTCTGCGCATCTCCATGGTCATGTTCATCCGAGTGGGTGGGCTGAGTCAGTCCTGGTGCTTGGGGATGTGCCGGACCCACCTGGCCCTGGCCCTGGCGCTGGTCCTGGCCCTGGCCCTGGTCCTGGCCCTGCCCCTCACTGTGCCCCTGCTTCCCCCAAAGCCAATGATGGACCGGAACAAGGCGGCTGAGCTCCCCAAACTGCAGGTTGGCTTCATCGACTTCGTGTGCACCTTCGTGTACAAGGTGAGCGCAGGCAGCACGGGGCCCACGGGCCCAGGAGGAAGGGCCGTGGAGTCATCGGCCATCCAGGGCCACCCTGGCCCACCCTCCTCACATCTGCAGTAAAATCCGACATCTTCAGTGTCGCCCCAAGTTGAGTCCCTCCCCCTCCCTAGCACAGTCAGCGCCTCGTTCCCACCGGATTTCAGCTTTCTCCCGTTCAATGTCCTCACAGTCACCTCGAGGCCTCTCCTCCAGTGTCCCTTCTTCAGCCCCCTGGGCGCTCCCCGCGCCGGCATGGTTCTCGGGGTGACGGCAGGTATATCTGCTGGTGTCTGTGAGCCCGAGGACAGGGTGGCCCCATGGAGCTGGGTGTGCTTTGCCCAGAAACATGTGCTGCACAACTGACAAGTGACAGCAGGTCACAGCTCAGGGGACTGGCCAGGGACTGAGGGGCATCTGACTGCACAGCCTCCTGTGATGCCCAACATGGCCAGGGCCTCCACCCTACCACTGGGGCAGCAGGGCAGATCCCACACTCCAAGGAGGATGTTGCCTGGTTCTGAGTGAAGTCACCCCTGACTGGACCGTCCCACCCCCACCTCGGCCCCCAGGACACCACACTTCCCTCCACTGCAACTCCAACCCCATTTCCTGCCTCCACAGCTGACCAGGATGTGCACTGCAGTCCTGACCTCACAGGTCACAGCTCCCCTCCCCACGGCACCTGCATGCCCACAGCATGTGTGTTCACATGCCTGTATGCTGTGCATGCATTTTTTATGTGTGTGCATTGTGTTTGATGTTGTGTGCATTGTGTGTGATGTGCTTGCATCGTGTGTGGTCTGTGCAGTGTGTGTGGTGTGTGCACTGTGTGTGGTGTGTGCATTGTGTGTGATGTGCTTGCATCGTGTGTGGTGTGTGCACTGTGTGTGGTGTGTGCACGGTGTGTGGTGTGTGCACTGTGTGGTGTGTGCACTGTGTGTGGTGTGTGCAGTATGTGTGGTGTGTGCACGGTGTGTGGTGTGTGCACTGTGTGTGGTGTGTGCACTGTATGTGGTGTGTGCACTGTGTGGGGTGTGTGCACTGTATGTGGTGTGTGCACTGTATGTGGTGTGTGCACTGTGTGGTGTGTGCACTGTATGTGGTGTGTGCACTGTGTGTGGTGTGTGCACTGTGTGTGGTGTGTGCACTGTGGGGGGGTGTGCACTGTGTGTGGTGCTGCACTGTGTGTGGTGTGTGCACTGTGTGTGGTGCTGCACTGTGTGTGGTGTGTGCACTGTATGTGGTGTGTGCTCTGTGTGTGGTGTGTGCACTGTATGTGGTGTGTGCACTGTGTGGTGTGTGCACTGTATGTGGTGTGTGCACTGTGTGTGGTGTGTGCACGGTGTGTGGTGTGTGCACTGTGTGTGGTTTGTGCACTGTATGTGGTGTGTGCTCTGTGTGTGGTGTGTGCACTGTATGTGGTGTGTGCACTGTGTGGTGTGTGCACTGTATGTGGTGTGTGCACTGTGTGTGGTGTGTGCACGGTGTGTGGTGTGTGCACGGTGTGTGGTGTGTGCACTGTGGGGGGGTGTGCACTGTGTGTGGTGCTGCACTGTGTGTGGTGTGTGCACTGTGTGTGGTGTGTGCACTGTGTGTGGTGTGTGCATTGTGTGTGATGTGCTTGCATCGTGTGTGGTGTGTGCACTGTGTGTGGTGTGTGCACGGTGTGTGGTGTGTGCACGGTGTGTGGTGTGTGCACTGTGTGTGGTTTGTGCACTGTGTGTGGTGTGTGCTCTGTGTGTGGTGTGTGCACTGTGTGTGGTGTGTGCAGTGTGTGTGGTGTGTGCACTGTGGGGGGGTGTGCACTGTGTGGGGTGTGTGCACTGTATGTGGTGTGTGCACTGTGTGGTGTGTGCACTGTGTGTGGTGTGTGCACTGTGGGGGGGTGTGCACTGTGTGGGGTGTGTGCACTGTATGTGGTGTGTGCACTGTGTGGTGTGTGCACTGTGTGTGGTGTGTGCACTGTGTGTGGTGTGTGCACTGTATGTGGTGTGTGCACTGTGTGGTGTGTGCACTGTGTGTGGTGTGTGCACTGTGGGGGGGTGTGCACTGTGTGTGGTGTGTGTGCACTGTGTGTGGTGTGTGCACTGTGTGTGGTGTGTGCACTGTGTGTGGTATGTGCACTGTGTGTGGTGTGTGCACTGTGGGGGGGTGTGCACTGTGTGTGGTGTGTGTGCACTGTGTGTGGTGTGTGCACTGTGTGTGGTGTGTGCACTGTGTGTGGTATGTGCACGGTGTGTGGTGTGTGCACTGTGTGTGGGGTGTGCACGGTGTGTGGTGTGTGCACTGTGTGTGGTGTGTGCACTGTGTGTGGTATGTGCACGGTGTGTGGTGTGTGCACTGTGTGTGGTGTGTGCACTGTGTGTGGTGTGTGCACTGTGTGTGGTGTGTGCACGGTGTGTGGTATGTGCACTGTGTGTGGTGTGTGCATTGTGTGTGGTGTGTGCACTGTATGTGGTATGTGCACTGTGTGTGGTGTGTGCGCTGTGTGTGGTGTGTGCGCTGTATGTGGTGTGCACTGTATGTGGTGTGTGCACTGTGTGGTGTGTGCACTGTATGTGGTGTGTGCACTGTGTGTGGTGTGTGCACGGTGTGTGGTGTATGCACTGTGGGGGGGTGCACTGTGTGTGGTGTGTGCATTGTGTGTGGTGTGTGCACTGTATGTGGTATGTGCACTGTGTGTGGTGTGTGCACTGTGTGTGGTGTGTGCACTGTATGTGGTGTGCACTGTATGTGATGTGTGCACTGTGGTGTGTGTGCACTGTATGTGGTGTGTGCACTGTGTGTGGTGTGTGCACTGTGTGTGGTGTGTGCACTGTGGGGGGGTGCACTGTGTGTGGTGTGTGCACTGTGTGTGGTGTGTGCACTGTGTGTGGTGTGTGCACTGTGGGGGGGTGCACTGTGTGTGGTGTGTGCACTGTATGTGGTGTGTGCACTGTGGGGGGGTGCACTGTGTGTGGGGTGTGCACTGTGGGGGGTGTGCACTGTATGTGGTGTGTGCACTGTGGGGGGGTGCACTGTGTGTGGTGTGTGCACTGTGGGGGGGGTGCACTGTGTGTGGGGTGTGCACTGTGGTGTGTGTGCACTGTATGTGGTGTGAGCACTGTGTGTGGTGTGTGCACTGTGTGTGGTGTGTGCACTGTGGGAGGGTGCACTGTGTGTGGTGTGTGCACTGTATGTGGTGTGTGCACTGTGGGGGGGTGCACTGTGTGTGGGGTGTGCACTGTGGGGGGTGTGCACTGTGTGTGGTGTGTGCACTGTGTGTGGTGTGTGCACTGTGGGGGGGTGTGCATTGTGTGTGGTATGTCCTCTGTGTGTGGTGTGTGCACTGTGTGTGGTGTGTGCACTGTATGTGGTGTGTGCACTGTATGTGGTGTGCACTGTATGTGGTATGTGCACTGTGTGTGGTGTGTGCGCTGTGTGTGGTATGTGCACTGTGGGGGGTGCACTGTGTGTGGTGTGTGCACTGTATGTGGTGTGCACTGTATGTGGTATGTGCACTGTGTGTGGTGTGTGCGCTGTATGTGGTATGTGCACTGTGTGGTGTGTGCACTGTGTGTGGTGTGTGCATTGTGTGTGGTATGTGCACTGTGTGTGGTGTGTGCACTGTGTGTGGTGTGTGCACTGTATGTGGTGTGTGCACTGTGGGGGGGTGCACTGTGTGTGGGGTGTGCACTGTGGGGGGTGTGCACTGTGTGTGGTGTGTGCACTGTGTGTGGTGTGTGCACTGTGTGTGGTGTGTGCACTGTGTGGTATGTGCACTGTGTGTGGTGTGTGCATTGTGTGTGGTGTGTGCACTGTGGGGGGGTGCACTGTGTGTGGTGTGTGCACTGTGTGTGGTGTGTGCACTGTGGGGGGGTGCACTGTGTGTGGGGTGTGCACTGTGGGGGGGGTGTGCACTGTGTGTGGTGTGTGCACTGTGTGTGGTGTGTGCACTGTGGGGGGTGTGCATTGTGTGTGGTATGTGCTCTGTGTGTGGTGTGTGCACTGTGTGTGGTGTGTGCACTGTATGTGGTGTGTGCACTGTATGTGGTGTGCACTGTATGTGGTATGTACACTGTGTGTGGTGTGTGCACTGTGTGTGGTGTGTGCACTGTGTGTGGTGTGTGCACTGTGTGTGGTGTGTGCACTGTGGGGGGGTGCACTGTGTGTGGTGTGTGTGCACTGTGTGGTGTGTTTATGAGACATGGGAGAAGGAGCACAAGACACACATGTCTGTGAGTCCCCCACCCCCTCTGCAGTGGACACTTTCGGCTCTGTTCTTGGGGTCCTTGCCTGCTATGATGGCGTGTGTTATAAGCATTCATGCCCACAGCTCCCAAACGCAAACGCCAAGCGCTTCTCCCTGTTCAGGGCTTTGCTGGGAAGTGACATCTCGGTGGCCGTTCCTCCTCCCACCTGGCAGGCCTCAGGGTTCTCCTCAGAGGGAACCGAGGCAGAGGCAGGGTCGTGACCTGTCCCTCCACCCGCCCAGGGAGGTCGCGACGTCTGGGTTCCCTTCCAGGAGTTCTCCCGCTTCCACGAGGAGATCCTGCCCATGCTGGAGCGCCTGCAGAACAACAGGCAGGAGTGGAAGGCGCTGGCCGATGAGCACGAGGCGAGACTGCGGGCCCTGGAGGAGGAGAAGCAGCAGGAGGAGAGGACCGCGGCCAGGAAAGGTCTGGGCCCCGGGGTGCAGGGCGGGCACCGGGTTAACCAGTCAGAGCGAGTGAAGAGGCAGAAACAAGGAAGTGAGTTGAGAGGCACGGCACCTGTCCCCGGGCCCCTCACTGCAGAGGCAGCCACAGGGGAGGCCCGTCCACCGGGAGGCCCGACCACGTCCACGGGTGGGCCCTGCTGACTCAGGAACTCACCAGCCTGGACAAAATGGTTCCCTTCTCCTGGCCCAGCGGGGACTCTCGTCTCCTCCCAGGATCATGAGTGTTACTTCCTTCACGAAGGGGGAAAGCCCACTGAACTATCAGCAACTCTGAACGGATCTTCCCTGCAAAGAACAGTCCCCTCCAGAGTAACTCGGAAACCCACCTGTTTTCTACGCACACACACTCACATGCTCACACACACACACGCATGCCCACACATGCTCACACGCACACATGCACACACGGAAGGAAGGGCTAGGAGCCGTGTGCACGACTCCCTGGGCTGTGTCCAGCACAGTCGTTGGCCTGTTGGCCCTGAACTGTGGGAAGGTGGCTGCCCTGGAGCGGCTCAGCCAGTCCGGCTGGACCCTGGGGCCGCGTGGCCTTGTGTCCACCTGTGCTCGGCCACTCGGCTCCGGGACTTTTGTGCTATTCCCTGCGGTTCCCTGCTATGGGCTGTGGGAGGCCAGGGCTGAGATAAGAAAGGTGAGCCCCAGAAATCGGCTAGGCTGACCACAAATGCTCTTCCCCTCCCACAGGGCCGCAGAGGACATGCAGGCCGACGGGAGGGGCCCGGCTGGGGCGTGCGTGGCCCTCCCTCACCTTCTCGCCTTCTCTTGCAGGGGGCACAGAAATTTGCAATGGTGGCCCAGCACCCAAGTCCTCGACCTGCTGCCTCCTGTGAGCCACTCAGGGCACCTGAGGGCTCCCGCATCCCCACGCCCACGCAGACTCGCCTCTAACCACTTGGTACAAGAGGTTAGGAAGCCTGAGACGATTTTGGATACTTTGAATTTTTTTTAAGGTTTGTGTTTTTATCAACTGAAGTCAACTACAAATAAGAGTGTAGCCCGCCCTGCACTTACACTCATCGCCTTTGACACATAGTCGCACCGGAGCCCCTGCGTCTACACCGGTGTCGGAAGCCTGGGGAGAAGTCTGCGCCTGTGTTTTTATGGACACAGAGGTGCTGTTTCCCAGCTGGTTTAGGAAACGATATCTGACCAGAAATGTAGAATAAATGAAAACAAGTCGCCTCTTTTCGTCTGTGGTGGGAATTACGGCAGAGGGCGCACTGTATATGACCAATCGGAAAAATTCCGGCAGGGAGGTGAGGCCGGGAGTAGAGCGCGATCAGACCCGAGTGGGCAGTGCAGAAAGAACCCAGAATGAAGGCCGTGTGTGTCGTTGCTGAGGGACGAGGTCGGGCAGGTCGGTCTCCAACACCCGGGCTGCCCAGGCCCCTCCTCTGCAGCTGGGGGTCCCCTTACCGCAGCACCACACACTTCCGATGGTTCCACAACTGAGCCAGGAAGAAAGGCAGTCACCCCCAAACTGGGAAGCAAGGACACAGGTGAGAGGGGTGCTAATTATCTGGCAGAAATTAAGGACTTTTAACTCCTGATGTGAGCTCCCAGCATCTGTTCCTGACACTGGGTGACACGACCCCCTGGGAAACGCCCTTCAGCTGGATACAGGCCAGTTGTTACAATGCCAGTTCTGATGGCACCAGGTGCTCCCCCAGGGATGGGGGTGGGGTGGGTGGACACGCCCCACACATCCAGGCCTTGGAGGGAGGGGCATTTCCATTTCCATCTCAGGGGCCACAGGCACCTGGTGACGGACCTGTGACTGGAGGAACTCAGCACCATCTCACAGGAGCCTCACTTAACCAAAACCAGGGCTTTGAGGTGCTGGTGTGCTGCTCCCCATGCACACGAACTCGTTTTTTTTTTTTAAATATATTTTATTGATTTTTTACAGAGAGGAAGGGAGAGAGATAGAGAGTTAGAAACATCGATGAGAGAGAAACATCAATCAGCTGCCTCCTGCACATCTCCTACTGGGGATGTGCCCGCAACCCAGATACATGCCCTTAACCGGAATCGAACCTGGGACCTTTCAGTCCGCAAGCCGACGCTCTATCCACTGAGCCAAACCGGTTTCGGCAACGAACTCGTTTTATAATGAAACTAGTGGCCCAGTGCATGGGGGGAGGGGTGTCCCTCAGGCCGGTCTGCACCCTCTCCAATCTGGGACCCCTCAGGGGATGTCCAATTGCCGGTTTAGGCCCAATCCCACCTAAACCAGCAATTGGACATCCCTCTCGCAATCTGGGACCACTGGCTCCTAACTGCTCACCTGCCTGCCTGCCTGATCGCCCCTAACCACTCTGCCTGACAGCCTGCTCGCCCCCAACTGCCCCCCCCTGCAGGTCTGATCACCCTCAACTGCCTCCCTGATTACCCCCAACTGTCCCCCCTGCTGGCCTGATCACCCCCAACTGCTCCCCGCGCCAGCCTGCTTGCCCACAACTGCCCCTTCCTGCCTGCCTGCTCGCCCCTAACCGCCTCTGCCATGGCTTTGTCCGGAAGGTCTTCTAGTCTAATTAGCATATTACCTTTTTATTCGTATAGATGGGCAAGAAAGAGCAGAGCCTGGCTCTCCCCTCCGTATGAGCTCCAGTCCCATCCTGTCCTCAGACCACACCCCCTCCCTGGTGTCCCGGAGGAGCTGGAGGGCATCAGCCCCACCCCCACCTTGCACGACAAGCCCCCACCCTGTGTTCAGGGCCTGGGCCTGGGCCAGCTCAGAGGGCTGCCGGTCCAGCTGTGCCTCCATTACAAACGGCACCCTTTGGTGCTCCCACCGGGATGCCCCAGGGAACAGGTGAGAGTTCCTGTGCTCCCCACACATACACATCTGTGGTGGATGGTAATTTTTTCTTTTCTTTTTTGCCATCTTCTGGTGCCATTTAATTTTCAAGTTGTTTTGATTCTTGATGTAAAATGCTCTCCCTCCCTTATGCCCATATTCCTTTCTCCTTGAGCCCCTAATGTTGTTTCCTTTCATTTTCCCTGGAGAGAGATACACCTCTTCAAAGCTCAGAGAACCCAGGCTGGGCCAGAGCAGAAAGCAAGGACAGAGGATGGGCTGTGGCTTAGAGGCCTGAACAGAGCTCGCAGGCTGGTTTGGGTGCTTCCTGGGCTGTGCAAGACCACACTCGGCCTCAAGCAGCCACAAGGGCCGTGTGTGGTCTGAGTGGCAGCTCTCCGACTGCAGGATGAAGGTGGCGGCTTCTAATCTACACTGTGCCACCAACAGACCATGAACTGCCAGAGCGAGAAGGGCCTCTAAGAGCTCACCCAGACCAAATCCAACCTCCCAGAGCTGAGGACTTGCCAGGTACCCAGTCAGTGACGTCATTCTGAGGCAGAGCAGTGACGCTTGTGACTGGCTGTCCCTTGACGGACCATCCAGGTGTGTCTGGGCCCCAGGACGGCCGACCTGGCACTTCCTGGGAGCCGAGTGCACCTGCTATCACTTCCCAGCCAGGTCTGACTGAAGCCAGAGCCAATCGCGGTGACAAGGGATCCTGCCATGCCAGGGATTAGGGAGCAATGGCCAAGCTCCTGGGGCTCCAGAGGGCCGAGACGGCCGAGTTAATGCTAGGCTGGGCAGGGTGGGGGCCTGAGGTGGCAAAGTTGGGGGGGGGGGGGGGAGCCAGCAACCTAAATGGCTTCACACAAAGCACCGTCTCAGTTCCAGAGGTGCCTTGGCCTTCAACTGCCTGGCCCAGCAGGCTCTCCGGTGCCCTCGCCGGACGGTCACCACAGCACTATCCTCCTGCTTTTTCTACGCTCCCAGCACCCTTCCCGGCCTCCTTCCCTTGTGCCTTGGGTTCCTTTTACTCGCTTCCAACTGGTGTTTCCTCCCCTCCCCCCAGCTTTGATTCCACCCCTTCCACACCCCTTTGATCTAACTCCCCACCAAATCTTCGGGCTCCCCCACCCCCAGATGCCTTTGGTATTTCCGCAGTCGGTCGCAGGCATCTCAGATAAAGTGGATCCAGTCCTGAGGCTCCCGGACCCCCGTTTCCAGTCCCCCCGCCCCCAGGTGCCCAGTGCTCAGGCCCACATAGAGCATAGTCAGGGCGCCTGTCCCAGGACGGGTGGCCTCCCTGGCAGCGCTGTGGTGGGTGATGCTGCTTCTGAAACCCCTCCCACCCCGCACACTGAGGACTCAGGAGAGCCAGCGCTCACACACAGAAAGCTTTATTCATGTCCTGCGGGAGGGGAGCTCACTTCAGGATGCTGTCTTCACGGGCTGCAAGGTCGGAAGGAAAACGTGCGTTACTGCCTGTCCAAGCAACTTAAAAGGGGCGCTGCGGCTTTTGGGGTTCAACACTCCACACCCCGCTCCCGTGGAGCCTGACGGGGCTCGGCTTAACCTCCCGCCCGTGGCCTCCTCCCTGCACGTCAGAGGGAGACTGTGCGTCCGGTCCTGCGGCCATGCCCCTGGACCACCCCCTGGGCCCCTCTCCTCCATGCAGGTCGCTAGGAGCTGATGTCCGTCCCAGAAAGTCTGGGTGGAGGGCAAGTCTGTCCGACTCAGGCCCCCATACCTTCCGCCAGTTCTCTCTCGATCCGCTTCAGCTCATCCTGCCTCTTCTTCTCCTCGGCGGCCACTCTCCTCTCCTCCTCCGCCCGGGGCTTCAGGTAACCTGTCGGGGCAGCGGGAAGGGCACTGCCCATGAGCTCCTCCCTGGAACGCCCTGCAAGCAGCTAACCCGCGCAGCCTCCCTTCCGGGGTGCTAGGAACCCCTGGACCTGCCGTTCCTTCTCCTTTACCTCCATGTCGGGCAAGGCCTGCAGGTTGCCCCTCAACAGGGAGCCCCGCCCAGAGAGGGCGACAGGGCCCCACTGCCCAGCGCCTGGACTCGGACCGCAGCTCGCGCCCACCCAGCTGTCAACCACCACCGGTTTCCAGGCCCTCAGTGTTCTCAGAACCCCTCCGCCAGGTTCCCCGGCCCCCGGGTTTCCAGGCCCCCCGGATTCCCAGACCCCCAGCCGCCGGTTTCCAGAACCCCCAGGATTCCAAGCCCCCGGTTTCCAGGCCCCCCGGATCCCCAGACCCCCAGCCGCCGGTTTCCAGGACCCCCAGGATTCCAAGCCCCCGGTTTCCAGGCCCCCCAGGTTCCCAGGCCACCGGGGTGGGGGGGCGACGCCGGGTTCACGGGGCGCCATGGCGGGAACGGCGGGCAGCGCCGTCACTCACTGTGGCGCTTGGCTCCGTAGGTCACGCCGAGGAACAGGGCGGAGTAGCGGCAGAGCTGCGGGGAGAGGGCGGTCAGAGGCGGCGGGAGGACCGGGTGGGGGGGGGGGGGTGAGGGGGGGACCGGGGCGCACCACGGGGTTGGGGGCGCGGGGGGAGGCGGACGAGGTCGCACCGCGGGGCCCACGCACAGCCGAGCGGCGGGAGGCGGCCGCGAACCCCAGTTCACCTTGATGAGCGGAGAGACCTGCACCGGCGGCACCATCTTGTCCGTGACCCTCGCACCGGAAACACAATGTGGGCGGACGAAGACGTCAGCAGGCCCCGGAAAGCCAAGAAGTCGCAAAAGTGCCCCGGGGCGAGCGCATGCGCCGTCGGCGACAGTGAGCGCGGCGCCCCCCAGCGGCCGGAGGGCTGACGTGTGACGTCACCGTGCGCGCACGAGGTCCGGGGCGCGCGGGGCTGCGCGTGCGCAATGGCCGGGTGAGCGGGTGGCGACTGTGCGGAACCCGGTGCGTGAGCCGCCCCGCAGCCCCGGCACTCGGGCCCCGCGAGCGCACGTGGAGGCCCGCCGCGTGGGTCCAGCATGAAGTCTAAGTCGGGCTCCCCAGGTGCGGCCCGCGCCGAGGACGCCCCGGTCCGGACTGAGTGGGACCTGGCAGCCCCGGGCAGGTGGCCGAGCCCCGCACTGTGGCCTCGGGGCCCTTCCTGCGTCCGCGCCGCGCGGGCGCCTCCCCACCATCCCACCGCCCCCGGGCCAGGCTCCCGGGAGGGGTCCCCCTGCAGGACCCGCTCCCTGTGTCTCCCGCTCCTGCCCTCGGGAACTGTAGTCCGAGGTCCACCTGCACCGGAAGCCACGGTCACCCCCGCGGGGTCCCGCTGCGCCCCCTGCGCCCCTCGGAGCCGCCCTGTTAACCAGCTCTGTGAGCAGCGCCCCTGAGAACACCGCCAGGCAGACCCGGGTGTGCAAGCGGCCCCGCAGGTGCTGGCGCATGGTTCCCATGGCAACTGGCTGGGGCCCGCCCCGGGTGACCCCCGCCCCCCCACGCGCCTTTGGGAGAAGCTCCCTGAGAGCCAGGCTTGGGGCCCAGGAGGTCGGCTCCGCTGGCTGCAGGGGAAGGGACGGGAGCCCGCGCCTTACTCCTCGCCAAGCCCGGGCTTTGGAAGAGACCTGGGCTGCACCTGAAAGAAGGGAATGGAAGGGAATGCGGGGCACGAGGCTCGGACAGGAGTAAATCTAATCAGCACATGGGGATGGGGCGGGGGAGACCCCTTCCAGGGCCCCGCACTCCCTCAACCGCCTTCTCCGCAGGCCTGGCCCGGTTCGGTGTCCCGGCTGGAAAGTCGCTGGGCTTTTCCGGGCTGGGGAGGCTGGAGGCGGGTCCTACAGGCCCTCTCCCGGGTGCAGGCCTCCACCCTCAGGGTCCCGGAGGGAGGGAGGCATAAGGCTCGCGGACCCCACAGGATACAGGATAAACTCCCTGTGCCCACAGGCCGTGCCCGCCCAGTGCCCACGCTCAAGCACATGCGTTCTTGCCCTGGAGCCGTTGGGCGGTGACCTCAGGTGACAATGTCCTCACCCTTCCCTGACTAAAATAAACCAGGCTCCTCAGCAACTCCTGCTTCCAGAGTCAAAAATAAGTGTGGGGCGAAGGTGGGGCAGAGGGCGGGTGGGGCCACACACCAGAGGGCACACAGGCACCCCCAGGGCAGACCCCTGGAGCCTGTACACCTGCCTTGGCCAGGGCCTTTCCTGGGGTGGGGGGTGGGGGTCCACCTGGCTCAAGACACCAGGATGGCCTGCTGCGTCCCTGCACCTGTCAGGGCCAGCTGTCCCTGCCGGATCCCAAAACTCTCCCGGGAACCAGGCTGCAGGCTATCTTTAGTGCCGTGCTCAGACCCTGGCTGGCCCAGGAGCACCCTCGGGGGCTCTGCTGGCCCACTGCCTCCCTGCTGGGCCTGTGAGCACAGAATTCACATGCCTCCCCCTGGGTGTGGCCCTCCCCACTCCTGCAGCCAGCTGGGGACGGTGGAGCCCCTGTTTGAGGTGCAGCCCAGGCCCACGTCTCCCACATCCTCTGGAGTTCTCTGGGGAGCGCCCCTGAGAGCCCCCCAATCCTTGCAGGTGGGTCACGCCTCCCCTGGCTCCTCAGGGTGCCTGTGGTCCCAGCTTCGCTCCGTGTGCCCTGCTACAGCTGCAATGGAGGCAAGGGTTCAGAGAGGTGCCCCCAGGAACACCCACTCAGCTACTGTGGCTGCACAGACTCCCCACAATGCCCTCATCCCTGCACACCCGGGCTGCAACTGCTGACCCCGCTGGGCACCAGGACATCAGCCTCTGACTGGGTGCTAACGGGCACCCATGGGCCCTGGCATGTGGGAAGACCAGGCTAAGTGCTGGCCCAGCCTGCCCGCCCAGCCTGCCCACCCGGCCCCCATCTCCTCTGTGAACCCAAGGTGGGGACAGCAGTGGCGGCCCCAACGCCAGGGTTAGAGACCTGCGACCTGTCTGCCTCTAAGGCAAGGAAGTGAGGGCACACAAACTATTTGTGGGGATGCTTGGTGACTGGCCACTGGGTTCATGTGCAAATCTGGAAAAAGCACCCTTTTTTCTGGCTCCTGCAGTGTCTCCCCCCCCCCCCAGGCCCTCCACCCACAGGCAGGCAGCCTGCAGTGTCTCCCCCCCCCCCCCCAGGCCCTCCACCCACAGGCAGGCAGCCGGGAGGTGCACAGGATAGTGGGGCTCCTGGGGAGGGGTTGGCAGGAGTGGCCTGGGAGGCTGGGGCCCTGCTGGGCGAGGCAGGATGGGGGCATCCGAGTCACTGCTGACTGTCAAGCTCACTCGACAGTTGTCCGGTCCCTGGGGGACCCCAAGCCTGTCCTTGTAGGGAGTGACAGGCAGAGTGCAAGCTGTCCTGGGGGAGTGGGCAGGAGCTTAAGACAGACGGCCCGACAGGGAGGGCACAGACCATCGCACCCGCGGACCTGGCATGGTGAGTGTGCACAGGCAGGCAGCTGGGCGGGGGTGCCCGTGTGAGGGTGTGCACACCAGGTGAGTGTGTGCACAGGTATTGGCGGCTGGGGATGGGGGGATCTGTGCCCTGTGGCTGCCCAGTAACAGTCTGGGGCTGGAAGACGGGGTCTTGGCCGTCGCCGTAGCGGGGTACCCAGAACAAACCCATCTACTGCTGGCCACCTGCAGAGTCCACTGGCTCCTTGGACCCCCAGCCGGCTCCTGGCTGGACTGCAGACGGAGCAGGGCCAAGTTCAAGGTGAGCCTTCTCAGGCTCCCATGCTCGCCAGTACCTGAAGCTGCCCAGCCTGCGGACCCAGCCTGGGGCCACCATGGTCCGGTCCGCCCCTCCTCTGCATTAAGTCCCCAAAGGCCTGGCCCGGGGCCTCAGCCTGTGTTCTCCTTCAGGCCAGCAGGAAGACCAAGAAGAAGGAGGGGGGGGCCCTCCGGGCGCAGAGGGCGTCCTCCAACGTCTTCTCCAACTTTGAGCAGACGCAGATCCAGGAGTTCAAGGAGGTGAGGCTCTGCTTGTGTAGGAGAGTCCCCCCCACACCCCCCAGCTCCTGCCCGGGGGCCCCTAAGGGTCCTGAGCAGGTGGCCAGGAGACCCCGTGGGGGCCTTGCCCAGGGCAGTCAGAGTGGGTGCTGGGCCTCACTGGGCGGCCTCCTTCCAGGCCTTCACACTGATGGATCAGAACCGAGACGGCTTCATCGACAAGGAGGACCTGAAGGACACCTACGCCTCCCTGGGTGGGTGCCGGCAGAGCTCCGCCCTCGCCCCAGCCCCCCCTCCCCACCCCTCAGCCTTCCCATCTGGTCTGACACCCACAGGCTGCGAGGAGGGGGGCCAGGCTGGGGAGAAATTCCCCTCTGGAGTGCAAGAGCTGGCAGGGGTGTCGCAGGGCACGGGGAGGCGGACAGCCGAGAGGGGAGGGGGCCTGGGACTAGGTCCAGGGAGGGACACCACTGCCCAGGACAGAGTGAGAGCCAGAGGCAGGTCCTGCCCCTGTAGTGCAGCCTGGCATCTTGCTCCCCGCTCTCCCCATTTGGGGACACACTTTTCCCAGCCTGAGGTGTCCTGCCCTCAGCTCTGGGTCTACCTGCAGGGGTTCCCACACACCTGCCTTCCCCCTGCGTCCCCTCATGCCCAGGTGAGCAGGTCACAGGCCTTCCTGGCTCCATGGGGCCTCCTCCCTCCTCAGCAGCCCACCTTCCCGGGTTCAGGGTTTGGGGGTCTAACATGCAGAACCTGCACCCACCAACCTGGGCCAGGGGTCCCCCCTTTGCTGGCCTCCACCCCCACTTTGTCCTGGGGTCACCTGAGGACCAGGGAGGTGGGCAGCCCACAGGCGCCTGCCAGTGGGTACAGTGTATGCATCGGCAAGGACGGGGATGCCCACCCGTGACCTCGTGTTTGCACAGGCAAGACCAATGTCAAGGACGAGGAGCTGGACGCCATGCTGCAGGAGGCCTCGGGGCCCATCAACTTCACCACCTTCCTGAACATGTTCGGGGAGAAGCTGACCGGTGAGCCTCGGCTGTCGGCCGGTGCGGCAGTTTCTTCCGAAGTCCAGGCGTTACACATGAGATCAGATCTCTGGCAACGGCCTAGGACCTACATGTGTGGCCCCCACATCTTCCCTCTCCACTCCCCCCCCCGCCCCCCCCCCCCCCCCCCCCGCTCCCAGCTGGGAGCTCCACCCTCAGCCCCAGCCCTGCCACCTGCCGACCACTGGTGGCCCCTGTCCCCTCACTGAGTGCTACCCAGGCTCTGGGCCTAGGCGGGCTGTGAGGGCCAGGGAGCAGCCCCCAGGGCAGGAGCTGCGGTGCCCCAGGCTGTCGGGAGCCGGGCGTGGGGCTGAGGGCAGAGTGGGGGGCCGGGGTGGAGCCGGACCGGAGTCTCTGTGGCAGGTACGGATGCCGAGGAGACCATCCTGAATGCCTTCAAGATGCTGGACCCCGAGGGCAAAGGCAGCATCAACAAGGACTAGTGAGTGTGGCCGCAAGGCCTGGGGGCACCACGCCCAGCCCCCTCCCCCCACCCCACCCCCCACCAGCTTCTCCGAGTTCGAGTCCTCAGAGGCAACCGAGGGTAACCCAGTCCTGCCCACACCCCAGCGCTGGGCCTGGGGCTCCTGGGCCAAGCACTGGGAACAGGCCGGTCTGGGTGCCTGGCATTTGCCTCCCATGGCCCCGTCTCTGCCCCCATCACAGCCCCCTCACTGTTCAGCTATCCGGCGCTGACCTTTTTTTTTTTATATATATATATTTTTATTGATTTCAGAGAGGAAGGGAAAGGGAGGGAAACATCAACGATGAGAGGGAATCGTTGATGGGCTGCCTCCTGCACGGGGATCAAGCTCGAAACCCCAGCATGTGCCCTTGACCGGAATTGAACCCGGGACCCTTCCGTCCGTAGGCTGACGCTCTATCAGTGAGCCACACGGGCCAGGGCTGACTCTTTCTTCAGAGCAGCCTAACCCGGTGCCTCCCTCCTTGTCCTCAGCATCAGGAGGCTGCTCATGTCCCAGGCTGACAAGATGACTACGGAGGAGGTCTGGCCCTGGGCCCCACCCCTCCTCCCCCACGGCCTGGGGGACCCCAGGGCTTGGCTGGGGGCGGGCCCTGGCCCTGAGAGGCTGGAGGGTTGGTGTGGGTGGGACACCCAGAGGCTGAGCCCCAGCCCCCCTCATCCCCACAAGCACAGAAACAAGCCCAGAGTAGGTTGAGGTGGGGGCCTGTCACCCTCGGGCTGCACCCCTTGGGACCCACTTGCTCTGCCCTCCTGCAGGGCCTGACACCCACCACCCGGCCCGCAGGTCGACCAGATGTTGCAATTTGCAAAGATCGACGCTGCAGGCAACCTGGACTACAAGGCGCTGAGCTATGTGCTCACCCATGGGGAGGAGAAGGAGGAGTGAGGGGTGCCCCCACCCCACCCCCACTGGGTGGGGCCAGTTCAATAAACCCGAACCCACCAACCTGCCTGCAAGTGTCTGTGGGGAGGGGACGTGTCCACCTGGGGTCGGAGGGCCTGGGTGGCATCGGCCTGTGGGACCCTCCATCTGTTCTGCCCCCAGAATAGCCTGGACCACCCGTCAGCACCCAGGCCACCACTACCCATCAGCACCCAGACCCCTGTTGGCACCCAACCACCCCCGTCAACACCCAGGCCACCCCAGTCAACATGAGGCTGGGTGTCTGGTCACTCGGTAATGGAGGCTGAGAGAGGCTCTGGGATAGGCTCCTTCAAGGAAGGCCCTCCCCACCCCTGTGCACTCCAGTCTCTGACCTCTGGGGCCCTCAGGACCCACAACCTGTCCAGCTCCCCATAAGCCATGTCCCCATACGCTGCCCCTGCACTGTGCCCACTGCAGTCCTCGTGCCCCTGTAGGACCTGCCCGGGCTCAGCGGTGGCTGCCCCAGCTGCCTCTCCCGGCTCCTTCACTCCCCAGACTGCCTCTCAGTCCCTGCATGTCCAAGCAGGCTCTAGGAATGAGCCGCCCCTGCAGCGTCCTTGCTGGGGCCCTGGGGGTGCCCCAACAGGGCTGGGGGCAGGGCCTGCTGGAGAGGTGCATGGTCCGCGGCCGGGCTCCCGAAGTCCTGGAGGGAGGGGCTCGAGCGGGCCTCGGCCTGCAGGCGCCGGTAGGGGGTGTGGAAGAGGAGTACCAGGCAGCAGCTCAGGAGGGTGCACAGGCCGGCCATCGTCAACATGGACACTGGGGGGACACAGCAGCCGGCCTGAGGCCTGGCCATGGAGCCAGCAGAGCCCAGCTGACCCCACTGACCACGACCACAGTGACCAGGGGCAGATCCCGTCCCAGCCTTCCTGCCCCAAGAGTAGGTCACAGATGCTGTCGCTGGCACAGTCGAGGGGCCCGGTGAAACACCCCACCTCTCTGTGCCATCTGCACTCTGTCTTTCTGTCTGTCTGCCTCTGTGTCTGTCTCTCCTCTCTCTCTCATCTCTTTTTCTTTTCCTGACCTCATTTTAATCCTCACCTGAGGATACGTTCCCATTGATTTTTAGAGTGGAAGAGAGGGAAAGACAGAGAGGAACATCGATGTGAGAGAAACATTGATCAGTTGCCTCCTGCACGCACCCTGGCCAGGGCCTGGGCCGGGGAGGAGACTGTGCCCTTGCCCGGAATTGAACCTGGTGCCCTTCGGTCCGCAGGCCGATGCTCTATCCACTGAACCACACTGACTAGGGCTTCCTGATCTCATGTTAGAACGACTCACGCAGGGTATAGAGGTTGGGCTTTGTAAGGGCCTCAGGGCTGCTCCCACCATGCTGAGCTGGGTTCTGCCTGTTGCCCTCTGACCCCACCCTGCCCCTGCCCAGTGGTGCCCAGCAGCCACCCACCATGGACAGTAAAAGGGCCCATGGAGGGAGGTTCCCAGGGCTGGTGCAGGTGGAGGCCCAGGCCCTGCCCTCTTCGCCTGCGTCTGGGGCTCCCTGGGCGGGGACACTCACCCTTCCAGTCCAGGGGGTCCTGGCCGCCTTGGCAGGTGGAGAAGGACGGGTCCGAGCGGCGCACAGTCAGAGCGGTCAGCAGCACCATGATGAGCACGCCCTCGGCCTGCCTGGACAGCCAGGAGGCCCTCAGCCCTGCCCGACACGGCTCCCTGCCCCCACCCTGCTCCCCCCACAGTGCCAGGCGCCCCAGTCAGTGTGGCCCCAGCCCAGGCCTGCACCCAGCAGGCACATACTCACCCCACCACGAAGACCAGGCCCGCGGCCGCGCCCTCGCCCACGGGGAAGGAGCACTCCACGGCTAGCTCCATGGCGACAGGCGCCACCGAGAAGCCAAAGAGCCCGAGCAGGGAGCAGACGGCGGCCAGCGCGACAGTCTGTCCCCGCAGCTGGGACACCTGGGCAGCAAGCACAAGGGAGACGCCGTCAGACACACCCCAGCCCTGGACGCCGGCCTGGCAGGCCCCACTCGGGCTCCAGCTGGCTGAGTGGGGCTGGGAGGCTGTGCCCAGCGGGCAGGGCTTAGATGCCTGTCTGGTTGGGCTGCCAGCTGCCCACGCCCAGAGCACCCATTCTCCCCGTGGGGCGGTCTCGGCTGCGGGGACACTCACCAGGGCAAAGGCCACACAGACCAAAGAGGTCAGACAGAAGCCAATCTTGACGGCTTCCGTGAAGCGCTTGGTCCGGTCCACATACAGGCCGAGAGCCAGAGCCCCCAGGATCCCAAACACGATGAAGAGAGCCCCGCAGAGGCCTGCGAACTCCTGGAGGAGAGGCCGGGCACCGTCACCAGGCACCCTCAGGACAGGCGCCTCCCCGGGGAGGCCCCCGGCACCACCCCAACCCCACAGTCCCCCCTTCCATGGCCCCATGGCCCCAGCCCACTGCCGGTGACCGTGTTTGGCACCTGACCCCTCCCTCACAGCACCTCAGCGGTGCCCACACAGGAGGTCACCTGCCCAGATGTGGAAACCCAGGGCTTGGGGAGGTCACTCCACGGCCACACGCGGGAGCCGCCGAGGCAGACAGCCTTCGGGGTGACAGGCTCCCAGAACCCCGTCCTGGCGTGGGCCCCAACCCCGGGCAGGGCGGACACTCACGTTGGAGTAGCCGTTCGCGCAGAGGACCTGCTCCAGGAGGGCCGAGAAGCTGGAGAAGATGCCGACGCCGCCCCCGAAGCACACGGCCAGGACGACGTAGGCCTTGTTCCTCACGAGCTGAGGGCAGGGCCGCTCAGTCGGGAGCCCAGCAGGACAGGCAGGGGCTCCCACGGGCCCGGCCCACCCTCCCCGCCCCGCCTCTCCCTGCCCCAGCCCCTCCCCAGCCCCAGAGCCCACAAAACCAACCAGCTTCAGCCCGTCCAGGAACTTCTCCGAGTTGGAGTGGGCAGCCCCCGCGGAGGGCGGGGTCGGGGGCACGCTCTCCCAGAGGCAGGCGGTGGCCAGCAGGCAGGCGAGGCCGGCAGGGATGATGTAGATGCCCAGCTGGGGAGGGGAGTGAAAGCAGCACATGTGTGTGCAGGTACACGCAGGTCCCGCAGACACATGCACTGCACAAGCCCCTTGGGCGTGCCGCTCGGGCTCCACGCCACCTCACCCACCTCCCTGGGCGACGTGGACAAGGGTGAGCCCGGGCTGGGGGGCCTGCCCGTCCGGCTGCCCCCGCACCCGCAGCTTTGGCAGTGCTGCTCCGAGTGCACTGCCCCGTGTGGCTACCAGGTGGGGCAGGTGCACACTCTCAAAGACGTGTGGACACACTTGTGCCCATGAGAGCTGACCACTCATGCGCGCACATATCGCACATCACACATAAACACAAACATGTGCACGTGTGTACCACAGAAACACACATCACACACAAGTGCGTACCGCACAAACACATGTGTGCACCACACAGACACACATGTGTGCACACATCACGCACAAACATGTGCACCACAAACATACATGTGCGCGCACACCAAATATGCATGTGTACCACATAAATGTACGTGTGTGCACCACACAAACACACGTGTGCACCACACAAACATATACACGCTACACAAATATACATGCATGTGCGTGCGCACCACACGGCCATGCACGTGCATGCACACCACGCACATACACACGTGTGTGGGTGCACCCCGTGAACCCCCTCACCATTATGGGGATGTCATCCTCCTTCTTCACCAGGGCAGGAGACAACACGTTGGCCAGGAGGATGCCCAGGGGGTTTGCTGGATGGACAGACAGAGACACACGTCAGGTCAGCCGTGGCCTGGCCTGGTCCCCAGCCCCCAGGGGGAGCCCTCCGTCTCCAAGACCTGGGAGCGCAGAGGGGCCAGGATCCGTTCACTGAGCCAGAGGAGACGTCGGCCTCACCCCTCAACTCACCCATGGTGCCGACCATGTTGGCCGTGGCCCGCTGGTGCTCAGGAAACCACAAGGCAGCCAGCTTGGCCGGAGAGAAGATGACCAGGGTCTGGGCCAGGGCACACAGGCTCTGGCCACCCATGAGGAGGGCAAATGGGGTCTGGATCCAAAACAACATGCAGGGCAGGGTACGGAGCACGCTCCCGGCGAAATTCAGCCACGCACACAGGATGGTCTGCAGGGGGCGGTCAGGAGCTCTGCCTGGGGACTCTGGTCTGGGAGGGGCAATGGCCTCCCAGCCCTCGGGGCCCCGCCCCAACCCACAGAGCCCTGGTATGGGTCTAACTCACTGCCCAGCGGAGCCCCACTGAGTCCAGAATCCAGATGGCCACCAGGCCGGACGGGATGGCCACCACCAGGTAGACCAGAGAGAGCCAGTTGACCTGCTCGGTGGACAGGAGGAAGTGTTGGGCGATGGTGTCTGCCACGGGCGCGAAGCTGAGCCACAGCTGCAGGGCACAGGCTGGCGTCAGCCCAGGGGCGGGCACCATAGGCACCACGGCCCCCGCCTTCCTGGGCTGGCTGGCCAGCCTGAGTAAGTGTCCAGCAGTCCCGTGACGGCCAGGGCCTCCTCCTGGTCACCCGAGGTAAGGCTGCCAGGTAGAGGGTCAGACAGCGCGCCTGGACTGGACAGCGCTATCCTTGCAGGCATGTCCTACGGGCAGAAGGGGGCCCACAGCCTGGCCAGAGCCTGCAGGATGACCGGCCCTGCAGGACTAACCCTCCCAGGAAAGGCCGGAGCGCTGTCAGGGGGAGGTTCTCTGTGTGGCAGGCAGGCGCCGGGCGTGGCTGGACCACGGAAGCTGGAAGAGGCGCTGGGATGGCGGAGCCAGCGGCCTTGGCCCCCGGTGCAGGGACAGGCTGGGAAGGGGAGCACGTTGGGGGCGACCCTTGGTGTCCAGGTGGATGGGGAAGGAGGCAGGGTGGGAAGAGCTGTGAACGGCCCAGGGGAAGAGACGGTGGTGGGGTTCTGGGCTGGAGGGAAGACAGCCCAGAAGGCACCTTCGCCCGAAGGCATGCTGCGTCCCAGAAACACCTGGATGTGGGGGCCCTGCCCAAGGCCAGCCCCACCTCCCCCACAGGAGATGGGGTGTTTGGGAGGGAGAGCCTCAAGCAGGAGACACTCCCGCTGTAGGCACTCATTCTCACTGGGACGCCACTCAGCAGCCCTCCAGCAAACAGAGTGAGGGGTTGGGCGGTGGCGGGGCAGGGGGACTTCCTGGAGCAGGTGACCAGCCACCTGGCCCCTGAGGGGGGAGGGGCCAGGGTGTCACAAACCCAAGCTCACAGTCCTCCAGCCAAGTGGACCCAGGAGCTGGCCCCAGGGTCAGAGCCACAGGCAGGGACCCAACTTCCTGACTGAGATTTCTGACCACAAACCCTCACATGTCTGAGGTTCTGTAACAACTGCCTGTTCTTCCTCTTTTTAAAAATATTTTTATTGATTTCAGAGAGGCAGGAAGAGCGAGAGATAGAAACATCAATGATATGAGAGAATCATTGATGGGCTGCCTCCTGCACACCCCACACTGGGGATTGAGCCTGCAGCCCCGGGCATGTGCCCTGACCGTGACCTCCTGGTTCAGAGGCCAACACTCAACCACTGAGCCACGCCAGCCGGGCCATTTCTTCCTCTTTTAAAGGACAGACCAGGGGACGGATCCCCAGGTTCAGAGAGTCCCAGGCAGGCGTGGTTGCCTCCTGCCCGCCTGAGCAGCGGAGACCACATGGCGTGCTCTCCAGCCCACCCCTCGCTGGCCTCACCCTCTTCTCCCTCCTCCCTACAGCTTGTGGCCACAGAGCAGAGGGGGTCCCGCTGCCAACGGTGGCTTCGGCTTTGAGTTACAGGATCACACGGAGGGCCCAGGCTGCCCAGACCGGGCCTGCGGGTCTGTGGGAGGCCAAGGAGGCGCACCCCAGCTCCTCAGGCACGCCCGCCTGGGAGGTGAGATGCGTGGGGGCCGGGGCAGCCCTGTGGGCAGTCCGGCAGCCAGCCTGCGCGCAGGTGGCCACGGAGGGTCAGGTGTGGGCTCGGAACAGGCCTCCCCTGGATGCGCCCCTGGGGCAGGTGGCTGCTGGGAGCTGAAGGCAGACTGCCTCCTCGAGGGAACTTAGAGTGGGGCCTCGTCCGCCATCGGGTTATCAGCTTTACGTCCCAGCTGGAGAGCAGGGCGGACGCTGGTCCCGAACAATCACCATCCTGCAGTGACGCCGGGGACACCCCAGGCGCCTGGCCCCATCCTTGGCTCCGGACCTCACTGATCTGCCCTCTGACCCTGTGAGTGTGGGTTCCCACGGGCACGCGTGTCACTGCACGCCGTTATTGACCTTGGTGTCTGTCTGGTCCTCTGGGTATTGGGCGAGCGGGGAGAGCGGGAGGGTGGGCGTTCTCTCTCCAGGCCCCACCCTCTGCATTGGTGCCTGGTCAGGGACATGGGGGAGTGAGAACAGTTCACTGGCCGAGCTGCCTGTGAGCCGAGGGGGGCTGGGGAAAGGGGCACAGGCCTCTGGGGAGAGCAACTGGGCGCTCAGGGGTGAGTCTGGGAGGAGCAGCTTGGGGCCTGGGCCCCAGGAAGGGGCTGAGTGCCAGGCCTGGGAACAAGTCTAGGACCGGGGATGAGGTCACTGGACCCCGGCCGGGAGGTGTGTGGGGGGGGGGGGGGGCAGGTAAGGAAGGCCCTTGGGGGCCCAAGAACGGAACCAGAGACCCAGGAGGGCGCCAGGGCACTGGCGGCGGAGGAAGGGGGAGGGCGAGGGAGACCAGACTCCTACCCGCCCGCCTCAGGGATCCCTTGAGACCATAGCGCCCAGAACCCTACACGGCACAGCCAGGAGAAGGCCCCCGCCCCCAGCACCGAGCAGGGAGCACCGAGCACCGCGGGGAGGGACTTCGCGCTGGGTCCCCGCCCCCCGGGCCCCCCCAAACCCCCTCGCTCCCCGCCCCCCCTACCGTGGCGTTGGAGCAGCTGAGCAGACTGACCACCAGCAGGAACACCCACCGGCGCGCGTAGGCTCGGTAGCCCCGCAGCGCGCCCAGGGCCGGCGGCGTCGGGGGGCCCGGCGCGTCCCCCTCCAGCCCCGCCATCGCCGGGGTCAGCAGCGGCCGGGGCGGGACCGCCCTGGGAGGAGGGGCCGGGAGCGCGGGGCGGGGGCCCGGTCAGTCCGCCGAGGGCAGGGCCGGGGCCGGGGCCGTGGGGACGCCGACTCCGCTGGGCGTCCGGTCGGCGACGAACACTGGGCCCCGTCCCGCCTCTGTGGCCCCGCGGCGGACACGCCCACGTGGGTGGGTGGGGAGAGGGCGCCGAGGTCCCTGCGTTTCCTGAGCCGGGTGTGGAAAGGCCTCTGGCCGCCTCAACCCCGGCGGACAGACGGACAGACGGACGCCCCGCAGGCCCGGGAGCAGCCGCCCGCCTGCGCCTGCGGGACGGGGCTGGAGCCCATTCCACCCCTGCCCGGCGCTGCGGGGGCCCGGGCGGGCGGGGCAGGAAGGCCGTCCTGCTGCCCGGGAAAGGGCGGAAAGGGCGGAAAGGGCGGCGCTGAGCCCTGCCGGCCGCCCCCGCAGGGCCGTTGTCTGCAGTTCAGCCGGGAGACAGCTGGGCCGCGGAGGCCGTGGTTTGTTTGTCCGAGAGGCCTGCGGGCTGGAAGGCAGGGGAGGGGTGTCCCTGGTCTGGGCGCAGGCTCCCCACGGCCCCAGGGGACTTCCTGAGCCCCCCCCCCCCCCCCGGCTGCCGTGCCTGGACCTGTGTTCACTGAGGCTGCGGGCTCACCCCCGGGACCCCCTTGCTCAGATGCTGGGCGCCCTCCCAGGCCGGGCCCTTTGTGGAGCTCACGGCTCAGCAAGGCCCCAGGACAGAAGGCAAGAGCCAGTCCCTGGCCGGACGTGGAGACCGAAGTTAGACCCAGGCCGCGTCCGCTTACTTCGCAGAAAACTGCCCCTGTGGCAAAGTTAGCAAAACGCCCCGGGGACTTCAATGCTAAAAACTGCACAACAAAAGCCTAAAGGAGGGAGGCATACCCTGCACTTGGACCCGGAGCTCCCACCTCAAGGCGTCAGTTCTCCCAGTGGACCTGAAGGTCTAACGCAATTCCTGACGAGAGGTGTTTGCAGGCACAGATGGGAGGAAACATTTGCAAACCACACGCCAGCAAAGCACCGAAGCCTGGAAGCGATAAAGAGGCCTCAGAACTCAACGTAAAGCCCTGGCTGGCTTGGCTCCGTGGATGGTGTGGGCCTGCAGGTGAAGGGTGGAAGGCTCAATCCGGTCAGGGCACCGCCCAGGTTGGGACTTGATGGGGGGGGGGGGGGGGCGGCGCGTTCAGGAGGCAGCCCATCAATGATTCTCTCTCATCATGGATGTTTCTATCTCTCTCTCTATCTCCCTTCCTCTCTGAAATCAATAAAAATATATTTTTTAGCCGAAACCGGTTTGGCTCAGTGGATAGAGCATCGGTCTGTGGACTGAGGGGTCCTGGGTTCGGTTCCGGTCAAGGGCATGTACCTGGGTTGTGGGCATATCCCCAGTGGGAGATGTGCAGGATGCAGCTGATCGATGTTTCTCTCTCATCCATGTTTCTAACTATCTCTCTCCCTTCCTCTCTGTAAAAAATCAATAAAATATAAAAAATATATATATTTTTTAAAAAAAGAGGGGGTAGAAAGAGGCCCCACAGGCCCCCCAGGCAGCATCCCTGTGTCCGGGGCCGGTCCCCAGCCCCCAAGCTCTCTTTCATCATTAATGTTTCTCTTCTGCTCCCTTCCTCTCTGAAATCAATATAAAAAATATATATTTAAAAAAAACCTCAACAGTAAAAACAACAAGAGTCCAATTAGAAAATGGGCAGAAGACATGAAGAGACATGTCCCTGAAGAGGACATGCAGATGGCACTAGTGAGGCCTGGCCGACATCATTCGCCTTTAGGAAAATGCAAATTAAAGCCATGATAAGAATCCACGATAAGACAGCACACGCCCTTCAGATTGGCTCGAATAAAAACAGTGACATCAAGTGGCAAGGTCATGGGTGACTGGGTCACTCACGTGTTGTGATAGGATTGTAAAACGTGCCCAGCCTGACTGGTACGCTCAGTGGTTGAGCATTGACCTATGAACCAGGAGGTCACGGTTCGATTCCCGGTCAGGGCACATGCCAGGTTGTGGGTTCAATCCCCTGTGTGGGTGTGCAGGAGGAGGATTCTCTCTCATCATTGGTGTTTCTATATCTCCCTCTCCCTGCCTCTCTGAAATCAATAAAAATATATTCTGAAAGATTTTAAAAGATTGTAAAATGTTACAGCCACTGCGCAAAATAAAACCTGTAAAACTCACAGAGTGTGGAAAGGACATTCATTTGGAGACAATAACCTTTTCTACTTTTAGTGAAACTGTTTTTATTTAAATCCTGGAGGAGTGGCTTCCACGTAAGCGCCTAAGTTGTTCACATTTCGCATCCTGGTCGAACGCCACTCACAGAGGCCTCACCTGAGCCCAGGTCCGCGTGCACACCTGTGGTCCAGCACATCCTGAGGTCCGTTAGTGGTTTTCACATGGGAAACACCTACATCTTGCTTTTCCAATTACATCTCATGGCCTGTTTAAAATAAACTCAGCACGCACCATGAGGACTGAGTCGGCTTCCGTTTCTTTACCTCCTTTTCACTGAACCAAATGTAGGCTCCCACCAGCACCCGAAACAGCACCAGCTGAGGCTTCTCGGGCGCGCGTGTCTTCTTCCCTAAACAGCGTGTGCCTGAGAGTAAGCCTGGGAGCCTCCCTCCCCAGCCTGGTGCGAAGGCTACCCCTCCTTCGCTGAGGGCAGTGTCGGAACAGCAATCTCACCTTACGGCCAGGTGGTCCGCCCAGACCTGTTCATTGCTTACCATCGGCTCTTGTCCGGGGAATGTCAGCTATGTGGGGGCAGGCCCAGGTGTGTCCACACCTGAACCTGGAGCGCCCGTGGCTGCGGCTGGGAATAGCAGTGTAGGGGCGGATGACCTTTCTGTTTGCACCCCTCCCTGTCCCCTTTGCCCCCCGCTGGCCTGCCTGGCAGGTTCTTCACGGGTGACCCACCCCCCTCCCCCACCCACATCCCGGGCCTAACCTTCCAGACCTGATTCCAGAGGCACCCGCCCTCCAGGAGTGCAGGCCTTCACTCCTGCCTGCTCGAGCCACCTGCCTCCAGGTCACGGCTGCCAGAAGCCCACACTCACACCACCCATGGCGGGGAGCTGCGTGGGCGGGCGGAATCTGGATTCTCAGGCTCCTCGAAGAGGACACGTGACTCCCTCCTTCTCTGAACAGAAGGCCAGTCCAGACGTGTCCACGGGAAACAGTGTAGGGGGCTGTCTGAAGGGGGGCTCACTGTGGCCTGCGCTCCCTGCCAGAGGGAAGCCTTTGGGGTTGCCCCTCTCCTCTCTCTGCCTCCAGTGGCGGGGGAGGGGGAGGAGAAGGGGGCAGCACAGGGGCTCACATACACCCCAAGGTGTGGCAACAAGTACCTGGGACCCAGGTTGCGGGCCCCTCCCATCGAGGACTCTGTGCTCCCATCTGTCTCTGCTGCTCAGACCCACCGAGCCTGTGAATGCAGAAAAAGCTGGTTTTCTTGCTTTTGTGTGCGCACAAGTGTGTGTGCGTGTGCGTGTGCGTCCATGTGCGCTTGCGTGCGCGCGTGCGTGCGTGCGCGTGTGTGTGTGTGTGGGGGGTGAGATGAGCATGGTCTGAGGACTACCTGGAGTCCATGTCTGTGAGAGAGAGTGAGGAAGGGGGGAGAGAGGGTACCGGACATGTGGGGGTCCTGATGGTCCCCTGTTTTTGCCGGGAGCCGGTCCATCCTTGCTGTTTCAAAGGACCTGGCATATATGGCATACTGTTCTTAATATGTTTGCACACCTTCTTGGCACTATGTGTTTTAACCAAGGTCTCCTCTCTGAGAAAGGTTGTTTCCCCAGGTAGGGATTTTCCCCTGAAGTTAGGGAGGGAATAAAACCTCTTAACTAAGTGCCAGGTGGGTAATTAATCACTTTAACTATGAACAATCACCCTTAAGCTACATAATCTTTACTCCCTGGAATGGAGATAAGAAACGCCCTAACCTTTGTAATAGAGATTGATAGGATTGAATCAACTGGTATAAATACAGATGTAATAAGACAGCAAGACTCAGAACTTAGAATACGGAACCAAGAGAGACAGAACCTAGGCACAGAACCTACACAGAACGTTCTCTAGAGACAGAAGAACTTCGCTGGAGAGAACATGGCAAAAGTTCCTGGACAGAAACTGGCCTCAGAACCTAGAGACAGAACCTAGCGAGAGAACATGGCAAAAGATCCTGGACTGAACCTGACTACAGAAATTGGCAAGAGAACCTGACTAGAACCTGGTAACTGAACCTGGCTGGAGAACCTGGACAGAACCTGGCTGGAGAACCTAGCAAGGGAACTTGGCTACAGAACCTGGCTGGAGAACCTGGAGAACCTGGCTGGAGAACCTAGCAAGAGAACATGGACACAGAACCTGGCTGGAGATCCTAAGCAGAACCTCTCTGGAGATCCAGACCAGAACTTGGCTGGAGATCCTGGCTAGGCTGCTGATCAACTGAATGCTGTCTCCGTGTCATTCCTTCTTCGCCGACTCCGTCTACACCTTTGGGGACCCCTGGACCTGCTGGGGTTGGACCCCGGCACTGTTTGTGTACGTGCCTGGCATGAGTGGGTAGCTTAGTGGTGTCTGGGGCGTCCTATGTGAGGCTGTCGGGGTTAATGGCATGTGTGATGTGAGACGGGCCTCTGGCTTTCGTGTAAGTGTGGGTGAAATGGTTACCTAATTCTGCCCGAATGGGAAAGACCACGCACCAATTTTTCGGTGCACATGTGGGAACCCTGTCTGCTGTGGGTGTGCGTCTGGTGTGAGATGAGTGTGTTCCATCAGAAACTGTGACGGGCGTGAGATTTCGCTCCATTGCAAGCGGGGAGGTCGCTGACCACAGCCCCCGGGACACATGAGGCCGGGCCAGCGGCTGTTCTCACAGGGGCAGCCACACCTGCACCTGGTCTTCAGGCCGACACTCTAGCCACTGAACCAAACCGGCTAGGGCTGGATCTGTTTTTTAAGAATATTTTGAGCCCAGCCGGTGTGGCTCAGTGGTTGAGTAGCAGCCCATGAACCAGAAGGTCATGGTTCAATTCCCTGTCAGGGCACATGCCCGGGTTGTGGGCTCAATCCCCAATAGGGGGCTCTCAGAAGGCAACTAATCAATGATTCTTTTGCATCATTGATGTTTCTCTCTCCTCCTCTCCCTTCCTCTCTCTGGAATCAATAAAAACCTATTAAAAAATAAAATAATAGCTTTATTGAGATCGAATTCTCATGTCATACAATTCACCCATTTATGTGTATGGGTCAATAGCTGTTAGTATATTTGCAAATATGTGCAACCATAACTATGACCAATTCTAAAACATCTCATCGCCCCCAAGAAACCTTCTGCCCATTAGCAGCCATGCCCCATTTCCCCCAGCTTTCCAGCACCACCCAGCTCAGCACCCCCCAATCGCTAATCTGCTCACTGTCTTTTTGGATCTTAGATTCTGGACATTTTATATAAGTAGAATCATAATTTGTGGTCTTTTGTGCCTGTTTTTCCCCCCTGAGTACAATGTTTTCAAGGTCCATCCATGTTGTAGCACCTATTACTACTTCCTCTTTTTTTTTTTTTGCCAGATAATATTTTATTTTATGGACTTAGCACATTTTACTTATCTATTCATCACTTGATTGGCATTTGACTTGCTTCCAGCTTGAGGCTACTATGGGTTTTGCTACTATGAACAGTGTCTTGGTTTTAGGGTGGACGTGTTTTCTTTTCTTTAAAAAAATTTTTTTTATTGATTTCAGAGAGGGAGGGAGAGATAGAAACATCGATGAAAGAGAATCATTGATCAGCTGCCCCCTGTTCTCCCCCTATTGGGGATTGAGCCCTCCACCCGGGCATGCGCCCTTGACCAGAATTGAACCCGAACCCCTCAGTCTGCAGGTGGACACTCTATCCACTGAGCCACACCAGCCAAGGCTGGACGTAAGTTTTCGTTTCTCTTGGCTCTGTACCTAGGAGTGGGACTGCGGGGCTGTACACTAACTTTCTGAGGCACTAACCAACTGTTTTCCATAGATGCCCTGACCACATCTCCCAGCGGTGCCTGAGGTTCCAGTCTCTCCACATCCCTGGCAACACTTGTCTGCCTGTCTTTTTGGTGACAGCTGACCCAGCGGGTGCAAAGTGGTATTTCACTGTGGTTTTGATTTGTGTCTCCCTGATGACTATGTTGAGCATTTTTTCATGTGCTTAGTGGCCATTTATATATTTTCTGTAGGGAAATATCTATTCAGATGATTTGTTCATTTCTAAATTGTCTTTTTATTGTTGAGTAACAGCTTATACATTACTTATTTTCTTACATATGCTTTATGTGTTCTAGGTACCAATGCCTTGTCAGATAGATGATTTGCAAAATTTTCCTCCCACTCTTTGGGTTGTCTTTTCACTTTATTTTTTTAAAATATATTTTTATTGATTTCAGAGCAGAAGGGAGGAGATACAGAAACATCAATGATGAGAATCATTGATCGGCTGCCTCCTGCACATTCCCTAATGGGGATGGAGCCCGCAACCCCGGCATGTGCCCTTGACTGGGAATTGAACCGTGACCTCCTGGTTCATAGGTCGATGTTCAACCACTGAGCAACAACAGCCTGGCGCTTTTCACTTTCTTGATGGTGTCCTTTGAGATATAAATTTTTTGTTTTGATGATATTCTTTTTTTTAATGTATTTTTATTAATTTCATAGAGGAAGAGAAAGGAAGAGATAGAAACATCAATGATGAGAGAGAATCTTTGATTGGCTGCCTCCTGCATGCCCCACACTGGGGACTAAGCCTGCAACCCAGGTGTGTGCCCTGGCCAGGAATCGAACCGTGACCTCCTGGTTATAGGTCGATGCTCAACCACTGAGCCATGCCCGCTGGGCTATTTTGATGATATTCTATCCAGTTTTTCTTTTGTTGCGTGTACCTTTGATGTCATGTCTTAGAAACCATTGCCTAATCCAAGCTCAAATAGATTTATGCTTATGTTTTCTTCCAAGAGTTTAACAGCTTGAGCTCTTCCATTTAGGCCTTTGTGACCCACTGGAGTTAATTTTGTATATGGGATATGCTAAGAGTCCAATTTCATTCTTTCACATGTGAATATTCATTTTTCCCAGCAACACTTGAAAAGACTTCTTTCTCGCCGAAACCGGTTTGGCTCAGTGGATAGAGCGTCGGCCTGCGGACTGAGAGGTCCCGGGTTCGATTCCGGTCAAGGGTATGTACCTGGGTTGCAGGCACATCCCCAGTAGGAGATGTGCAGGAGGCAGCTGATCGATGTTTCTCTCTCATCGATGTTTCTAACTCTCTATCTCTCTCCCTTCCTCTCTGTAAAAACTCAATAAAATACATATAAAAAAAAAAAAAAAGAAAAGACTTCTTTCTCCATGGAATTGTCTTAGCACCCTTCTTGAAAACCAATTGATCTAAATGTCAGGGTCTATATCTGGTCTCTCAATTCTAATCCATTCACCCTCATGTCTCTTCTTAGGCCAGCACCACACTGTATTGATTACTGTAGCTTTGTGGTAATTTCTAAAGTCAGGAAATGGGAGTCCTGCAACTTGGTTCTTCTTTATCAAGATTGTCTTGGCTATTCTGGGTCCCTTGAATTTGCATATGAATTTAGGCTCAGCGTGGCCATTTCTGCAGAGAAACCAACTGGGTTTTCATATGGATTGTGTTGAATTTGTAGATCAAATTGGGGAAAATGAATATCTTAATATTGTCTGCAATCAGGGTGGCAGATATCTTTCTATTTATTCAGGCCTTCTTTAATTTCGTTCAACAACGTTTGGTAGTTTTCAGAATCTAAGTATTGCACTCTTGTTAGATATATTTGCAGGGCTGGCTCCCTCTGTGTTCCTTCCGTTCGCATCCACCTCGGCTTCCCCACCCAGCTGCTTCCCTCTGTTATTGTCCCTGCCCCAGTGTGGACCCCACGGGGAAGTAGAAGTCAAGATCACTGTTTAAAGCTCCAGGGCGGGGCCTGCGCAAAGGTGGACACAGGGACGAGTTGTGGGGTCAGCCCTGCTACCCATCGTCCAGGAGCCAAAGGCAGGGCCCCTGACTAGTGCACGGAGGGCGCTCCAGGCTAGTTGCCAAGGACAGGAATGCAAGAACGACACCGCCTCCGCCGGAGGAAACCCTGGCCCAGGGGCAGCAGAAATCGGCGTGTGCTGCCTGCAGGGGCCCAGGTCCCGGAGGCCCCGGGGCTGCTGTCCCAGCGCCCACCAGGCCCCTCCGGGCGGCCTCTGCCAACCCCGCCCCCGCGAGGCCCCACCTCCACACGGCCCCGCCCCAGGCCCCGCCCCTTCCAGACCCCGCCTCCGCCAGCCCCGTTCCAAAGTCCCGCCTCCGCTCAGCTCCCTCCGCTCCGCCCCGCTCCGCCTCCACAAAGCCCCACCTACGCCCAGGCCACGCCCCTTCCAGGCCCCGCCTCCGGCCTCACCTCCCCGACCCCTTGCGGGTCACACGTGCCCAGGGAGTCCTCCGCAGAGCCCCGCCCCGATGCTCCCTCCGGCCACGCCCCCCTCTGGCCCCCGCCCACACTCTGACCACGTCCCCGCCCACGCCCGGCCCCTAGCACCCTCCCCTCTCCTGGAGCCACCGAGCCCCGGCAGAACGCGCCTGCGCCCTTTGGCCACGCCCCTCCCGCCCCCGCTCGGCCCCGCCCCCTCCCGGCTGCCGGGTGGGAGCTGGGCCGCGCAACGCGCATGCTCCAAGCGCGGCGCCCCTGACTCGGCGCTCGGCTCCGCTCGGGCATTTCCGCCTCTTTGTTTTAAACTCCGGTCGGGTTTTTTTCTCCGGCTCTTGGGGGGGACCCGGAGGGAGCGGCGCCCCCTCCCCTCCCGGCGCTGCCCCCGCGTGCGCCCCGCTCGTCCGCAGCCGAGACGGCAGGTCAGTGAGTCCGCGCCCCGCCCGGCCTGGCCCGCGGCGGCGCCCGCCGCTCAGGCCGCGGCCTCGGCCGTGTCCGGGCCCGGGAGGCTCCGAACCCCGGTCCGGCCCGCAGGCCCCCGGAGACCGGACCCCAGGACCCGCCGCCGGGGAGGGCACCGCGGGACCAGCGAACGCTGGGCTCGGGACAGTCGCCGAGAGCGTCCCCCGCGCGATGGGCATCGAGGAGGGTCCGCGACCAGCTCGGGCCACGGGAGTGCGGGACCTGGGACCGGGCAGACCCTGGGACGCGGCCGGACCAGGGTGGGCGGACCCTGGGAGGGGTCGCCTGGGAGGTCTCCACCTCGACCGGCCGTGGGAAGGTCAGGACTCGGGGTACACCCACTCGGAGGTCTGGGACCCCAGATCCAAAAGGCCGGGTCCCGGGACAGTCCTGTGAACCTGGGACCCGAGACAGCCCCTCCCCGAGGCCGGACCCCCGGACGGTCCCAGCAGGCAGGGCTTGAGCCACGTGACAGGCTCTGGGGGTGAACGGGGCCCCACAGGCCCTGAGGAGGTGGGGGTGCCGGGGCAGGACCATGAAGGCCAGACTCTGGGGCGGCCGGGACCCTGATAACAGCTGGGCCTGGAGACAGGCCTCGGCGCGGCCAGGACCCCCGACAAGGGGTGAGAAGTGCCCAGGCCCCACTATTGGGCCATCCGGGCTGCTGGGACCCAAGCCAGGCCCCCAGGAGTTGGGGCCCTGAGACAACACCCAGGGGTGCCCCGAGTCTCCCCAGCCCACTCAACTGGACCCCCGTGCTACGAAGGCCCTGGAGCATCAGGGACCCTGGTTACCTGGGCCCCACAGGTGCACACCCCTCCCTGAGGCCCCGACGTGTGAGCACTGGGCGGCCTGCCGACCTCTGACCTTCAGCGGGTGCCGCCTGGCGGGGCCTCGGAGGCAGGGTTGGGGCCCATCCCCCTGGCACTGGGGATTCAAGAGGGGCTCCTGGTCCGTGCTGGCTCCCAGGCCATCACTGTGCCCACTCCCCAGACCCAGAAAGCTGCCAGCCCCTATTCTCCCAGCCCCTGCGCCTGGGCTGCTGGCCTTGCCTTGGCCCCGTGGTCAGTGCCTGGCACTTTCAACTACTCCTGCCCTCTTCTCCCTCTGGTGGTGTCACCAGACTCACCCCATTCTCCTGGTCGTGGGGATGCACCCGCCCCCATCCTGAGTCTGGAGGTGTTTCCTGTGTCTAGGAGGTTCCGGAGCAGTTTGGGCCTCCGACATGTGTGTATAAGAGCGGGGGAGGGCAGTGGGCAGGAAAGTTGGAGCAGGCCGGGGTGCATGTCGGGTGACTCGGGCACCTTCCCCACTTCAGGAAGGAGACATGTACAGGACCTGGGAGGGGGCCTTTGCCTCCCAAAACCTGTAACTCAGGCCGTCATCTAGAACTTGCCTCTCTGCTCCCTGAATTCGCAAGCGGTGATGAAAAAGCAGGGTGCGCCGAATGCTGCTCCTTGCCTGGGAAGGGCTCCAGAATGTGTCCAGGAGGATCCGGGGGGGCGGCGGGGGCGGGCGGGCGGGGAGCTTAAGAGAAGGGAAGGCCCCGCAGGCAGGGGCCTCGCCCAGCCCCGTGCCCAGCGCTGGCCGCCTGGCGCGAGGTCAGCAGGCGGCACTGGACTGAGGAGTGCGGGAAGGAGCAGCGAGAGCAGGAATACTTGTAGGAAGATTGGTTGCCTTGGGCGGGAGGTGAGATATAAACCTGACCCGCCCGCCTGGGCTCCCAGGAGAGGTACTGGAACTAGTCCGTTCAGTGTTTCATCTCGTGCCCAGTGTCACTTGGTTACTCAGGAGAAAGCGCGTTAGGTGGTCACTTCGGTTTCCTAGGGCCAGGAGGTCCGGGTGAGAAGCCTCTATTTCCAGCTAGAACCACACGCCTTCCTCAGTGCTGACTCTGATTTCTTTTAAACATACACTTCGCTTCATTTGCTCTGCGACGTTTTGGAAAAGGCTGCGATATTTTGTTGGGTTAGGCTCTTTACTTCCCCACTTTTGGATTTTTTCTTCTTTAATTTAAATTCTTTTTTTTTTAAAATATATTTTATTGATTTTTTACAGAGAGAAAGGGAGAGAGATAGAGAGTTAGAAACATCGATGAGAGAGAAACATCGATCAGCTGCCTCCTGCACATCTCCTACTGGGGATGTGCCCGCAACCCAGGTACATGCCCTTGACCGGAATCGAACCTGGGACCTCTCAGTCCGCAGGCCGACGCTCTATCCACTGAGCCAAACCGGTTTCGGCTTTAATTTAAATTCTTTATTGTTTAAAGTATTGCATATGTCTCCTTTTTCCCCATTGACCTTTCCCTGACTGCCCCCACCACCACCACCACACACACACACTTTTGGGTTTTTAAAGGTGTGATCGTGCCGGTGGCTGTATTATTTATATATTGCATCCAGCAAATTACCCTGAAACTTGGTGCCTTGGGAGAGCAGCAGCTACCATCTCGGGTTCTGTGGGCCAGGGGTCTGGGTGCCACTCAGCTGGGTCCCCAGCCCCGCCTCAGGCTGCAGCCAGGGTGCTGGTGGGGAGCTCCACGGGGGGCGGGGGGGGGGTCTGCTTCCAGGCTCACTCATGAGAGGCCAGCTCCCTTCCACGTGGGGCTCCTTTCACGTGGGGCTCCCCATCCGGCAGCTCAGAGGGAGCCAGCTACAGAGCAAGAGGGAGCTAGAAGGAGGCCAGTCTCCATGACCTAATCTTGGCAGTGACATCCATCCCTTTTGCCATATTCTGTCTGTTAGAGGCACAGGGCCCAGCCCACACTTGAGGGGAGGAACTCCACAGGGTGTGAGGACGAGGAGGGGCTGGGGTCACGGGGGACTGGGGGGTGGCTGGGGTCACGGGGGATGAGGAGGGGCTGGGGTCATGAGGGACTAGGAGGGGCTGGGGTCATGGGGGACTAGGGGGGCTGGGGTCACGGAGGACTAGGAGGGGCTGGGGTCACGGGGGACTAGGAGGGGCTGGGATCACGGGGGACTAGGGGGGCTGGGATCATGGGGGACTGCGGGGGCTAGGGTCACGGGGACTAGGGGGGCTGGGGTCACGGGGGACTAGGAGGGGCTGGGATCATGGGAGGCTAGGGGGTGCTGGGGTCCCTGGGGGACTAGGGGGGGCTGGGGTCATGGGGGACTGGGGAGGCTGGGATCATGGGGGACTAGGGGTTCTGGGATCATGGGGGACTGGGGAGGCTGGGGTCAAGGGGACTAGGGGGGCTGGGGTCACGGGGGACTAGGGGGGCTAGGGTCACGGGGACTAGGGGGGGCTGGGGTCACGGGGGACTAGGAGGGGCTGGGATCATGGGGGGCTAGGGGGTGCTGGGGTCCCTGGTGGACTAGGGGGGGCTGGGGTCATGGGGCACTGGGGAGGCTGGGATCATGGGGGACTAGGGGTTCTGGGATCATGGGGGACTGGGGAGGCTGGGGTCACGGGGACTAGGGGGGCTGGGGTGACGGGGGACTAAGGGGGGCTGGGGTCAGGGGGAGGAGGTGGAGCCTGCACTGGCCGGGTGTCAGCTAACACAGGGCCTGCACCTGAGAAGCACCCCAGGGAGATGGGCAGAGCTGCATGCAGAGGGTGTGCTAGGTGTGGTGTCTTCAGGACCGGACGCTGGTGTGATACGTGAGCTGCCGCGGAGGGAGGTGAACTCCAGGTGGGGAAGGAAGGTCTTTAGGGGCTTCCCTGGAGCAGAGCACAAGGCCGGCAGATTGAATCCTGGGCGTGTCAGTGGTTGGGGTCATCGATCGCGTCAGGACAGCGGTACTCGCTGTTTCCAGGTCGTTTCATTCCTGCCAGTGGTTTTGCTCCAACAGCTGTAAACTGGCCTTTGTGAGGAGTTTCTGTGGGATGTGAGATCCCGAAACGCCTTGGGGGTTTGACCCTTGTAGGAAGCAGTGGTTCCAGAGCCCTGTGCAGGCCCAGCTCAGCCGCAGGGCTCCCAGCGCCGGCTGGCCAGGCACAGGCCCATAGGGCCTCCGGAAGACCTGTCTGAGCCCCTCAGGGAGGCATCTGGGGAGGGGATGATCCGTTGGGACTGTGTGATTTCGGTCATAGAGCAAGGTTTGTTGTTGGGCTATACCTTTATTCTTCAATCTACTGAATGGCTGGGTTGGCTATTTCATTTGGAGCTTTGTGTGGCTAATGGTCGGAATAGGATTTGAAGTTGAAAATGCAGCTTCTTTTGCAGCTGAAGTACCTCCTCTCTGTGGTTTGCTGTGGGTGTTGGGGACCGGCCCTCCGGTTGCTGTGCTTCAGAAGATGGAGCCGGTCTCCTTCGGTCCAACAGCTGATAGATCGTTCGCCATGGAGTCTGCCTTTCCTGCCGGCGTGCGCTGCTCCCCACGGAGCTGACGGGGGGCCAGGTGGCAGCGCGGAGAAGGCGTCTCGCGTGGCGAGGGCTACCGCCTTAGACGCATGTTCAGGGCTGTCCGCTGAGTGAAGCGCAGCTTTCCCTGATGGGAACGAAAACTCACCAGTAAACGGGCTCTAAAAGCCGAGGGGGAGGCTGGCGGGATTGGAGGAGGGCGGGCGTCTGGTGTATAAGGTGAATCCAGGGCTGGAGGGTAAGTGGGGTTTTTTGCAAACCTATCAATATTTGTTGGACTTTGCTACATTGACAGCAGATTCCAGATGTTTACAAGAAGTGCGTGAGCAGCAGGCAGCTGCCCGAGGCCTCCCTGAGCCGCTCTGGCGGGTGTGCGGGTCCTGCCAGCTGCTCCGGGGGATTCTCAGCAGGACCTGCCCGTCCCGGTGGAGCTGTTCACTGCTCCTTGGTGACTTCCTTCCCTGCCCCGATCTGACGGCGTCCTGACTCCTGAGCCCGCGGGCTGGCCCCGGCCGCCCACCCGGCCCACGGGAGACCCTGCACAGCCGGTGCCACGTGAGGGCAAGAGGCCCAGCCTCCCTCTTCTCGGATGGCAAATCATGTACCTTACTTTTCTTTCTTCCTTTTTCTCTTTCTTTCTTTTAAATACATGTTTATTGATTTCAGAGAGAAAGAGAGGAGAGAGGGATAGAAACATCAGCGATGAGAGAGACTAATCGATCGGCTGCCTCCTGCACACCCCGCTTTAGGGATAGGCCTGCAGCCGCACGTCCCTGACATATTCGAACCGTGACCTCCTGGTTTAAGGTCGATGCGCAACCACTGAGCCACGCCAGCTGGGCTCATCTTACTCTTCTACCCGTGTTTTATTTGGGGGAACACAGTGGAGAAAAACTGCAAGGGTTATACAGGGAGCACCTCCCCTCCCCCCCCGCCCCCGTCCCCTGCCCCCCGCCAGGTCCAGTCATTGGTTGTCTTGCCACATTCGCTTCATGTCTTTCTCATACTCATTTATTGTTGGATCGTGAGAGGGGCTGCGGCTGACCGTGCATTCGCGAGGGGATTCAGGCAGCAGGGCCAGGAATGGGGTCTCCTCAGATCTGCGGGGCCGCCCTCACACGCGGGGCTAGGGGCACTTTTTCTCGAGTCAGCTAATAGCCTGCTCACCTCCAAATCTCCCGGTGTCTCGAGAGCGTCTTTGGCGGCGATTCTCTCTTCCCGGACACCGGCAGGCTCCCAGCGTGGCCCGGGCCGTGCCCCTTCCTGTCTTTCCGTGTCAGGCTCCCACTGCCCCCGTGTCATCGCTGGCAGACCGCCTGTCGGGTCTCTGGTCTTCACTGGGGTGCTGTCCCGCTGCGCTCTGCACTGGGGAGTGCGGGAGAGGCAGGTGCTTCGTGCTGTGCTGTCGGGTCATGCCGTCCGCGTGGGTATCACTTGGGTTGCACTGCTGCCACACCTGTCAGCCCCCGATTTCCAGGGCCTTGGGGCGGGAGGAGCCTGCCGGGGAGCAAAGGCTGTCAGGACAGCCCTGGAGTCCCGCATAGGAGCCCAGAGCCGGGCCTTTGTCTGGCGACCGACTTACACTGTGTCTCGCTAGAGGCTGAACCCCTGGCCCTCAGCGCAGGAGCGTCAGGGGCCACCCCATCTTTTTCAGGGGCACACCCCAGTCCCACCCGGCGGCTTCGATGCTTTCAGCTGCCTCTGTTCCCGCTGAGTGGGTAGAAAGCGTTTGAAGTTGTTCATGGGAACATGACTTTTGCTGTCGGAAAGTAACTGCCTTTCCTTGCACAGAGATGGGCCTGGCGGGAGGCAGTTACTTTTCCCGGGCTTTTCATCCAGGCGCCTGGCGAGGCCACAGCGATCAGATGGGACGTCTCAGTCCGCCCGGCTGGCCTAAGGCAGTGTCCCAGGCTTCCCGGGTCTGAGGTCCGAGATCCTGGTTCTGGGCGAGGACCCCTCTCACTGTGCTCACTGATCCCGACACGGGACCCCGCCGTGCATCTCAGCCTAATCGCCCCACATTGGGCCGGTGCAGTGCGTACGAGGGTTAGCAGCCTGTCTCTCGTCTCTCTGCCTGGGAGGCTCATCGCCAAGGGGACGTTTTGCAGAGCTGGTGGCCACTGTTTTCCGTGCTTGGGAAACTGGCTCTTCCTTTTGCTAGGAGCTGCCCTGCTTCTAGAAACTGTTGTCTTCGTTTTCTGTGGCTGCGTAACGAATTGCCACACACCGGGTGGCGTAAAACGGCCCCCACTCACTCGCCACAGGTCTGGGCAGCACAGTGGGGCCGGCTCGGGCCACAGAGGTGGAAACGGCGCGTCAGCCGGGGGTGGCTCTGGTCTCGGGCCCTGTCCCTCTCCCTGCGCACTGGCTGGAGCGGGCGCCCTCAGCTCCCAGGGCCCAGTCCTGTGCCCAGGCCGTGGCAGCTGACATGGCGCTGCTCTCTGCCCAGCCAGCAGGGCCCCTCCCTCTGACGGCCCTCTCACCAGCCAGAGAACTCTGCTCCCCAAGGCCTGCCACGGGATCAGGCCACCGGACTCTGCTTTTTTTTTTTTTTTTTTTAATGTATTTTTATTGATTTAGGAGAGGGAGATAGAAACATCATTGATCAGTTACCTCCTGCACGCCCCCTACTGGGGATCAAGCGCACAACCCAGGCACGTGCCCTGACTGGGATTTGAACCGTGACCTCCTGGTTCATAGGTCAGTGCCCAACCATTGAGCCACGCCAGCCAGGCCACTTTTTATTTTTGTTTCTGTTAATCCTCACCTGAGGATATTTTTCCATTGATTTTTAGCGAGAGTGGAAGGGACGTGGGGGAGAGAAACATTCATGTGAGAGAGACACGTTGATTGGTTGCCTCTTGCATGTGCCCCAACCCCGGCCAAGGATCAAGCCTGCCACCAAGGTGCATGCCCTCAACCGGAATTAAGCTGTGACCCTTCAGTCCATGGGCAAGTGATGTACCTACTGAGCCGCACCAGCCAGGGCTATTCTTAATTCTCTACGTTTTTTAAAAACTCAGGAATGGAGCCCTGGCCAGTGGTTCACTGGTTAGAGCACCAGCCAGTGCACCCACTTCGATTCAAGAGTGTGTACCTGGCCCCCGTTGGGGTCCCTACAGAAGGCAACCAATCAGTGTGTCTCCCTCCCATCGATGTCTCCCTCTCTCTCTCTCTCTCTCTCTGTCTCCCTCTCTCCGCCCCCCTTCTCAAAATATCGGGGAGAGATCCTTCAGTGAGGATTAACAACAACAATTGGGATGAATTTCGTCAGGTGATTTTTGTGTGCATTGGGAGAGCTTATCATTTTTCTCCGTTTGGTCACAAATTACATGTGTTTCTTATATTCACTCCTGTACTGGGATCAGCCCGGCTCGTCGGGCAGGACCTGCTGTCCCGAAGGGGCGCGGTGCTCCTCGGCTCTGTCCGCCGCGGGCTCGGTCTGCGATCCCGCCAGCCTGGCCGGTGTGTGCGCTACGGCAGCCCCCGAAGACGTGGTGGGAATTGCCGTCCTTACTGCTGCCCCCGGGAGTTGCCTGAGACGGGGGTCGGGAGAGCCGCTTCCAAGTAGCTACCGAGCTCTCTGGGTTTCTGTGTTTACAGCCTCGACCAGGAATGTATCGGTTTTATACAAATTTGCAACTTTACTGGCACAGACTTGTCCATACTATTCGGCTGTTGCTCACGTGTCACGGTTTTCAGTGAAGCCTCTCGGGCACCCCGCCCCGCCCACTCTGACTCACCTGCCGGCCACCTTCCGACCTTACCTGCCCACTGCGGTTACCGTCACTGCCTCTTCCCCGTGAAGGTGCGGCCCCAGGCACCTGTTCTTATCTGCCGCTGGCAGAGGCCGGCACTGTGACAGCGTAGGGAGCCACAGCCACGCCACCCGTGCTGGGCAGGGGGATGTGGCCGGCACAGCCTTGTGCAAGGGCCCCCAGGCCTGCATCTCCCTCCTGTCTCCCTCCCCTCTGCCTTTTTTTGTGAAACTTAATTGAGCTTCAAAGAGTAGTTAATAAAAGATGCGGTTATGGGAAAGCTTGGCGTGCAGATGATGGAGGCGGGATGTAATGTGAACAGCAGGCTGGCGTTTCTCTGGCCCGTTTCTCTGGCCCGTGGCTCCGCGGCTGGGTTTGTCCTGTTGTTAAGCCCCACGCGCTCAGTGGCGTTAGGGCTGTGACTTCTGTACCTGGTCCTCCCAGAGCCTCGGGCCACTGGCCCAGCGCTGCCTTTTCTTACCCCGCCCCACCTGGCTCCTGGCTGGCGAGGCCCTCGGCCCACTGAGCCTCCCGGGGCCTCTCCCTGGTCCCAAATACACGCTGTGCTGTGGGTGTCTCTAGTCCATCTCCCACAGAGCCCACATCCTCGTCCCTACTGTGCCCCAAACCCAGCCCGGAGCTGCGGGAGGGGCCCCTGGTGCATGTCCCTGGGCGGGTGGCCCCGAGAGACACCCTGCTCATCACACACAAGTTAAATAGCAGCCAGCCATAGTCCGTCCCTCCCGGAGGCCCAGCCTGCCACCAGGTGCCCCTGCAATGCTTCTCCTCCCCCGGAGCTTTCACACCCCCTCCTCCTGCCTCCTGGGGCCCTGCCCCGCGGCCCCCACAGTCCCCCCCCCCCCTCCCCAGCCGCACCTGGTCTCAGTGACACCACAGCCACAGAGACCTCTGTGTCCCTCTAGTCGACCCTGGCCCTTCACTGTCATTAATTCTTGCTTTCCTTTTGGTTCTAAGCAAGGAAGGGAACCGAGGTGTGGGGGCCATTGCAGTGTGGGGGGCACAGTGTGTGGGCCATTGCACAGTGTGGGGGCACATTGGGGGACAGTGTGGGGCACATTGGGGGGTATTGCACAGTGTGGGGGGGCACAGTGGGGGGCAGTGTGTGGGCCATTGCACAGTGGGGGGCACAGTGGGGGGTCAGGCCGGCAGCACCCTGACACCTGCTCTCTGTCTCCACAGGCCCCAGCATGTAGCGGAGGGTCCCGGCCGCCCATCCAGGTGAGAGCAGCGCACGCGGAGGGGCTGTGGGGACCTGGAGCCACAGAAAGGCGGCGCCTTGGGGCTCCTGAGACAGCTGAGAGCTCCGGGCGGCCGACTGTGCATGGAACCACGTGTTCCCCGGCGAGTGCGGTGGGCTCGTCCGCTGTTGGCTACGGACTCGGAACAGCCCAGCAGAACTCGGTGCAGGAGTGCGTCACCCGGGCGTGACTGAGCCGGGCTGTTTCTGTGCAGAAAATGGAAAAGGAGCAGAGGACGGAAGGAAGGCGCGGCGGTGAAGACGCGGAGTGCGGAGCGCGGCAGCCGGGGCGTCTCAGCGGCACAGCCGAGGCCTGAGCGCCCATGCAGAGGGAGCGGCGGACCCAGGCGTCTAGAGGAGGTAATCGTGGGGCGCTCACAGGGATGACGTCATGGGTGGCGCTCACAGGGATGATGGCGTCATGGGTCGGCGCTCACAGGGATGATGGCGTCATGGGGCAGCGCTCACGGGGATGGCTTCATGGGGTGGCGCTCACAGGGATGGCTTCATGGGGTGGCGCTCACGGGGGTGACGTCATGGGGTGGCGCTCACGGGGTGACGTCATGGGGCGGCGCTCACAGGGATGGCGTCATGGGGTGGCGCTCACGGGGTGACGGGGCGGCGCTCACAGGGGTGATGACGTCATGGGGCAGCGCTCACAGGGATGGCGTCATGGGGTGGCGCTCACGGGGGTGATGACGTCATGGGGCGGCGCTCACAGGGATGACGTCATGGGGCGGCACTCACAGGGGTGACGTCATGGGGCGGCGCTCAGGGGTGGCGCTCACAGGGATGACGTCATGGGGCGGCGCTCACAGGGATGGCGTCATGGGGCAGCGCTCACGGGGGTGACGTCATGGGGCGGCGCTCACAGGGGTGATGATGTCATGGGGTGGCGCTCACAGGGATGGCGTCATGGGGCAGCGCTCACAGGGGTGATGTCATGGGGCGGTGCTCACAGGGATGGCGTCATGGGGCAGCGCTCACGGGGGTGACGTCATGGGGCAGCACTCACAGGGGTGATGATGTCATGGGGCGGCGCTCCAGGACTGAGGGTTGCTCCCCACTGAGGCTTCCTGCCTCTGCACTGGACAGCACCTTTGAGAGGCACCGCGAGGTGGGCGCATGGAGTGGGCACAAAACTGCAGCCTCGAGCTGCTGCCCCTGGTCCAGGTGGACAGGCCCCTCCGGTGTCGGTGCCCAGTGCACAGGGTGCTCAGGGCCACCTCTGCCCACTGGTGGTGACAGGAGTCAGGACAGGCGGTCCTGTCTCAGATGCGGAGGTCAGTGGGCACAGGGCCTCCTCTCCAGCCGGGTGGGCGGCCCTTAGGCGGCGCTGCATCCAGGCCCCTGTCCCTCTGGCCTTTTAGGACCTGGTGGTGTAGAAAGTGACCTCCCTCCCTCGGGCTCTCAGCGGGAGTCCCGTCGCGGGCACTGTGTCCCAGGCGATGTCGGAGGCACACCCGCCATCCTCCTGGTCCCCCTGGGCCGCCTGGCACTCAGTAGGTGATGTCTGTGGGGCTCCCCGCCCTGTGCCCCCCTCTCCTTGGTGGCTGCTCGGTGGGGCAGGACTGTGCCTTTAGGCGGGAAGGGGGCCTGGCCCTGGCACAGGTGTGGTGCAGCCTCCGCCCTCTGCACGCCGAGGCTCCTGGAGGGACGTCCTCTGACTTCCTTTCTCTGGACCCTGAGCCTTGATGACATGCACTGGAACGTTTCAGATATTCATTAACGTGTCTTTTCTCTTGCAGAAGCCAAAGATGTTGACCAGAAAGATTAAACTCTGGGACATAAACGCCCACATCACATGCCGTCTGTGCAGCGGGTACCTCATCGACGCGACCACCGTGACCGAGTGTCTGCACACGTGTATGTGAGAGTGTTCTAGAGCCTGGCCTCTGACAGTGTGTGCATGTACACTGTCTGACCACGTGCACACGTGTGCGTGAAAATGTCTAGAACGTGGCCTCTGACGGTTACTAGTCAGCTGTTCTTTGATACTTTGGCTTTTTTTTTAACCAAAAGTTTTAGCTCAAGTACAAGGCAGGACACAGAAGCAGGAATAAAAACGATCTTGAGGATACATCAGAAAAAATGCTTTCAAAATAAAAATACTGTGGTGTTTCCATAGCGACACCATTTCAGGACGCTCCGTCTGGGAAATGCTGTGATTTGATTGAACAGACAACTGTCACGGGGGCTTTACTCCTGACGGGCAGAAGCGCTTGTTTTCTTAAACGTTTACACGGAGGGATCGCTGGCCCCGCCTGATGCGGTCGAATGGAGGGCTCTTGGCTGTTTTTAAGCACAGCCTCACTGGCTAGCAGACGGCATGGTTCCCTGGAGATGCAGTTTCAGGGCATGGCAGGCAGGATCTCAAACCACAACGAACCCTGTAATACCTGCACATATACTTTCTCTAACTTTTTAAATTGACTTCAGAGTGAGGAAGAGGGAGAGAGACATCGTGTGAGACAGAAACATCAATTGCTTGCCTCCCATATGCTCCCTGACCAGCACATGCCCTTGGCCAGGAATCGAACCTGCAGCCTCTTGGTGCACGGACGACGCGCCAACTGAGCCACCCAGCCAGGCCTGTAACTTTTTCATCCTGTGTTTTTCACTTGAGAAAGTAAAATATTTTCCAATCTTAAGAGTTTTTCATTTAAAGTGAGCTGTATTTGTAGATAATGGGGGTATAATTTATGTTGTTTTTACTGGATTTCTGATGCACAAAAGCAGTCCTGTGAACTCTCAGGCCAGCATAGCACTAGACCGCTAGCCCGAGTGAGACCGAGCGCGAGTGAGACCGAGCCCAGCGCTTTCCCCGCTCTGGCCTCTGCTGCTCCTCCCCTCCTCACGAGGCAGCAGGGGTGCGGCTGACAGCGCCGGGTTTGGGGGGGGGGAGCGGGGCCCGGGCGGCCCGGGTAACTCTGCCTCTGCCCGCAGTCTGCCGGAGCTGCCTGGTCAAGTACCTGGAGGAGAACAACACCTGTCCCACCTGCAGGATCGTCATCCACCAGAGCCACCCGCTGCAGTACATCGGGTGAGCGCCCCGGTGGGCCAGCTGGGGTCACGGGACTTCAGGGCTGCTGTCCACGGGACTGAGAAGTCCAGCAGGCATGAACTCGGGCCGCGGGGGGACTTGCCCAGAGGGAACTCGGGCCACGGGACGCCTTTCTGAGGGGAACTCGGGCCATAGGAGGCCTTGCCTAGAGGGAACTCGGGCCATGGGAGGGGACTCGGGCCACGGGAGGCCTTGCCTAGAGGGAACTCGGGCCACAGGAGGGGACTCGGGCCACGGGAGACCTTGCCTAGAGGGAACTTGGGCCACGGGAGGGAACTTGGGCCACGGGAGGCCTTGCTGGGAGGGAACTCAGGCCACGGGAGGGCTTGCCGGGAGGGAACTCAGGCCACGGGAGGGAACTCGGGCCACGGGAGGCCTTGCCTAGAGGGAACTCAGGCCACGGGAGGGAACTCGGGCCACGGGAGGGCTTGCCGGGAGGGAACTCAGGCCACGGGAGGGAACTCGGGCCACGGGAGGCCTTGCCTAGAGGGAACTCAGGCCACGGGAGGGAACTCGGGCCACGGGAGGGCTTGCCGGGGGGGGAACTCAGGCCACGGGAGGGAACTCAGGCCACAGGAGGCCTTGCCTAGAGGGAACTCGGGCCACGGGAGGGAACTCGGGCCACCGGAGGCCTTGCCTAGAGAGAACTCGGGCCACGGGAGGGAACTCGGGCCACGGGAGGCCTTGCCTAGAGGGAACTCAGGCCACGGGAGGCCTTGCCTAGAGGGAACTCGGGCCACGGGAGGGGACTCGGGCCACGGGAGGCCTTGCCTAGAGGGAACTCGGGCCACGGGAGGGGACTCGGGCCACGGGAGGCCTTGCCTAGAGGGAACTCAGGCCACGGGAGGGAACTCGGGCCACGGGAGGCCTTGCAGAGAAGTGTGAGAGGCGAGGCGATCCTGTTGGCTAACCCGTGCTGCTCTCCCTACAGGCATGACAGGACCATGCAGGACATCGTGTACAAGCTGGTGCCAGGCCTACAGGAAGGTGCGTGTGGGTGCCCCCTCCCGTCCCCGGGTGCCTCTCCCCACAGTGGGCGGGGCAGGGCGGGGATGGACATGAGGCCCCTCCTGGCAGAACCGCCATCTGTCCCTGCTCTGAACTCACTGGCATCTCCCGCTGGTCTCCTCCATCGTCTGTCCCTTGTCTGCACCCTCAGCCCGGAAGCCCTGGTGTGGGCGTCGTGCGGCCAGCGCTGTCTGGGCTGTGGGGGCACAGCTGGCATGGGTGCCAGTCAGTGTAACTGTACTTACAGAATTAAAAAGAAACGCCCTGTACTACACCCATCCTGAAAGTGGGAGTGGCTGTTCTTTCAAAAGTTCTGCGTAGCCCTGGCCGGTTTGGCTCAATGGATAGAGCCTCAGCCTGTGGACTGAAGGGTCCCGGGTTCGATTCCGGTCAAGGGCACAGGCCTGGGTTGTGGGCTCGATCCCGAGTGGGGGGGGTGTGTAGGAGGCAGCTGATCCATGATTCTCACTTATCATTGATGTTTCTATCTCTCCCTTTTTCTTCCTCTCTGAAATCAATAAAAATAAGTTAAAAAAAAAAGTTCTGCGCAGTGCTCAAGACTGAGACTGTCCCCACCTTTGTCGGGGTGGGGACGAGCTCCGTTCCACACGGGCAGCAGGCGGGCGCTACCTGCTGGCGAGACTTGGGTGCCCTCCACGGTGAGGCTGGTAGGGAGTCCGGAGAGGGTTATAGTTTAAGATTCAGCTCCTGCCTTAGGTCGGTAGACAGCGTCTGGGCTTTAACCTGTAACTCGGGTGTTAAAGCCCTTTCTGTCCCGCATGCAGCCGTGTAGGCGGGACTGAAACGCCTGACGCGTGTAGGCGGGAGCAGCGTTAGTCCTGGAACCGGCAAAGTCACTAGAGAGGGTTTTAGACGTGCAGCCGTGGGTGGGATCAGTCACACCTGGGACCCGTGTCCGTCCTTGCTGGGCCACTCGGGGGCCCTGGGAACCCCAGCTCAAGGTTGTTCTCCTTCATGCAGCTTCCAACTTTGTAGTCATCTGTGCTCTTTGTGTGATATTTGTGAATAGAACATTTGTATAACTCGTGGCCTGCTCAAGATTAAAGGTTGTTACTGATCTTTCATAGCGGAAATGAGAAAACAGAGGGAATTCTACCACAAACTGGGCATGGAGGTGCCTGGAGACATCAAGGGGGAGACTGGTTCTGCGAAGCAGCACTCGGACCCCCATCGGAATGGTAAGCGACGGATCGCTGACAGGCTGTTCCTGAGAGCTCCCGTCCCTGTCCCTGTCCTCATCCCCCGTCCCCCGTCCCCTATCTCCTGTCCTCTGTCCTCATCCCCTGCCCCTGTCCCCTATACCCTGTCCTCATCCCCTGCCCCCTGTCCCCTGTCCCCTATACCCTGTCCTCATTCCCTGCCCCCTGTCCCCTATACCCTGTCCTCATTCCCTGCCCCCTGTCCCCTGTCCCCTATACCCTGTCCTCATTCCCTGCCCCCTGTCCCCTGTCCCCTATACCCGTCCTCATTCCCTGCCCCCTGTCCCCTGTCCCCTATATCCTGTCCTCATTCCCTGCCCCCTGTCCCCTGTCCCCTATATCCTGTCCTCATCCCCTGCCCCCTGTCCCCTATATCCTGTCCTCATTCCCTGTCCCCTGTCCCCTATACCCTGTCCTCATCCCCTGCCCCCTGTCCCCTATACCCTGTCCTCATCCCCTGCCCCCTGTCCCCTATATCCTGTCCTCATCCCCTGCCCCCTGTCCCCTGTCCCCTATACCCTGTCCTCATCCCCTGCCCCCTGTCCCCTGTCGCCTATACCCTGTCCTCATCCCCTGCCCCTGTCCCCTGTCCCCTGTCCCCTATATCCTGTCCTCATCCCCTGCCCCCTGTCCCCTATACCCTGTCCTCATCCCCTGCCCCCTGTCCCCTATACCCTGTCCTCATCCCCTGCCCCCTGTCCCCTGTCCCCTATACCCTGTCCTCATCCCCTGCCCCTGTCCCCTGTCCCCTATATCCTGTCCTCATCCCCTGCCCCTGTCCCCTATACCCTGTCCTCATTCCCTGCCCCCTGCCCCCTGTCCCCTATATCCTGTCCTCATTCCCTGCCCCCTGTCCCCTATATCCTGTCCTCATCCCCTGCCCCCTGTCCCCTATATCCTGTCCTCATCCCCTGCCCCCTGTCCCCTGTCCCCTATACCCTGTCCTCATCCCCTGCCCCCTGTCCCCTGTCGCCTATACCCTGTCCTCATCCCCTGCCCCCTGTCCCCTGCCCCCTGTCCCCTATACCCTGTCCTCATCCCCTGCCCCCTGTCCCCTATATCCTGTCCTCATCCCCTGCCCCCTGTCCCCTGTCCCCTATACCCTGTCCTCATCCCCTGCCCCCTGTCCCCTGTCCCCTATACCCTGTCCTCATCCCCTGCCCCCTGTCCCCTGTCCCCTGTCCCCTATATCCTGTCCTCATTCCCTGCCCCCTGTCCCCTATACCCTGTCCTCATCCCCTGCCCCCTGTCCCCTATATCCTGTCCTCATCCCTGCCCCCTGTCCCCTGTCCCCTATACCCTGTCCTCATCCCCTGCCCCCTGTCCTCTGTCCCCTATACCCTGTCCTCATCCCCTGCCCCCTGTCCCCTGTCCCCTGTCCCCTATATCCTGTCCTCATTCCCTGCCCCCTGTCCCCTATACCCTGTCCTCATCCCCTGCCCCCTGTCCCCTATACCCTGTCCTCATCCCCTGCCCCCTGTCCCCTGTCCCCTATACCCTGTCCTCATCCCCTGCCCCTGTCCCCTGTCCCCTATACCCTGTCCTCATCCCCTGCCCCCTGTCCCCTGTCCCCTATACCCTGTCCTCATCCCCTGCCCCCTGTCCCCTGTCCCCTATACCCTGTCCTCATCCCCTGCCCCCTGTCTCCTGTCCCCTATATCCTGTCCTCATCCCTGCCCCCTGTCCCCTATACCCTGTCCTTATCCCCTGCCCCCTACCCCCTGTCCCCTATATCCTGTCCTCATCCCCTGCCCCCTGTCCCCTGTCCCCTATACCCTGTCCTCATCCCCTGCCCCCTGTCCCCTGTCCCCTATACCCTGTCCTCATCCCCTGCCCCCTGTCCCCTGTCCCCTATATCCTGTCCTCATCCCCTGTCCCCTTCCCCTATACCCTGTCCTCATCCCCTGCCCCCTGCCCCCTGTCCCCTATACCCTGTCCTCATCCCCTGCCCCCTGTCCCCTGTCCCCTATATCCTGTTCTCATTCCCTGCCCCCTGTCCCCTATACCCTGTCCTCATCCCCTGCCCCCTGTCCCCTGTCCCCTATACCCTGTCCTCATCCCCTGCCCCCTGTCCCCTGTCCCCTATATCCTGTCCTCATCCCCTGCCCCCTGTCCCCTATACCCTGTCCTCATCCCCTGCCCCCTGCCCCCTGTCCCCTATATCCTGTCCTCATCCCCTGCCCCCTGTCCCCTGTCCCCTATACCCTGTCCTCATCCCCTGCCCCTTGTCCCCTGTCCCCTATACCCTGTCCTCATCCCCTGCCCCCTGTCCCCTGTCCCCTATATCCTGTCCTCATCCCCTGCCCCCTGTCCCCTATACCCTGTCCTCATCCCCTGCCCCCTGTCCCCTGTCCCCTATACCCTGTCCTCATCCCCTGCCCCCTGTCCCCTGTCCCCTATATCCTGTCCTCATTCCCTGCCCCCTGTCCCCTATATCCTGTCCTCATTCCCTGCCCCCTGTCCCCTATACCCTGCCCTCATTCCCTGCCCCCTGTCCCCTATACCCTGTCCTCATTCCCTGCCCCCTGTCCCCTATACCCTGTCCTCATCCCCTGCCCCCTGTCCCCTGTCCCCTATACCCTGTCCTCATCCCCTGCCCCCTGTCCCCTGTCCCCTATATCCTGTCCTCATTCCCTGCCCCCTGTCCCCTATACCCTGTCCTCATCCCCTGCCCCCTGTCCCCTGTCCCCTATACCCTGTCCTCATCCCCTGCCCCCTGTCCCCTGTCCCCTATATCCTGTCCTCATCCCCTGCCCCCTGTCCCCTATACCCTGTCCTCATCCCCTGCCCCCTGCCCCCTGTCCCCTATGTCCTGTTCTCATCCCCTGCCCCCTGTCCCCTGTCCCCTATACCCTGTCCTCATCCCCTGCCCCCTGTCCCCTGTCCCCTATACCCTGTCCTCATCCCCTGCCCCTTGTCCCCATCCTCCGTCCCCATCCCCTGTCCTCTGTCCTTATCCCCTGTTCCAATCCCCTTGTCCCCGTCTGCCTCCTCTCAACCCCAAGCAGTTTGTAGTGCAGAGTCATAACCTTTGTGAAAGTCAGTGACATGGTTATCCCTGGGGGCTAGGCACAGAGGGCACCCGGGGGCATGGCCAGTGGCTCCCGACGCTCCCTGAGTTTGGGGAGTTTTGCTGTAGATGGCACAGTGGCATGTGGCTTCCATGTAAAGTTAACGGCATTTAAATCTGTACATCGAGTAACAAATGGAAGAAATCTCTGATGCTCTGACATTTTCCTGTGGACCACACGGTCCCTGGGAGCCTGAGGCCTCCTGTGCTTTTGTAACCGTCGGGGAGAACGGGCGGGCTGCCGTCACCACCGCCGACCCTGCTGGTGCCGCTGGGCCCTGGGAGGCGGGGGACCGTGCCGGGGCCCGGCAGTCTGTCCCGCGTGGCAGCCACGGGCGCCTTCATTTCAACGTGGCGAGGAGTCGGCCGGCGCGGCTCAGTGGTTGAGTGTTGACCTGTGAACCAGGATGTCACTGCTCAATTCCCGGTCAGGGCACAGGCCCAGGTTGCGGGCTCAACCCCCAGTGGGGGGCGTGCAGGAGGCAGCCGATCCATGATTCTCTCGCATCAGTGATGTTTCTCTCTCTCTCCCTCTCCCTCCCTCTCTGAAATCGATGGAAATCTATCTTTAACCCTGTGTGCGCCATAAGCGTCTACAGGCGCGATTAAATTCAAAACCTCGTGGCGCGGGGATGGCTTCCGTTGTGGACGCATGGCCGTCACCTGGTTAAATAAACGGTTTGAGCCATGCCCTGCAGGGCGCCGTGCAGACTGGGGGTGGAGGTGTTCAGAATGGAGCAGCAGCGGTGGCCGAGCCGCTGTGGCCCTTTCACCTCCCGTGCCGCCTGTGCCCCCCTCCGCTGCAGACCACACGCGAGCCGCCTCGCGCCCTGCCTGAGGAGCACGCGCTCACACACTTGTCCCCGCCTCTGGCGTGTGCTTTACGGTGCAAATTCTTACTACTCTGTTTTTTAGTGTGTTTTTAAAATTATATGTAATTAAAATTTTTTTTTAATATATTTTACTGATTTCAGAAAGGAAGGGAGAGAGAGAGACAGAAACATCAGTGATGAGAGAGAATTACTGATTGGCTGCCTCCTGCAGCCCTGCACTGGGGATCGAGCCCACAACCTGGGTGTGTGTCCTGACGGGGAATGGAACTGTGACCTCCTGGTTCCTAGGTTGATGGATGCTCAGTCCCCGAGCCCCACCAGCCGCACCTACACTGGTTTTTATGGCGTTTCAGGTGTACAGCAGGGTGACCGGCTCCGCATTTTGGGTTTCATAACAAACACAGTGTATTCTCTTCTGCTAAAAGGTGAAACCAAAGCAGACGAGAGCTCCCACACAGAGGCTGCGGAAGAGAAGCAGGAGGAGGACAGCGACTACCACCGGAGCGACGAGCAGGTCGGTGCCTTTGCATCCCTGTGCCCTGCATTCCCTAAGGCCCCCGCTCCCTAAGGCCCCCGCTCCCTAAGGCCCCTCCTCCCTAAGGCCCCCTTCCCTAAGGCCCCCGCTCCCTAAGGCCCCGCTCCCTAAGGCCCCCCTCCCTAAGGCCCCCGCTCCCTAAGGCCCCCGCTCCCTAAGGCCCCCGCTCCCTAAGGCCCCCCCTCCCTAAGGCCCCTCCTCCCTAAGGCCCCCTTCCCTAAGGCCCCCGCTCCCTAAGGCCCCGCTCCCTAAGGCCCCCCTCCCTAAGGCCCCCGCTCCCTAAGGCCCCCCCTCCCTAAGGCCCCCGCTCCCTAAGGCCCCCCCCTCCCTAAGGCCCCCGCTCCCTAAGGCCCCCGCTCCCTAAGGCCCCGCTCCCTAAGGCCCCCCTCCCTAAGGCCCCCGCTCCCTAAGGCCCCCGCTCCCTAAGGCCCCCGCTCCCTAAGGCTCCCCTCCCTAAGGCCCCCTTCCCTAAGGCCCCCGCTCCCTAAGGCCCCGCTCCCTAAGGCCCCCCTCCCTAAGGCCCCCGCTCCCTAAGGCCCCCCCTTCCCTAAGGCCCCGCTCCCTAAGGCCCCCGCTCCCTAAGGCCCCCGCTCCCTAAGGCCCCCCCTCCCTAAGGCCCCCCCTCCCTAAGGCCCCCCCTCCCTAAGGCCCCCCTCCCTAAGGTCCCCCCTTCCTAAGGCCCCCGCTCCCTAAAGCCACCTGCTCCCTAAGGCCCCCGCTCCCTAAGGCCCCCGCTCCCTAAGGCCCCCCCTCCCTAAGGCCACCTGCTCCCTAAGGCCACCTGCTCCCTAAGGCCCCCGCTCCCTAAGGCCACCTGCTCCCTAAGGCCACCTGCTCCCTAAGGCCACAGAGCACAGCCCGGCACTCCCGTGGGACTCGCTCTCATTTAAAACAGAGAAAGGCCATGAGGGAAAGAAAATAGAAACACTAAATGTTCATGCATTTTCTTAGTTTTTCCTGCTACCTCCTTACTTTATTTTTATTTCTTTTTTAATTGTCAAAGTAAATATTCTCGCTGTAAAACATTTTAAATATAAAAGGGTAAAGTTCACCCTCCACACCCCTTGGGCCACTTCAGCCCATCTCTGGTTGTCACTGAATAATTTGGTGCAGGCATTTTCCCTGCAAATAGTTCACAAGAGAAACCCAGTGGCAGTAAAAGGTAATTTAAAGTCACGGGGAGGCATCTGCTCGCGTCATTCACTCCGGCATTAGACTGAAAGGAAACAGTAAGCAGCACAGAGATTCTGAGGGAGAAAGCGAGGGGCCCGTGTCCTGGCGACTCGGCAGCTGACAGTCATCACACTGTCCTCAGGCAGGACGTGCCTGCTGTGAGCTGTCCCTCAGCCACAGAGACAGAAACGAGACGTGGGAGACGGACACGCACGCCTCAGACTGCTGTCCGCGCGACCTGAGCGTGTCGCATCGTCAGTCCTTTCTGTTGGGTCCCTGGTGATTCTAGGCGTGAACGTATTCCATTAGCTGGTTGGTGAATCCTTCCACCCGAGTGTGAGGGGGATGGGCCGCTTTCTCTGGCAGCTGGGGAGAATGTGGCCGAGCACTGCAGTCTCGGGCGGGCTGTCTCAGGGGCCCGCGTGGCTCCCGGGCCCCTCTCCCTCAGGGTGGTGCCTGGCTCCTCTCACCCACACGTCCTCCTGCTGATAGTCGGGAGGGACCTCGTGAACCACAGGCTGCCCCCAGCTCCTGCTCCTGAAATGGCCAACAGGACACCGCTCCCCACACGACCCGCCCTGCAGAGCGCGGGGCCTGTCTGCTGTGGGCCTGTCCCGCCAGCAGGGAGCTCGGCACAGCCTGTGGGCAGACGGGCTCGTGTGTGTCCTGCGCAGCAGCTTCCGGCGCTCCCGCCTCGGGGTCTGACTGGAGACCAGGCAGCCACAGGGAGCAGAGCGCCCGGTTCGCCTTGGAGTCTGAGCGCCAGGCAGAGCCGGCAGCGCCAGAGCATCTCTCCCACCGGCAAACGCCCCGTGGCTTTCACGAGCGTGTGTGTGTGGAGGCGGTTTTTAAAATTCCTTCCTGTGGGGTGGGGTCTGTTTGGTTTCTGATTTCGAGAAAGTCAGCCTTCTTAGCTGTGAGGGGGTTCGCAGAGCGCCGGCGCCCCGAGGCGAGCCGCCCAGCCCTGCCCTCTCTCCCGAAGGTGAGCATCTGCCTGGAGTGCAACAGCAGCAAGCTGCGCGGCCTGAAGCGCAAGTGGATCCGCTGCTCTGCCCAGGCCACCGTGCTGCACCTGAAGAAGTTCATCGCCAAGAAGCTCAACCTCTCGTCCTTCAACGAGGTAGCCCTTCCTCCTTCCGGCGTGACGCCTGAGCTTTGTGTTGGGTGGTTTTTTACCACTTTCTTTGGAGAGTTTAAATTAGAAAAAAAAATGTTTGTTTTGCCTGTGCCCAGAGTATCCCAGGAAGCAGTGAGGCGGGAAGGTCCAGAGACCGTGAATGGGGGAGGGGGGTGATGAGAGAGCTGGTTTAATTTCACCAACGGACAGACGGATGGATGGACGGGCGGTGGGTGGGATGACTTGGTGGGGAGGCAGGTAGATAAAATACTGTCCAGTCGTGATAAATGCCGAGAATAAAACAAAGGCTGGTGACTCGTGGGGATCGGTGGTGGGCTGGGAGCACACAGCTGGGGAGTCACAGGCCCTTCTGCGGGGCAGCACTAATGCCAGGATGTACCTTGTCCGCAGGAGCCAGCTGTGCGTGCAGAGGTGCAAGGAAAGGGCTTTGAGGGCCTTAAGCGCAGGATCCGTGATTTGAGCTATGGTTTTAAAATGGTCCCCAAGCTGTGAGAAAAATGGATTGTCGGGGTACAGAAATGGAAGCCAGGGAGGCCAGCTGGGGGGTCTCACAGGACGGTCAGGAGAGAGGGACCGGGTGGTGAGAAGTGACGGACTGGAGGTACGTTGTAGAGAGAGCAGTGGGGTGGCCCTGACCCAGCTGTGGCCACAGCCTAACCCCGAACCTGTGAATGGAACCTTTTTGGGGAAAAGGTCTTTTCGGATGTAAGTAAGGGTCTTGAGATGAAGTAGCCCTGGGTTATCTGATGGACCCTCACGCCAATTACACGTGTCCTCACAAGGTGAGGCAGGCGAAACCTGAGCCACAGAAGGTGGTGTGAGGACAGAGCAGGGAGGCGGACACAAGCCAGGACACCAGGGCCCCAGGAGCTGGACAGGCAGGAAGGACCCCCACCCCCTCCCGCACCCCGAGCCTGGGAGGAACTCTGCCTGCCCGCACGTCTGAGAGAGTGACCTTCAGCTGTGTAAGCCGCCAGTTGCCATAGAAAATGAAACGAGATTTTGGGACCAGAAGTGGGGTGATGCTGAACAAATCCCCAAAAATGTGGGTGTGGCTTTGGAGTTGGGTGAAAGAGACGAGAAGACGGTTGAGAAACAACTTTAGAAGCCTTGAAGGTCACCTTGAAGAGACTTGTAGGTGTGCGGCCCTTATAGGTGATTCTGATGACGGCCCAGGGAGAAGCGAGGCGGCTTCTTAGAGGTAGATGTCGCCAGAAACGGGTGTGGAAGAACTTCTGGTGCTGCCTCAGAAGGGAACGAGGAGTGTGGTGTGGAAACGGAGGATGCGGCTGGCTGTGTCCTACAGTGCGTGGGAAGCAGATTTTGGAAGTGACGAACTTGGATAGTTAGCTGAGATGTCCAAGCAAAGTACTGAACGCGTGGCCTGGTTTCTCTACGTACAATAAAGCATGCAGTCGAGACGGGTTCAGAAAGGAACGGCTAAGCAAAAGCAAGCCAGCACCTGATGCTCTTGGACGTCCATGGCCTGTCCAGACACAAGAAGATGGGTCTATCAGGAACGCAATGTTAGGACGGCATGCCCCGGGGGAGGCCAGGTGTGGCTGCACAGCCTTCCGCTGCAGAGAGGAGCCTCAGAAGGGGAGGGGGGGGGGAAGGGGAGTAGAGAGGAGCTATTCCGAGATACCTCTGGGTCCGTGACATCCATGGGAGACCCACAGGGTTGATGAGAGTGTTGTGTCAGCAGAAACACCACCAGCTTGGACAGGAAGAGAGGAGAGGCCATCACTTCCGAGCTCTTCGTGTAGCATCTAAGCGGGTAGAGCTCCTCGGTACCAGCGTGAGCTGCCCTTCAGGGAAAGGGGGAATGGCTCCAGGCAGACCTTTGGGCAGAGGGCAGACCCTCACCCCCAACGGTGACTCCTCTGCAGCCTCTGGCGTTGCCCCTGCTGGACTTCAAACTTGCTGAGACCAGACACCCCGTGTGCTTCCTCGTCCACCTCCCTGTGCCTGTTCACCCTGTGTCCCAGGCCCGTGGCCGAGAGGGCATTGCCCAGGTGGACCCTCCCCGGAGCTCACCACGCCTGGTCAGTGAGTCACGAAACAGGGCTGGGATGTTAAGCTGCTGGGATCTGGATGTGATTTTGGAGTTGATGCTGGAATCGCTTGAAACTCTTGGGGATGTGAGATGGAGTGGATGGGTGTGGGTGTGGGGACCAAAGTGTGACAGCGGGAAGCAGTGCTGGGGGAGTGTGACAGGGGGAAGCAGTGGGGGGGGAGTGTGACAGGGGGAAGCAGTGGGGGGGAGTGTTACAGAGGGAAGCAGTGGGGGGGAGTGTTACAGGGGGAAACAGTGGGGGGGAGTGTTACAGGGGGAAGCAGTGGGGGGGAGTGTTACAGGGGGAAGCAGTGGGGGGGAGTGTTACAGAGGGAAGCAGTGGTGGGGAGTGTGACAGGGGGAAACAGTGGGGGGGAGTGTGACAGGGGGAAGCAGTGGGGGGGAGTGTGACAGCGGGAAACAGTGGGGGGGAGTGTTACAGGGGGAAACAGTGGAGGGAGTGTGACAGGGGGAAGCAGTGGGGGGGAGTGTTACAGGGGAAGCAGTGGGCGGGAGTGTTACAGGGGAAGCAGTGGGCGGGAGTGTTACAGGGGAAGCAGTGGGGGGGAGTGTTACAGGGGAAGCAGTGGGGGGGAGTGTTACAGGGGGAAGCAGTGGGGGGGAGTGTTACAGGGGGAAGCAGTGGGGGGGAGTGTGACAGGGGAAGCAGTGGGGGGAGTGTGACAGGGGGAAGCAGTGGGGGGGAGTGTTACAGGGGGAAGCAGTGGGGGGGAGTGTTACAGGGGGAAACAGTGGGGGGGAGTGTTACAGGGGGAAGCAGTGGGGGGAGTGTTACAGGGGAAGCAGTTGTGGGGAGTGTTACAGGGGAAACAGTGGGGGGAGTGTTACAGGGGGAAGCAGTGGGGGGAGTGTGACAGGGGGAAGCAGTGGGGGGGAGTGTTACAGGGGAAGCAGTGGGGGGAGTGTGACAGGGGAAGCAGTGGGGGGGAGTGTTACAGGGGAAGCAGTGGGGGGGAGTGTTACAGGGGAAGCAGTGGGGGGAGTGTGACAGGGGGAAGCAGTGGGGGGAGTGTTACAGGGGGAAGCAGTGCCCGGGGAGTGTGACAGAGGGAAGCAGTGGGGGGGAGTGTTACAGGGGGAAGCAGTGGGGCGGAGTGTTACAGGGGAAGCAGTGGGGGGGAGTGTGACAGTAGGAAGCAGTGGGGGGGAGTGTGACAGGGGAAGCAGTGGGCGGAGTGTTACAGGGGGAAGCAGTGGGGGGGAGTGTTACAGGGGGAAGCAGTGCCGGTTGAGTGTGACAGAGGGAAGCATTGGGGGGGAGTGTGACAGGGGGAAGCATTGGGGGGGAGTGTGACAGGGGGAAGCAGTGGGGGGGAGTGTGACAGAGGGAAGCAGTGGGGGGAGTGTTACAGGGGGAAGCAGTGGGGGGGAGTGTTACAGGGGGAAGCAGTGCCGGTTGAGTGTGACAGAGGGAAGCATTGGGGGGGAGTGTGACAGGGGGAAGCAGTGGGGGGGAGTGTGACAGGGGGAAGCAGTGGGGGGGAGTGTGACAGGGGGAAGCAGTGGGGGGGAGTGTGACAGGGGGAAGCAGTGGGGGGGAGTGTGACAGAGGGAAGCAGTGGGGGGAGTGTGACAGGGGGAAGCAGTGGGGGGGAGTGTGACAGAGGGAAGCATGCCTGGGGGTGACTTTGGGAAACAATTAAATTTAACGCAAGAAAGATCTCAATCGACAGCCCACATTTCGAACTGAAGGACCTGGAAAAACAAGCTAAACCCACAGGCAGAGAAGGAATGAAGCAATAGAGGGTATTGCCGGTAAGCAAGTTGAGAGTAAAAAATAGCTGAGAAAAACAGTGGTCCCTCAGAAAGTCTAGCCAGAACGGACTAGGAATAAAAATGACTAACAGTGGGAATGAAAGGGGGACATCTCTTCCGATTCCCGAGCAGTAGGAAGGCTTCTCAGAGAACACCGTGAACAGCCGTGCCCAGCCAGTGGCTACCCTCGCTGAAAGGGACGAGAACCTGGAGACACAGAACTTACCAAGACTAAACCCAAACAACGAGGAAATCTGAACGGGGCGATAACCAGGAAGGAATTGGATCGTTCGTCACAGATCCTCCCACAAGGGAACCCTGGCCCTGATCCCTGGCCTTCCTCAGCCCCGGGCCTTCGGGGCGGGAGGTGTGTCTGCAGTAAACAGGGCCGGCTGAATGTGTGGGTCGGTCCCCTCCTTGGGCGCACGAGACTGCTCTGCAGAGCGTGCATGCCTGCCCCCCCACCCCTCCAGAAGCAGCTGGGCCCTGAGAACGGTAACCTGCGCTTCCGCCATCGCCTGTGGGCGGAGAAGCCGAGCCCGATGCAGGGGTCCTGGCTTCGCCGCGTGGTCAGAGGGTCGGTGGAAATCTCGCCTATTGAATCCTAACGACACCCTCACTCGGCGACCTCCCCGAGGCGGAGGTGGTGCCGTGGGAGGTGGAATTGTCACCCACGACGTGAGGAGCACCTGCTGGCGATGGGCTCTGGGTCACCGGGCAGGTCCCGGTTCCCGCCAGGAGCTCTCGCTAACAGTCCAGCCGGAGCAGAGGCACAGCCGACCAGGACTCGGTCACCTCTCCACCACGAGCCCAGGAGCGTGTGCGTTCCATTCGCCAGCCTCCCGTTCCATGAGGCTATTGGACGTGTCCCGGCGTGTGGACGGCTGGGCCTCGAGCACGGCCCTTCCGTGGGCCGTGGTCAGTGCAGTGTCGGGGGAGCCTGGGCTCTCTGCGCCTTTTCTCCATGGTCCTCCCCCTCTGGCCGGCGCCCGGGGTGACTGCGGCTGGCTCCACGCAGCACGCCCAGCAGAGCGCACAGGTGATGGCCCTGAGCTCTCGGGAGTCGGGTGAGAACATCCTGGGACCCGAGTAACAGCAGAAGGTACATTTTCTTCCAAGTCCTCACCTCAGGATGTGTTTTTATTGATTTAAGAGTGAGAGAGAGACATGGATGTGAGAGAAGCATCGGCTGCCTCCTGCACGCCCCGCACTGGAGATCGAGCCTGCACCCCAGGCATGTGCCCTGACCGGGAAGGAGCCATGGCTTCTCAGTGCACAGGACAACGCCAACCGCCGAGCCTCCGGCCAGGCTCACAGTCCCTTTTCATTTTTTTCCACTGGAAGTGAGGGGGCCACGCTGCTCCCAGCTTTCCCAGCCCCCCTCCCCCGTGGCCGGTCGCCTTCGGTGTGAGGGTGGGCGGTTGCAGTGCAGCCCAGGGAGAGTGTGGAACTCAGCCTCAGGGCTGACGTAGCCGCTGCGAGAGCACTGCCCACCGGCCGGACGCACTGCCTTCTCTCTCGAACCGTCCTGAGCCAAGAGGAGCCTGCGTGCGCACGGTTGCCAGGTGCAGGCGCTGACCCGTCGTGTTAAGCAGCTGTTCTGACAGCTACTGTGAATCCTAGGATCCCCCCCTTTTGGGAGGAACCCGCGTGATCTGTGCCTGGAGTCTCAGCCTGGCCGAAGGGTGGGAGCGAGTGGGAGAGGAGGGTGGCAGCTCTCTACGGGCCTGACCCCAGGGGCTCAGCCAGGAGCCTATGGATCCTGGAACCCACCTGCTGAACTGCCTGCAGTGAGCTTGTCCGCGGGTGACGGTTTGTCTGCGGGTGACTGTCTGTCCGCGGGTGACGGCCTGTCCGCGGGTGACGGCCTGTCCGCGGGTGACGGCCTGTCCGCGGGTGACGGTTTGTCCGCGGGTGACGGCCTATCCGCGGGTGACGGCCTGTCCGCGGGTGACGGCCTGTCCGCGGGTGACGGTCTGTCCGCGGGTGACGGCCTGTCCGCGGGTGACGGTCTGTCCGCGGGTGACGGCCTGTCCGCGGGTGACGGTTTGTCCGCGGGTGACGGCCTGTCCGCGGGTGACGGTCTGTCCGCGGGTGACGGCCTGTCCCCGGGTGACGGTTTGTCCGCGGGTGACGGCCTGTCCGCGGGTGACGGCCTGTCCGCGGGTGACGGTCTGTCCGCGGGTGACGGCCTGTCTGCGGGTGACTGTCTGTCCGCGGGTGACTGCCTTCTCAGGCTCAGGAACTCAGACTCTTGCCTAAGGAGACGTCTACGACCGTCTGCCAGACATCATATCTCGCCAGGGACATGAGGCTGAAACAGCAGTGAGGCTCAGAGCACACGTGTCGGAACGGCCTGCATCCAGGGCTCAGACCCCTCGTGCTGGGGACGAACGGTGCCGTGCAGCTTGGTCATTTCTCACAAAACCAAACGGATGCGCACCACAGAGCCCAGCAGTCAGGCTCCATAGCAAACATTCAGGGGAGTTAAAAACCCACGTCCACAGAGACCTGCGCATGGATGTTTACAGCAGCTTTACTCTAATCGCCCCAAACTGGAGGCAGCCACGGCGCCCTCACCAGGTGGGGGATAAACACACCGTGTCCATCCAGACCCCGGACACCCTTCTGCCCGAAAAGGAAATGAGCGATCGAGCCAGGGAAGCTCGGAGGAACCGTCAGTGCTGTGCCTCCGTGCAGAGGCCAGTGCGAAAGGCTGCCCACTGTGACCCCACCCCATGGCGTCCTGGTCACCAGGGGGCGGCTGAGCAGACGGAGCGAGGGTTCCAGGTTCTCTGTGAGACTGTGTGGCGGGCACTTTGTGCAAACCCACAGGGCGTCAGCACAGGGCGACCCTCGTGGACTCTGGGTGGTGGTGACGGCGTCTCCCTTCCAAGGGTGCTGGGGGGGGGGCGGTCAACGGGGCACGTAGGAAATGTCTGGACCATCTGCTCAGTTTTGCTGTGAACCTAAAAGGCTCTAAAAATCTTTTTAAACAAAGAAAGTAACAACAGGGAGCCCATTACCTTTTCCCATGAGGTGGGAGGGACAAGCTTGGCCAGGAGGTGGACGAGGGCAGGGGAGGGTGCTCCCGGGGAGGGCCGCCAGGGCTGTCCGGGGGGGGTGGCCAAGCTTCACGCTTCCTCCCGCTGGCTGGGTCGGCGAGCCAGCCCCCCCGGTGCTGAGCGCCTGGCCCCGCTGACCCGGCGTCTTTCCCTCCAGCTGGACATCCTATGCAACGAGGAGATCCTGGGCAAGGACCACACGCTCAAGTTTGTGGTCGTCACGCGGTGGAGGTTCAAGGTGAGGCCTGATGTGTTTGATTTTTAGAATCTGCTATGACGTCAGCACTTCCTGTGCACATTCTTCATCCTCACCCGAGGAGCTGTTCACCGATGTCTTTGGAGAGAGAAACACGATCAGTTGCCTCCCGTATGCACCCGACGGGACTGACCCACAGCCTTTCAGTGCACGGATGACGCTCCGGCCCGGGAGCCGCGGCAGGGCGGCACCTCTTCATCTGAGAGTTTAGAGAGAAGGGTTCAGGCGCAGGAGCTGTGAAGCGCAGCCCAACTGCCTCCCATGCCCCTCCTGGCGGCATGGGGGGGCTGCCACTGCTGGGGCGCCCCCAGCCTTCCCTGGGCTCTTTGTGAAGGTGGGAGCAGGTGGGCGGCGCCCTGTCCTCTGGGGAGGGGCCCTCAGAGGTCTGAGACGGGGCCAGGAGCCCGCACCCTCCGCTCGCCCTCCCTCCCCTGGGCGCCCGCGCGCCGCTCTGGTCCAGCTGAGTGTGCGTGGCCCCGCGGCCTGTCTTACAGAAGGCGCCCCTCCTGCTGCACTACAGACCCAAGATGGACCTGCTGTGACGTGCAGACGGCCCGGGCACGGAGCACGGGCGCGGACCCGAGGCCCGGGACCAGACTTCTGCACAGAGAGTATTTATCCCTTTTGTATGAGAGTTCACACTCGGCAAGACACTACCAGCAGCTCGGTGACAGGTGGCCACACACTTCACAGGCTCACGCGGCCGCCGGCCCTCACCACCCTCGGCCTCACGGACCCGCGGCCTCCCCGGCCTCCCAGGTCTCCAAAATCTCGGTCGTTTCCGTTTAGTTTACGAGTTAGGGTTCGTGACAAAAACACGTGTGCTCACGGGGTCCTCACTAAGCTGTTGAAAACGCGCTTTCGTGGTGGACGATGACTATGTGGCCTGTAGCTCCCGGAAGATCGACAAGAATTCACTTTAAGAGCAAAACAAAAGAGGCTGCCACGCGGTGCGGTGCCCGTGGTGTGTGATGTCCCTGTCGTGACCCGAGGGGGCCCCTGTGCGTCCACCGGCACCGGGCTGGCCGCATGCACAGCCGTCTCGGTAAAGTCGCTTTGATCATTAAATGCCGCACCATCGTCAGAGCACGCTCCCTCCTGCTGCGAGGGAGCTGGTGGCCGCAGGGAGTCCCAGGCCCATCGTCCCGCTGCAGGGGTGCCGCCCCCTCTCTGCCGGTCCCGGTGGTTCTCACCGAGCACCAGGGCCGGCGAGGGGACAGCACCCCAAACCCAGCCCCAGGGACACTCGCTTTCTCACCCAAACGTTCATATTTTTGTGGAATTAGAGAAAAAACATTCGACAGCACACAAATGTGTTCCTTTAAGATAGTCCCTTGGAAGGCGTGAAGGCGAGCTCGGGGAGAAAGGCCCGTTCCTGTGGTCACTCCTGCGTCCCCCGGCCCCTCCCACCCCTGAGGCCTGTGGTCCCGCCCTACGCCCACCCTGCCTCTGTGCTGGGTTTCCCATGAAGTCCTCACTTTAGAGACAGAACTTTCTCAGATTGGCTCCAGACCTGTGGGCTCGTGGGCTGCTTCCTGTTGCACGTACACAAGGGTCAGAGGCAGCTACTGATGAGCCATCAGCGTAGAGAAAAACCTTCAAATTAATTCAGTCCAAGCAATTTTAATGTAAGGCCTTTAAAACCACCCAAACGCGTTAGGGATTGGTCGAATCGCTCTGTTTCAGCCGTGACCCCGTCCTGTTCATCCCCACGGTTCTCCGTTGCTCTCCGAGGCCTGGCGAGTGGATGTGTGTGAGCAACTATGACCTGTCTACCTCAAAACGCACATTGCCGCTGGCGCATCTGTCGGACCCCGGACCCCAGTGCGGTCTCCGGGCCTAGGGGGTGGGGGTTCCCGTGGGGTGAAGAGGGGTGAACAGCGTGAGCGTCACCTTCGAAAACATGGTTCCCGCTCAGACCGGGCCGATGGTGCCTGCAGCCGCCCGGCGCGCATCGTGACTGTAGCTCTCGGTGCGACCACTTGAATTTGCTATGGTGCTAAGCTGATACCTGAGATACGCCGGGAGGGGCGGGGCCGGCGGGTCCACGCCGCCGGCTCGGCCGCTCTTCTGGCCGCGGGACCTGGGGAGCCCCAGCAGCAGCAGAGCCTATTTTTCTACGATTTCCTCGTGAGACTGTTCACGCAGACGGCGGACCTGCCTGGTTGGACCGCAGCCCGTGGACTCGGCTGGGGAGGCTGATGCACTTTCTCCTGCGTGAGAGGCGGGGCGGAGGGGCAGGCCGCGGGGTTTCCCAGGCGGAGTTCCCGAGCGGAGCGTCTCCCTCCCGTGGGCGCGGCTGGGACGGCCGCTCGGCGCCTGCACCCTCAGCAGCCGTGGGACTCACCGTGCGGTTTTCACGAAAACAGAAAATTCAGATAGAGTATATACCGTGGAATTTAAGATTTGGGGGGTTGGAAAAGAAAACTTAACTTTATAAGATTATTTATTCTATTTTAAGCGCTCTATCCTAGTTTCCCATCAGCCATCTGGTTCGCGCCGCTTTGTTTACAGGCATATACGGTGAAAGGGATGTTCTGCAAGCTTCTTCCTTCCTTTCGGGGCGTCGCCCTGTGTTTCCGTTTGTCGGGTGAGGAGCGTCGTTATGCGTTTATGCTTTTGTGCAATAGGCTCCACGCGTGCTGCCCGACGGCGACTGGACGGGAACGTACGTGGATTCCCAACCTGCACACGGAGCTACTTGGGTTTCCTTTTTCGTTTTTGTGGTGAGAATGCTGTTCTCTGGATGACGCACAGCCTGTCGGCAACATTACCAACAGGGGCCCGGCAGGCAGGCAGCCGCGTGCGTGGGGTCTCGCACCCGGACCCCGCGTGCTCAGGCCCTGGCACACCACCCCCACCCCCGGCGGCCCAGATGTGGGGTGCAGTCCCAGGCCCCGAGCCCTCGGGCGTCCGTTAGGCGTCCTTACCACCGGCTGGTGCCTCAGCACACGGCTGTGCCGCTGATTCGAAGTGTCGGGTTGAATGTTGTAGGAGCCAGCCGGCGGGTTTCTGTGATGTGTCACTGTTGGATGTGCCCTCAAAACCGGTAACCACGCCAGTGCAGACAACAGTCCGTTTCTCATTCCTCAGGAGCCCATGTGCACCCCCCACGTCACCTGTGCCCTTAGCCCAGAAAGTATGGGTCTGCCTCGGTTCGCAGCGCACGGGGGGGGGCACTGGGATGCGCAGATGAGAAAGGGCTCAGGCTGCACTTCCCGCGAGGCGCCTGCGGGCAGGGAGGGCCCCGCCCCCACATCAGGGGTCCCCACGGCTTGTTGGGTGTAAGAACCATGTGTTCCCAGTCGGCGCGGGTTCGGGCGGAGCCTGCCATCTGCAGCGACAAGGCTGCCATGGGTTATGGGATGGCAATGCGGATGCATATTTTTGTTTAATTTGAAAGTTTACATTTTTATGCTTTGTGTTGGTGTGTAACTTTTGTACTATTGGTGGCTAGTTTTGTCTAAAATCTTTTTTGGAATATTGCTTAAATGTTTTGATTTTATGACGGTGAAGCTTGTATTCAGTGTTTTGCCAATTAATATTATATGCTTGTAATAAAAGCAAAGGAAACAACGGTCTCTCTCAGGCTGGGAGCTTGTCATCGACAATATTTGTAAGAGCCTAAGGTTGCTGTGGGAAACCAGGCTGCACGCCCTGGTCTGGATCCCGGCTCCAGGCCTTCGCCCGAGGCTCCATGAGGCACCTAGGAGCAGAGTCCTGTAGAGGGGCCCCGGGGATGGTGCTGGTTTGGTGGGGGAAGTGGTGAGTGCTTGCTTGCGGGAGGCCAGCGGCAGGCAGGGGTGAGGACCAGACCCCACACGAGCCCAGACACACACACACATGGATCTGTGGATTTGGATTCCCTCGAGGAGTTTGTGCACAGTATGTGGAGGCCCAGAAGCCCGGGAGGGCGCAGGCCGCGCACCCAGGGGCCAGAAGACCGCCTCCAGCTCGGCCATCAGGTGGGCAGCGCCCCTCCCACTCAGCCTCTTGGCTCTGTCCGGGCCTGCGGGGGCTGAGTGGTGCCCACACATTGGGGAGGACTCAGGTGCCAAGGCTCAGCTCATCCAAAGCAGCCCCCACACCCAGAATAGTTTTAATCTGGGCCCCAGGGGCCCCTCATGTTCCCATGAAATTCCCATCCGACCATTTGGAGGGGAGAGGGCCTGTGCTCAAACACCTTAATTTTTTTTTAAACATCAATGTGAGAGAGACATACTGACTGCCTCCCATATGCACCCGACCCCAACCGAGGTCAGGGGATCCAGCCTCCAATGAGCCTGCAACTGAGGTACACGCCCTTGACTGGAATTGAACCAGGACCTTCAGTCTGCAGCTGAAGCTCCATCCACTGACCCAGCCCAGCCAGGGCAAAGAAAGCTTAATTTTTAAAATAGCTTTTCTATTACAGTTCATGTACAATATTATATTAGTTCCAAGTGTACAATCCAGTGATTAGATGTTTATATAACTTACGAAGTGATTTTCCCCAAAAAAGTCAGTGCCCAGCTGGCACCAACACAACATGAAGGGAAAGAACGAGGTCGGAGGATAGGTTGGCACTGCCCGCTCCCCGGCTGACGGTGCGGTGACAGAGCCGTGTGGCGTTGGTAGAAGAACCACACACCAAAGGGACAGAAGAGAGAGGCCAGAGAAAGACCCCCAGACTCACAGGGAGGAGAGACAGCCTTCCCCGCAAACGCCGCAGAACGGCTGCAAAGACACAGAGTAAACGGGCCTACGCCTTCCTCAGTGGTGAGCTCACAGACCTGCCCCGGCCGGTGCGGCTCAGGAGACAGAGTGTCGGCCGGCAGGCTGAAGGCTCCCCCTTCCGTTCCAGTCAAGGGCACAGGCCTGGGTTGTGGGCTTGATTCAGTGTGGGCGTTCCAGAGGCAGCGGATCCGTGATTCTCTCCCATCACTGATGTTTCTATCTCTCCCTCTCGCTGCTTCTCTGAAATCAATAAAAATATTTTTAAAATAATAAAAAAATGGATTACAGACCTAATGTAAAATACAAAATTATAAAATTCCTAAAAGTTAATGGGAAACTCTAAACGACCTTGGGCTTGGCAATGAGGTCTTTGGTAGGACACCACATGTATGAAAGAAAAAAGCAGTAAGTTGGGCTTCATTAAAAGTAAAAGGTTCTGCTCCGGGAAAGACAGTTAAGAGAATGAAAAGACAAGCCTCAGACGGGCAGAAAATATTTGCAAGTCACTGATCATATATAATAAAAGCCTAATATGCTAAGTGTCCGGTCATCCGTTCCACCAATCAAAGCGTAATATGCTAATGATATGCTAAGGCCGCTCAACCGCTCACTATGATGTGCACTGACCACCAGGGGGCAGACAACCGGTCGACCAGTCGCTATGACGTGCACTGACCATTAGGAGACAGACCCTCCAATGGGTAGGTTAGCTTGCTGCTGGGGTCTGGCCGATCGGGACTGAGCGAGACTGGCCGGACACGCCCTGGAGCCCTCCCGCAGTCCCTCCCTGGCTGGCCAACCTCCTGCATCCCTCCCTGGTTCCAATTGTACACCCCTCCCTCAGCCTGTGCCCTCTCGCAATCTTGGACCCCTCGGGGGATGTTGGAGAGCCGGTTTCGGCCCGATCCTGCAGGCCAGGCCGAGGGACCCCACTAGTATCTGATAAAAGACTGTCATCCAAAGTATACAAAGAACTCTTAAAACAAAAATAAGAAATCAACTCAATTAAATGTGTGCCAAAGACCTAACAAATACCTCGCCAGACACAGATGGCAAAGAGCCCATGAATGAATGCTCAGAATGATGTCAGAATCCTGACATTAGAATAATGAGACGCCTGTCGGAACGGCCAGGATCCAGGACACGACACCACAGTGCTGGCGGCAGGAGCGGCAGGGCCTCGCCCGTGCTGGTGGGTGTGACATGTGGCCACCTTGGCCACTTGGCTGTTTTATGACGAAACTAAACATACTCTTACCATGTGACCGAGCAGCCTTAGTATTTATCCAAATCACTTCTGTCCACACGGACTTTTCACAGATGTTCAGAACAGCATTATTCAGTCTCAAAAAACTTGGAAACGACCAAGCTGTGCCCTGCAGGTGAGTGGACTAGGTCACATCCAGACAGAAAGAAAAGACGGGCTCTCAGGCCGCGCAAACATGTGGAGGAACCTTAACCACATGTCACTGAGTGACAGGCCAAGGCGGGAGCCGCACAGGCGTGACTCCCGCTGCGACACGTCCCTCAAAGCCATGCCTCGGGCGGCGGGAGGGTCTGGAAGGAGGGACGGGCTGGTGGAGCTGATCTGTGTGACGCGATGTCCTGGACCCATATCACCCCTTTGTCCAACCCACGGAATGTACCGGAACAAGAATGAGCTCTTCACGATGGACTGTAGTTAGTAGCACCGTATCCTTGGCGCCACTAGTGCAACGTGTTCATCAGAGGGGAGACTGAAGGAAATGCTGGGTACGTTCCATCCGTTTTTCTGTGACCCTAAAACTGCTCAATATAAAGTTTATTGATTTTTTCACAAAGACAACAACCCAGCTGTTTAAAATGACAGAAGATTCCAACAAGACGTCTGGGAGGAAGATGGGCAGTGGCCACAAACACTGGAAAAAGTGTCAGGGAAACCCACAGGAGCCAAGAGGAGCTCCCATGTCGACCCCCCAGGACTGAAACGTTAAGACTTTATGGACTGGTCTTGGCCGGTGTTGCTCAGTGGATAGCGCGTCGGCCTGCGGATTCTGGTCAAGGGCACGCACCTGGGTTGCAGGCTCCTCCCCGCCCAGGCCCTGGTGCAGGAGGCAGCCCATGGATGTGTCCGTCTGTCTGTCCCTCTCTCCCACTCTCCCTGAAAGTCAATGGGAAAGAACAGTAACCCGTGTCTTTCCGAGGAATAACGGGCACGGCAGCCGGGGACGCAGTGGCAGCAACTGCACAGCCCCCTCTTCTCGCCCACCAGCGCCGGCCGGGGCTCCCCCCACGGCCCGGGGCTCCCCCAACGGCCCGGGGCTTCCCCACGGCCCGGGGGTTCCTGGAGGCCGCCCCGCCTCCGTGGGCTCCCTCGGGCGCCAGAAATGGCTCTATTCTGTTGAACGCAAACAGCCTTCGGGGCTGGGAGAATCGCCCCGGGCGCCGGGGACCCAGGCCGGAGCGGGGCCGCCCTGGAGGAGGCAGGACTCCGCGCCGGCCGCGCCCACCCGGCCTCGGCTCTGGGGCCACGTGCGTCCCCTCCCCGGGCTGTCCTCGGGCTCGGGCCAAGGGCGGCCCCTCTGCGTCCGGCCCGGGAGCCCCCTCCCGGCTCCCAGGCTCCGACCCGCCACCAGCCTCCGGGCCCGCGGCTCCGGGTTCCAATTGGCCAGGCTTTTGCCACGTGATCACGGTGGTCTATCTCACAGACGCTGATTGGCCCCGATAGGCGGGGGCGGGGCCTAGAGGGTGTGAGGCGGCGGGGACCCCCGCGCCCCCCCCCCCCCCCCCGTGCCCTCGGCTCTGACAGCGCCCCCCGCGCCCGGCTCCGAGGCCCTGGCCTGGGGTCCCGCTCTGAGCGCTTCCTCCCCGGAGCCGCGCGGACCGTCCCGGACCGACCTCGCCGAGGGGAGCCCTGCGACGGGGCGGACCCGGCTCCGGGCGGCAGGTGGCCGGACCGGGCTCACCGCGGGCCGCAGGGTCCGTCCGGCTGCGGGTGAGCAGATGGACACGCGGCGCGGCATCGCCAACCCGCACTCCGTTCCGGCCGCCGTGGGGACCCGCGGGCTCCCGGGCCGGGGAGAGGCCATCAGGGCCGCTGCCCAGGGAAGGGCGTGCCCAGCGCCACCACGGGCTCGGCTTTGTCCAGCGGTGAGACGTCCGGGAAAGAAAGAAGCTGCCAACGGGCCGCGTGGCCGGAGGCCGGGCCCGAAACGCTGTCTCCCACGGCGCCCTCTGCGGACACCGCCGTCCGGGACCCGGGCCGCCCGCTGCCCTCACCCTGCGCCGCCGAAGACGCGTCCCGGCCTTGTCCGTCTGTGTTTTTCTGCCGCCGGAACCGCCAGCTCCCGGGAGGGGCCGCTGTCCGCAGCGCCTGGAACTGCCTGGGCACGCGCTGGGCTCGGGAGGCACGAGGCCCGGCTCTCCCCGGAGCCCTCGGACCCGGCACCGGAGGGCCCGGCCGCCAGCTCTGAGGACGGGCTGGCGGGCTTGAGGGAAGGTCACAGGGTCCATCCAGGCCGGGGGGCGCTGCAGGGGGGTGCCCTTCTAAGAGCGGCTGCAGGGGCGGCCTGCAGGGGGGTGCCCTTCTAAGAGCGGCTGCAGGGGCGGCCTGCAGGGGGGTGCCCTTCTAAGAGCGGCTGCAGGGGCGGCCTGCAGGGGGGTGCCCTTCTAAGAGCGGCTGCAGGGGGCGGCCTGCCGGGCCCAACCTACCGAGCGGCTGCAGACGGAGCTTTGGATCCAGAGAAAGAGGCGAACAGCTGCTCCCTCCTCCGGTGGACGGTGCACTGGCCGGCTCAGCGCGACTCGGACTGGGAGCCCCCGACCCCCGGCAGCAGGAGGGGGATGGGAGACCCACACACACGCACGCACACGCACACGCACACACACCCCTTCCGCCCCGTGCTGGCCGAGAGCTGGGTTCCTCCCAGGCGCTTGAGGCGGAGGGAGGGGCCGTGCTGGCTCCCTGCAGGGAGGAGGGGGGCCTTCCTGCCTCGGAGATGATGGCTTTGGGGGGCGGGGGGCTCACTGTGCGGGCCCAGCAGCAGAATGAGGAAAACCGTAGGTGCCCCAGCTGGCCGCCTCCCTGGAGAGAGGCCCCAGGAGTGGAAGTCACACCGGCCCTTCTGGGACTCAGTACCTGCGGCACATTTCGGGGCGGCTTTGGGCCCGGGAGGGACATGGGTGGGTCCACAGAGGGACAGACAGCAGGGCTGTCCTCAGGGCTGGGTCGGGGGCTCAAGGTCAAGTAGGTCCCGGCAAACGGCCTCAGCCCAGAGGAGCAGCCTCCCCTGCGGGTGGGACCCCGAACTGCAGGGGGCACGGAGGCCCCGAGCTCACAGGAAAGGGGCACAGGGCACGGAGGCCCCCCAAACTCACAGGAAAGGGGCACAGGGCTCGGAGGCCCCGAGCTCACGGGAAAGGGGTGCAGGGCACGGAGCCCACCCCGGAACTCACAGGAGAGGGGCACAGGGCACGGAGGCACCTCCAGCTCACAGGAGAGGGGCGCAGGGCAGACGCTGGGCAGGACCCTTGGGTGGCGGGTGCAGGGCCCTGGGTGGGGTCAGCGCACTGGGGCCGGATCTTGCAGGTGGTGTGAGTAAGGGGGTGGCTGCAGGGGCCAGTCTGTGTGTTAGATGGTTGGTCACTCTGGCTGGTCCCCAGTAAGGTGAGTTCTTCCGCAGGCGGGTCAGGGTGGTGGGGAGACCTGCCGGGCCCCAGCGAGGGGTGCGGATCCCTGTGGGGTCGTGGGCCCCGCCCCCAGGAGGATTCAGGACTCTGGAGAGAATGTCCACGCGGCGTGAAATCACTGTGTTGTTTATTGGCTGTGATTCCATCGAGAGGACACACGCGGCGCCCGGACATGCAGGAGGAGGCGCGGCGCAAGGACAGACAGACGGACGACATCCAAGGTCTAGCTAAGCTGGCTGCTCCGGGCGCCCCATGCGCGGGAACGGGGTGCGGGTAGTCTGCTCAGAGCTGGCTTAAGTTGGACACGAGAGCCGGGAGGGGCGGGCAGGGCGCGGTGCGCTGGGGGCGGCGCGCGGTGGTATTGCAGACTGTGTATGGCTTCTCTAACAGCGGGAGGCCGCGCCCTGGCCGCAGCACGTGGACACGATGGACGGACGTGGACACAAAGGGCTGGGCCGGGCTTTCTGTCCAGATTCACCCCCAGACACATTCGACCTCATTACCTGAGATTCAACACATCGCGGTGCCGATTAAACAAGGTGGGGACGGGCTGGGGAGGCGGGCGAGGCCTGGGCGGGTCAGAGTGTCTGTCCCGCCGCCCGCTGAGCGCAAGGACGCCCGGCACCGCCCCTGGAGGGGCCGGCCTGTGGAAGGGATGGACGAGGCAGGTACCTTCCGCAGCACCTCGGAGGAGAGAGGTGGCCACCGGGGAGCTGTCAGGGGGTGTTGGGGGCCTCTGTGCGCACTCTGGGCGGGGTGTCCCCTCTGATCGTATTGCTGTGTTTCCCTTAGTCTGGGCCGTGGCGTGCGTTAGCAGCAGAGCCTTCCAGGGCAGAGGCCAAGGAAGAGGGAAGGACAGACGGACGGACAACGAACGAACCTGATGCGTTCAGACGAGAGACGTGGGCAGCCGGCGGGCAGGTGTCAGTGCCGGGGAGGGTCTGGGGTCCCGGCTGACCGACAGCGAGGGGCTGCCCCCCGCCCTAAGGGTGGGCCAGGCACCAGCTGCGCCCCCCGCCCCCCAGCACGGCCGCCCACCCCCCTATGGCTGTGCTCCTGAGTTTGGGCCGGACGAGAGCGCGCACGGACAGGGACCGGGACCGCGCGCCCAGGGTGGTGGGGGCCGGCCCTTTCTGGTCGCCTCAGGCGCTGCGGGGTGGGCGGTGCAGGGCGGGGAAGGTAGGGGTTCCGGGTCGGGGAGGGTCCAACCCACCCGCGGCCGGAGGAGCTGGGTGCGCTGTCCCGGCCTCCAGCGCGGGCCGCTGGGGCTGGGTCGGCGCCTCACGCGGCGGCGCTGGCGGCACGGGGCGGGAGGGGCGGAGGCTCCCGAGGCGCGGGGGCGGGGACCTGGGACTATGGCTTATGTGGGCGCTGGGGCTGCATCTGCTCCCGACTCCCTGCGGGGCCTCGGAAGAGGGGCGGGGCGGGGGGGGGGCGGCCGCGGGCGTTACTTCTTGAACATGTCTTGCAGCGGCCCGGGCAGGTACTTGATGACCGTGTCCAGGATGCTCTCGTCCTCCTCCTCGGGCTCGTCCCCGCAGCCCGGCGGGATGGCCTTCTTGGGCCGCGTCAGGCTGCCCTCCGCGTTGGCCTCCATGGCGGCCTGGGCCTCCGCCTCGCGCTCCTCCTTCTTCTTGATGCCGTACTGTGGGGACAGGCGTCAGGGGTCCGCCAGGCCTCCCCCGACCCAGGTCTCCCCGGGTGGTGGCTGAATGGTGTTCCTGCCAAAACCCATGTCCCGGGACCTGACTGGGACCGGACTGGGGAACGGGGCCTTTGCAGGTGCAGCTGAGGCGAAGCCAGAAACCCGGCAGCCCTGGTCCCAGTCCAGAGGCTCCTGATGAGACGAGGAAGGCACAGAGGAGAAGGCCATGAAGGCGGAGAGGCTGGGCGAGATGCTGCCACAGGCCCAGGACACCCAGGGCTGCCGCGGGCGGGGAAGGTCTCCCCCAGGAGTTCAAGGGAGCACAGCTGCCTGCAGGCTCCAGGACGAGAATGGGTTCTAGGAGAGGAAGGCACCCCGGCTGGACCCATCGCCCACCCCCCCACCCTCCCACTCCCCTCCCCCACTGGAGCACTGGCCAGGGGAGGAGCCTGTGGGCCGGCCTTAGGGCTGGTGGGAGCCGGGCAGGGCCATGCTGGTCCTCCATGGACTAAGCTCAGGACCCACCGAGGCTGGGGGCGGGGTGCCCCTCGGTCAGAGGGATGATGGGGAGAGGGTGTGGGGGTCAGTGATTGACAGGCTGCAGGGCCTGCTGAGGGGGGTTTCTGCATGGGGTGGGAGGGGGGGGGCCCTTCCCGCTTATCTCTCTTCATTAGCTCCCCTCCAAAACCTGGCTCTCCAGCCCTTCCCTCTGCTTCAGGGGGGCTGACTGGGGGCCCCTCAGCTCCCTCTTTCTTCGGCGCATGGGGTGGCTTCAGGCAGGGGAGGCAGGGCCACCCTCTGCAGGGGGCCTAGGAGAGGAAGCCACGCTCTGGCTCTGGGCTCAGCGACCAGCACAGCCAGGGCGCCTGGGACTGGAGGGGGACGAGGGCTGCCTACACCTTGGCAGGGTTCCTGTGCGGCTCTGAGCCCCGACCCCAGAGACCTCTGGGAAGGGCAGTGGGCACCCGAGAATGTCTGGAGCAGCAGGCACATTGCCCGAGCGCCCTCCCCTCTGAGCACTGACGGGGGGTCAGCAGACGGCAGAGGGGACACTGGGCAGCCCAGGCTCTCCCGCAGGACGGGTGCAGCGAGCACAGGCCCTCTCCTGGGCCTTTGCTCTGGGACGACCTCCCCAGGGAGCAGGGAGCGAGGAGAGGAGAGGCAGCCCCAGGGCCTGGGGGCGGGGGGGGGGGGCGCCCCTGGGAGCCTGTGGAGCAGAGCGTGGGGGAGGGAGACGCTGCCAGAAACTAGGTCAGACAAGCGTTTCCCTCCAGCCCAGGGCAGGGAGCCGCAGCCTCCTCCCCCCACAGGACGCTGTGCACGTGGCGGGGACATGCGTGGGCCTCGGCCACCCAGGGGCCGTGCTGCCCAAAGCCCACACCCACACGGCAAAGGTGCACGTGCCCCGGGGAGCACGGGGTGCGCGCTGAGCACGTGACGGTGGGAACACACGTGTAACGCACAGATGTGCCCCGTGGAGCAGAGGCCCCCGGACCAGGGACTGGGGAGGGAGCCTGTCTGCCAGCACCTTGGGGTCAACCCCCCTGGGTCCGAAGGACACCCAGGCCCCAGCCCATTTGCCCCAGAGGCTCAAAGGCTTTCTGAGTCCAAGGCCACTCACCCTGGACTTGATCTGAGGGTCAAGGTTACCCGGGGGGGCGGGGGGAGGGGGGGAGCCCTGAGCCTGCTCTGCCTCAGGCCTGGCCCCATGTGGCCTGGCTGGGAGCCTGTCTGAGGCGTCCGTGCCTAGAGCCCAGGTGACCATCACAGCTGTTCACCGGACACGGACCACCCAGGCGCCCAGCCATCCTCGCTCACCCCTGAGAGCCCGCTGACCCCTGACGGCCAGAGCGCTGACCCACACCCGGGGGCTGGGAGGGAGCAGGGCGCCCTGGGCATCGCCATGCTCTACGGTGAGAATCCGGAACATGGACCAACAGCAGTCACGGGCAATCGCCCCCTGTCATGGGGCTGGGTCACTCACTGGGCGGTGCCAGGAACCTGGGGACACTGGGTGGGCAAGGAGGTGCCAGGCACTACGCCCACACTGGCCACCAGGGGGCGCCCGCCCCAGCAGGTCAAGGGGCAGCCTCCCACCTCCCGGGGCCTGGGCACCTCTGCTGAGGCTGGAGCGTGAGGCGGGCAGACCTGGGCCAGCCTCCAGGCCTGCGACGCCCTCCTGCTGCCTGTGATCCGGCCTTGGGGCTCCTCGCTCTCTCTCAGTCTCTCTGTCTCTATCTGTCTCTGTCTGACTCTGTCCTCTGATGACCCCCGTCTGGTCCCCATCTCCCCACCAGCCCCCGAGCCCCAGGCACAGCCTATGTGGGGTCTGGTTCCCCCAGAGCTCCTGGCCGTCTGGGGGCGGGGCTTGCGAGCTGCTCCCTGCAGGTCCCAGGGAGGACCTTCAGGTGTGTGGCCCCCCTGCCCCATTGATGGGGGCACAGAGGCTGCGGCTTCCCTGCCCACCTGCCCCCCCGCCCCCCCACGAGGCCTGGCTCCCGTGTCAGGCCCTTCACTGGGAACACTGATGGCGGGGCCGGGCCAGGCACCACGCAGATCCCCTCGGAGGCCTCACGGCCCCCCACCCAGCCCCCACCCCAGGGGCGCCTGCCCCCCCCCCCCCATGAGGACAGGGCGGCTCCTCATCAGGAGCAGGAGGGACAGAGGGCACGGCCGTCCCCAGCGAGTCTGTGTGGCCAGTGTGGTCACCTGGGGTGCAGTGACCTCCCTGTCCTACACCCCATGGGACCAGCTCCCATTGCTCCTGAGCCAGGAGTCCAAGGCTCCATCCCCTGGAGCTTAAAGAGGAGGGGGGCCCGGCCGGCCTGGCTCAGGGGTTGAGAATCCACCTACGGACCGGGAGGTCAGGGTTCAATTCCCAGTCAGGGCACAGGCCGGGGTTGCAGGCTCGATCCCCAGTGGGAGCCGACCCATGATTCTCTCTCATCATGGACGTTTCTTCCTCTCTCCTCTCTCTCTCTCTCTCTCCCTTCCTCTCCGAAATCAATAAAAATATATATTTTTTAAAAGAGGGGGTTGGGAAGAGGCCCCCCCAGCCCACAGGTCCCCCGGGCGGCATCCCTGGGTCCAGGGCCGGTCCCCAGCCCCCAAGTTGGGTCCTGCAGCCCCAGTGGTGAGGTCCCTGGGTGAGTTCAGGGCGCCTTCTCAGGGGGCAGGGCAGGGCTCCCCTGTCCCGGGACCCAGCTGTCCCCACCCGTCCCGCAGGCCCACCTGTCCCCCCCCCCCCGCCCGTCCTGGGACCCACCTGTCCCCACCCATCCCGAGGCCCACCTGTCCCCCCCCCATCCCGAGGCCCACCTGTCCCCCTCCCCCGTCCCGAGGCCCACCTGTACCCACCCCGTCCTGGGATCCACCTGTCCCCCTCCCCCCCGTCCCGCAGGCCCACCTGTCCCCACCCCCATCCCGAGGCCCACCTGTACCCCTCCCCCGTCCCGAGGCCCACCTGTACCCCCCTGTCCTGGGACCCACCTGTCCCCCTCCCCCCCGTCCCGCAGGCCCACCTGTCCCCACCCCCATCCCGAGGCCCACCTATCCCCACCCCCGTCCTGCAGGCCCACCTGTCCCCACCCCCCGTCCCGAGGCCCACCTTGTCCCGGATGCCCTGCCGCATGGCCTCGCGCTCGGCCTCCATCTTGGCGTACTTGGCCTTGCGCTCCTCCTCCTCCTGCCGCAGGGCCTCCTGGCGCTCCTCCTCCTTCTTGGCCGCATCAGGGTCCTTCTCCTCGTCGCCACCCAGCATCTTGCCCATGTCCTTGGTGGCCCCTGAACAGGAGAGCGGGTGAGTCGGGGCAGCCCCACCACCGGACAGTCCTGCCCAGACGGGGGGCGTCCGGCACTAACCTGGGTTCGATCCACAGGGGGAAGCACAGGTTTGTGGAGTGGGAGGCAGTGTGTGTGCATGGGCACACGTAGGCAGCAGAATGCATGTGTGTGGCTGTGTGCGGTTGTACTGTGTGTGTGAGTGTGTGTGTGCGTGCGGTTGTACTGTGTGTGCAGTTGTACTGTGTGTGTGTGTGTGTGTGTGGCTGTACTGTGTGTGTGAGTGTGTGTGTGTGGCTGTACTGTGTGTGTGTGCAGTTGTACTGTGTGTGTGTGTGTGTGTGGTTGTACTGTGTGTGTGTGTGTGTGGCTGTACTGTGTGTGTGTGTGTGGTTGTACTGTGTGTGTGTGCAGTTGTACTGTGTGTGTGTGTGTGTGGCTGTACTGTGTGTGTGTGCAGTTGTAGTGTGTGTGTGTGTGTGGCTGTACTGTGTGTGTGTGCAGTTGTAGTGTGTGTGTGTGTGGTTGTACTGTGTGTGTGTGCAGTTGTAGTGTGTGTGTGTGTGTGGTTGTACTGTGTGTGTGTGCAGTTGTAGTGTGTGTGTGTGTGGTTGTACTGTGTGTGTGTGCAGTTGTAGTGTGTGTGTGTGTGGTTGTACTGTGTGTGTGTGCAGTTGTAGTGTGTGTGTGTGTGGCTGTACTGTGTGTGTGTGCAGTTGTAGTGTGTGTGTGTGGCTGTACTGTGTGTGTGTGTGCGTGTGTGTGCGGCTGTACTGTGTGTGCAGTTGTACTGTGTGTGTGTGTGGCTGTACTGTGTGGCTGTACTGTGTGTGCAGTTGTACTGTGTGTGTGTGTGGCTGTACTGTGTGTGAGTGTGTGTGTGGTTGTACTGTGTGTGTGTGCAGTTGTAGTGTGTGTGTGTGTGGCTGTACTGTGTGTGTGTGTGTGGTTGTACTGTGCGTGTGTGCAGTTGTACTGTGTGTGTGTGCAGTTGTACTGTGTGTGTGTGTGTGGCTGTACTGTGTGTGTGTGCAGTTGTAGTGTGTGTGTGTGTGTGGCTGTACTGTGTGTGAGTGTGTGGCTGTACTGTGTGTGTGTGTGCACGTGCGGTTGTACTGTGTGAGTGTGTGTGTGTGGTTGTACTGTGTGTGCAGTTGTACTGTGTGTGTGGTTGTGTGTGTGGACCTGTGAGTGTGGTTGTATATGGGTGTGGTTGTGTGTGTGGTTTGTGTGTGTGGTTGTGTGTGTGGTTGTGTGTGTGTGGTTGTGTGTGTGTGGTTGTATCTGTGTGTGGTTGTATATGTGTGGTTGTGTGTGGTTGTGTGTGTGGTTGTGTGTGTGTTTGTGTGTGGTTGTGTGTGGTTGTGTGTGTGGTTGTATCTGTGTGTGTGGTGTGTGTGGTTGTATGTGTGGTTGTGTGTGTGTGGTTGTGTGTGGTTGTGTGTGTGGTTGTGTGTGGTTGTGTGTGGTTGTGTGTGTGTGGTTGTGTGTGTGTGGTTGTGTGTGGTTTGTGTGTGTGGTTGTGTGTGTGGTTGTGTGTGTGGTTGTGTATGTGTGGTTGTGTGTGTGGTTGTGTGTGTGTGGTTGTATATGTGTGGTTGTGTGTGTGGTTGTATATGTGTGGTTGTGTGTGTGGTTGTGTGTGTGGTTGTATCTGTGTGTGGTTGTGTGTGTGTGGTTGTGTGTGGGTTGTGTGTGTGGTTGTGTGTGTGGTTGTGGTTGTATCTGTGTGTGGTTGTGTGTGTGTGGTTGTGTGTGGTTTGTGTGTGTGGTTGTGTGTGTGGTTGTGTGTGTGGTTGTGTGTGTGGTTGTATCTGTGTGTGGTTGTGTGTGGTTTGTGTGTGTGGTTTGTGTGTGTGGTTGTGTGTGTGGTTGTGTGTGTGGTGTGTGTGTGGTTGTGTGTGTGTGGTGTGTGTGTGTGGTTGTATGTGTGTGGTTTGTGTGTGTGGTTGTGTGTGTGGTTGTGTGTGGTTGTGTGTGTGGTTGTATCTGTGTGTGGTTGTATCTGTGTGTGGTTTGTGTGTGTGGTTGTGTGTGTGGTGGTGTGTGTGGTTGTGTGGTGTGGTTGTGTGTGTGGTTGTGTGTGTGGTTGTATCTGTGTGTGGTTGTGTGTGTGTGGTTGTGTGTGGTTGTGTGTGTGGTTGTGTGTGTGTGTGTGTGTGTGGTTGTGTGTGTGTGTGGTTTGTGTGTGTGGTTGTGTGTGTGGTTGTGTGTGTGTGTGTGTTGTGTGTGTGTGGTTGTCTGTGTGTGTGGTTGTGTGTGTGGTTGTGTGTGTGGTTGTGTGTGTGGTTGTGTGTGTGGTTGTGTGTGTGTGGTTGTATGTGTGTGGTTGTGTGTGGTTGTATGTGTGTGGTTGTGTGTGTGTGGTTGTATATGTGTGGTTGTGTGTGTGGTTGTGTGTGTGGTTGTATCTGTGTGTGGTTGTATCTGTGTGTGGTTGTGTGTGTGGTTGTGTGTGTGTTGTGTGTGTGGTTGTGTGTGTGGTTGTGTGTGTGTGGTTGTATGTGTGTGGTTGTGTGTGTGTGGGTTGTGTGTGTGGTTGTGTGTGTGTGTGGTTGTATATGTGTGGTTGTGTGTGTGGTTGTATATGTGTGGTTGTGTGTGTGGTTGTGTGTGTGGTTGTATCTGTGTGTGGTTGTATCTGTGTGTGGTTGTGTGTGGTTTGTTTGTGTGGTTTTGTGTGTGGTTGTGTGTGTGGTTGTATATGTGTGCGGTTGTGTGTGTGCGGTTGTGTGTGTTGTGGTGTTGTGTGTGGTGTGTGTGTGGTTGTGTGTGTGGTTGTGTGTGTGTGGTTGTGTGTGTGTGGTTGTGTGTGTGGTTGTGTGTGTGGTTGTATCTGTGTGTGTGGTTGTATCTGTGTGTGGTTGTATCTGTGGTTGTGTGTGTGGTTGTGTGTGGTTGTGTGTGTGGTTGTGTGTGTGTGGTTGTGTGTGTGGTTGTGTGTGTGTGGTTGTGTGTGTGTGTGGTTGTGTGTGGTTTGTGTGTGTGGTTGTGTGTGTGGTTGTGTGTGTGGTTGTGTATGTGTGGTTGTGTGTGTGGTTGGTGTGTGTGGTTTGTATTGTGTGTGGTTGTGTGTGTGTGGTTGCTGTGTGGTTTGTGTGTGTGGTTGTGTGTGTGGTTGTGTGTGTGGTTGTATCTGTGTGTGGTTGTGTGTGTGGTTGTGTGTGTGGTTGTGTGTGGTTGTGTGTGTGGTTGTGTGTGTTGTGGTTGTGTGTGTGTTGGTGTGGTGTGGTTGTGTGTGTGGTGTGTGTGTGGTTGTGTATGTGTGTGTGGTTGTTGTGTGTGTGTTGTGGTTGTGTGTGTGGTTGTGTGGTTGTATGTGTGTGGTTGTATTGTGTGTGGTTTGTGTGTGTGGGTTGTGTGTGTGGTTGTGTGTGTGGTTGTGTGTGTGGTGGTTGTGTGTGGTTGTGTGTGTGTGGTTGTGTGTGTGTGGGTTGTATATGTGTGGTTGTGTGTGTGGTTGTGTGTGTGGTTGTGTGTGTGGTTGTGTGTTGTGTGTGTGTGGTTGTGTGTGTGGTTGTATGTGTGTGGTTGTGTGTGTGGTTGTGTGTGTGGTTGTATCTGTGTGTGGTTTGTGTGTGTGGTTGTGTGTGTGTGGTTGTGTGTGTGGTTGTGTGTGTGGTTGTGTGTGTGTGGTTGTGTGTGGTTGTGTGTGTGTTGGTTGTGTGTGTGTGGTTGTGTATGTGTGGTTGTATGTGTGGTTGTATGTGTGGTTGTGTGTGTGTGTGTGTGTGTGTGTGTGTGTTGTTGTGTGTGTGTGGTGTGTGTGTGTGGGTGTGTGTGTGGTTGTGTGTGTGGTTGTGTGTGTGTGTTGTGTGTTGTGTGTGGTGTGTGGTTTGTGTGTGGTTGTGTGTGTGGTTGTGTGTGTGGTTGTGTGTGTGTGTGGTTGTGTGTGTGTGTGTGGTTGTGTGTGTGTGGTGTGTGTGTGGTGTGTGTGTGTTGTGTTGTGTGTGTGTGGTTGTGTGTGTGGTTGTGTGTGTGGTGTGTGTGTGGTTGTGTGTGGTTGTGTGTGTGGTGTGTGTGTGTTGTGGTGTGGTTGTGTGTGTGGTTGGTGTGTGTGGTTGGTGTGGTGTGTGTTGTGTGTGTGGTTGTGTGTGTGGTTGTGTGGTTTGTGTGGTTGTGTGTGTGGTTGTGTGTTGTGTGTGTGTGGTTGTGTGTGTGTGTTGTATGTGTGTGTGTGTGTGTGGTTGTGTGGTGTGTGTTGTGTGTGTGGTTGTGTGTGTGGTTGTGTGTGTTGTGTGGTGGTTGTGTGTGTGGTTGTGTGGTTGTGTGTGTGGTTGTGTGTGTGGTTGTGTGTGTGGTTGTGTGTGGTGGTGTGTGTGGTTGTGTGTGTGTGGTTGTGTGTGGTTGTTGTGGTTGTGTGTGTGGTTGTGTGTGTGGTTGTATGTGTGGTTGTGTGTGTGGTTGTGTGTGTGGTTGTGTGTGGTTGTGTGTGTGGTTGTGTGTGTGGTTGTGTGTGTGTGGTTGTGTGTGTGGGGTGTGTGTGTGGTTGTGTGTGTGGTTGTGTGTGTGGTTGTGTGTGTGGTTGTGTGTGTGGTTGTGTGTGTGGTTGTGTGTGTGGTTGTGTGTGTGGTTGTGTGTTGTGTGTGTGTGGTTGTGTGTGTGTGGTTGTGTGTGTGGTTGTGTGTGTGGTGTGTGTGGTTGTGTGTGTGTGTGTGTGTGGTTGTGTGTGTGGTTGTGTGTGTGTGGTTGTGTGTGTGTGGTTGTGTGTGTGTGGTTGTGTGTGTGTGGTTGTATATGTGTGGTTGTGTGTGTGGTTGTGTGTGTGTGCGTGAGCCCCCGGAGCGGGCAGGTGTGTGTCCTCTTTGGGGCCTGTGTCCAGCCGAGGCCCAGCCCCGGAAGGACTGGAGGAGGGGCCACGGAGAGGACGGTGGGCGGAGGGCCGGCCCGAAAGGCGCACCGGCCACGCTTTCCTCCCGAGTCCGGATTCACAGGCAGCAGCAGACGCCTCCCCAGACGCCCCTGGTTCCCGGCTCCAGGACGGAGCCCTGTAATTACAGCCT